AAGCCCGATCCTTTTGATAAGATTCCGGAGATATTTGGCCTGTTGGACATTGATGTTCTTGGGTGCTGGGGACGAAGCTTGAGGTATGAATCATCAAACGAACACTCTTGTTGCGGAATTTAGCTGACTCGGTGGTGATTTATAGCATGAACAAGAGCCGAAAGCAAGGATGGAATGGATACATCGAATCGTGCGACTCTTTCATCAAGACGTTTGAGGAGCTTTCCGCCCTGAAGATGATTCCGCCTTTCAAGCGACCAGAGAAGATTGAGGTTAAGCATCACGGATATTGAGCGGGAAATTTTACCAAAGAAAATTGGTTTACTCTCAATGGTTTCTGAAATTAATAAAGAGTTTTAATGTCGAGTATTGATTGATGTGGGCTCTAGAGCAATATTTACTGGGTACGTATCCGATAATTAATAGAAGAACTTGGCGAGTCATGGTTTCCACCTGTCCAGCTGCCCCATTCATGCGATGTCACCCAAACATGCAGCCCTGCCCACAAATTCGTCGTATTCTATAAATGCCGAGGACTTCTTTTTAGCCTTTAAGGAAGTTGGGTACAATCCCGCAGTCGTTGAAACATTAACTAGGAGGGTGGTATGGGGCTCAACGTCATTGTGAATGAAGACCATGTGGAGGTAAAATTTGGTATATGGAATATTGTCCGACCTTTTTAGCCCGTAGCAGGCTCTTGAGCTTCATCGATCACATACCTCTTATTGGCGTTATCTTTCAGCTATATTTTCATTTGCTAAAGCACAATATAGTATCTGACGCGCGTAAGCTACTAAATATATCTTTTAGGACTCAACGGTTGTCATAACCCATTAGTGAAGAATGGGATAACCGACCACTTGTTCTTGTGCTAAACTGTATCCCTTGCTTTCGAAGGCTGATATACTGATGCTGAAGGGAACAGTTTACCATATAGGTTGATTCACTATTGTTGTACATACCATTTACTATCTCAATCATGACTACTAATACATACTTTCATTCAGCAGCTCACTCCTTAGTAAGCTCCAAGTATTGGTTTACCACGCTCTTGACCTGACCTTGAAATCCAATGAACTTCATACCAAAAGTCTCCTTAGTCTTGCTGGCATCAATCCGAACAACAATAGTTGGCAGCTTTCCTGTAGTCTTTAGGCGTCCCTGTGCAATCTCCTCGGCAAAGTGCTTCTTGATAATACCAACGCCATCTTCATTTATAGTACCCTTTATACCGTCCGATGTAGTCATATAGGCTTGGTGGCCAGGAATTTTAGGATTGAGACCTGCGACGTGAAGCTAAGCGACATCCTCAACGTGGACACGATTACCGTTCATTGTGAAAGGCGCAGCTGAGCCCCGTAATAAACCCATGAGAAGCGCATTTATAGTAGCGCTCTCGAAATATTCGGCGGTAGCGGCTTGCTCATCATCACCGAAAATTCACCCAGGAATAATACTGATCAGATCAAAAGAGGGCTTATTTTCAGCCATCCAGGCTTCAGAGGCATTCGAAGCAACAGTCTTGGAAGCCTAATATGCCTCAAATTGATTAGTATATGGTTCTATAGTGAGAGGAATGCGGCTTTCCGCGTCAAAGATATTTTCGTCTCCTTGGCCCTTGAAATAGTGACCAGGAATATTGGCGACATTGGAACTGGTTATGATGATTCGACGAACTATACCGGCTTTCTGGATGCTCTCGAGCAATCCAATAACAGACTTGCGAGACGCTTGTACAAAGTACTCGTCGAAACTGTCTGGAGTTGTGGATTCTCGACCCAGAAGCGGGATTGGAGTCGCACAATGTTCACGTATGTCGCTCCTTTGACTGCTTCATCGAGTGCTCCCGGAGCCGCCATATCTTCAACAACAGTGAACGAAAGGCTCTCTTCGCTCGAGTTGAGCGCTTTAATGGGTGACGAATAAATTACTTTATTAGTTTTGCTGAGAGAACGGACGGCAATTCGCACACTGTAGGTCGGCACTCTGAATCCAACGAAGCCGGTGGCGCCTGTGAGCAGAATAAGCCTTTTGCCTGCCATATTGCTGGTTATATCAAGCATTATAGGGACTGAAAGTAGACATCTTAGTGGATAAAAAAGACAGAGAATTCGGCGTGTAGGATTTGCTACATATCATAGAAAAAAATCGCTTCTTTACTATACATGGCAAGAATTCATGGCCCGAGTTGGAATTTCCTAGACGGACGACTGTGAAGCCGCATTGCCATACGGTTCCAGATTGACATTCAAATTCATAGATGGCTTATATAGGAATCGCCTGACACACATTTGTGACCTATAACGGAGCAATAAGAAATGAAAATACGTGCTTGCAATACAGAAAAAAAAAACATATTTAAGCCAGCTTGGCAAGAAGATTGCACGTAAATTGAGTCTATGTAGTTAGGACGCCATTTGTTGTGGGAGTAAGCTTTTAGTGTCTTATAGCGCCGTATCCGTACATCTTCCATCAATGCTATTGATAGTATCGCACGCGACGTTATGCGCCCATATAATCATTTGCTGCGACGGATAGATTCCAGTCGAGATGAAATATCGTCTCAATTCTATTCCGTGAAGCTTCCAGAAATGTTGTTTCCGTGGTTTGTTCCTTGAGTCTAGTGATAAAATAGGTGATGTAATTATGCGTACAACTTTGGCCTACTCCGTAAAAGAAATTGCGTGGCGTCTTCACAGCAATTTTAACCTACACAAAGGCCTAGTGCCCCTCTTTTCCAGAACAGCGGCATCCTTCATCAGTATCTTGCCGATCGCCTCTCGAAATAGCTTTAGATACTGTCCATTTACCACGGACATATATCATGTACCCCATTCCATTGCATGTTGAAGAGGCTTTGTTCAAACTATACAGAGTACACAAAGACCTCGTCTCGGGACTGACGACACTACAAACTTGCTCCTTCGCCTGTGATTTGCACCAAAGACGCTAACCTCTCAAGCATTGATGGAGAAAATAGGACAGCGAAACCCGCTACAAGACTCCGGGCAAGTCCATTCGCAGCGAATAGAGACCCAGCATAGAAAGGGCACGTAGAGGGTAGATAATTGAGGACGGCTTGCCCTATTAGAAAGACACCACTGTGATATATGCCCACACTAATCATGGATACAATCTAATGGACCGAGCGAATCAAATTCCACGCTGGTGTATTTGTCAGATAGAATCGCAAGCTGAAGATCATAAAGACGGTAAACATACCAAAAAGAAACAAGCCTATGGGAACACAGACCGACCCGAATAGGCCTGATATCATTTTTGTTTCTGGAGGAGCGTCATTGACGTTGCTTTGATCAATGATGAAGTACATATAGTAACCAAGGCCCACGCTTGTAATAAAGAAGCTCACCATCATTGAGAGGAAAGCCAATGCCATGACTCCATGGCTAAACCCGTAGATGTCTCTGTAGACCAGTAGAAACGATTCAAAGAATGAGTAGCATATAGCATATCCCAATGGTAGGTATACTATCGTAAAAAACACGGCTGGATCAAGGGCGCTGATTTTCTCAAGGCTTAATCAATGCTCAAGAAGTAATTTCTCGGGCGCTCAAGTGAGAATAGTGAACCTCGGATTCGTGGTCGACGTTGTCGCAGCCAGTTGCCAGCCTGAGTCGTTTGGCTCTTCGAAGGATTATTGTATCTCTCGAGGTTTCTGATAGTGTGCCGAGCATTGAAGCAGTCATGGCGCTGAGAGTCAAAGCAATTCCCATGCACTCCATCGCCAGCTCATCTTTTCTACCGCGTATGCTGCAACGACAGGCCCCATTATCTAAAGTAGAGACGTAAGATAAGTTTGTATCTACAATAACATAGTTTTATAAGAATGAAAAAGTTATGATACTCATGGGAGCTGAGCTTGCACTGATCGACCATAACGCAATCACGGCTTGCATATTGGCAGGGCTTAAATAATCGCCATAGGGGCACGGTGAATAAAGCCGAAGAGCAGAAAATCTCAAGCAGGAACTTGACCACTAGTAATCCCCCAACATTATCGACCAAGGCAGCGGGAATGATGAAAATTTTGAAAAGACAAAATGATGGCATATAGAGGATTGCGACCAATAGCGGGAATCTCCGTCAGTGGCGACAGAATCATTGAGGCAAAGCCGCAAGCAAAGACGTAAAGAGTCAGGCCGAGAGATGCAACCGACTGCTTGACTACAAATTGCTTCATCATTCCATCTTCGCTAACTTTATATATCACGACCCCCATATACGCGGCAACTGTGTAGAAAACAGAAGACTGGATATCCATATTTTCTTTCTGTTGGACCAATTCTGCAGATTTCGGGATCTCGGTCGGAATACCACGTAACAAGTATAACTTCTCGTTCTAAAGCTTCAGAAAGACAAGATTGGCCTGTAGCAGCTTCTACATCTTCTTCTTTTTTTTTCCCCCGTGATGGTGGTGATAGGACGGAGGGAGATGACTGCTGGATTCTCGATTGATACTCTGCGGGCAGAGCAAAGCCATCTTGCTCCTCGGGATATTTGAGCAGCCTATTTCCACTAACTACTCTTAAAATTGTCGTCTAATCGAGTGAGTCAAATAAGTTTTGTCATACAGTCGAAGCACCGTTATCAAAAAGCACCCATTGTAATGAATAAACATTGGACGACGCAAGGAGTTGAAGGCGTCGAAACACCGCAACAAACTCCGCGGTGTAAGTGGCCAATGAATGAGTACGAAGCACCAAGTTACTTTACTTGGTCTCAACAAGTACCACCATTTTCTCTTTTTGTTTAGGGAATGAGATTACTAAATAGAAGCAGGGGAGCCCAGCGAGAAAGATGAGACTTCATTGTGTCACTACCAACGTACAAATGGAGAGACCATGATGTGCAATGCAACTACACAAAATGTGCCTCTCCATGCTTTAACTGTATATCTATGTGAATTAAAAGAAGTTTCTATATGATAAAAATGCAGACGAAGAGACTCTAATAACTTCGAGCATTCTCTCGAGTGCGATTTAGGCCTCAGCGAAGCGGCTACGAGCGCGCAAGCTCGGCCCAAATTTCCAGAGCCCAAACAACAAAATGCAACAAACAATGTCCAAAAATGCAAGTAAAGAAACGCCCCAGTGGATTCCAAGGCGTAGAAACATTGGCCGCGAGAACATAATTGCACCCGCCGCCAGAGTCGAGCGAGCAAAGTCGTTTGCGGCGAATAGCGACGCCGAATATTTTGGGTAAGTGAAAGCTACATATTGTAGCATACAGACAATAATCGTGAATGTGCCAACAATGGATAGCGACAGCCCTATGATAGGTGCCATCCAGTGAACACTCGGCCGGGATGTCCATGCTATTACCATTCAACAAGATATATTAGTATGATACCAGTTGAAATGGTCTCTGAATGACGTACCAAAAAGAAATAAGCCGACGGGAAGCCAGAAACATGCAAACAGCGCTGGAATTAACCGATGTTCTGGAGTTCCGAATGCCTTAAAGCCTTCAGTTCTAAAAGGCTTGACCACTTGCAAATGCCACGAAACCACACACAGGGTAGCAGCCACGAACAAGCCTGGAAAAACTCCCAAAAACGGCAGCCCAGAGAGCGTGAATCTGAAATCATAAACGCCTGAAAAAACAAGAGGGAAAGCTTCGAAGAAGGAGTAGAAGATGGCGTAGACAAGGCTGGTATAGATGGTGGAGAAGAGCACCGAAGGATCAAGAGCGTTAATCTCAACTGGCTTGATGATGGCATTATATAAAATATCCTTCATCGTCATCTGCCGCTTTGTTTGATCGATTTCTGATTGTGAACGGTATCGATCATTGCCGGTTATTCTCCGCAATCTTCGTGCTCTGTAGTAAAGGATCGTGGCCGATGAGGTTTCGGGGAGGAAGAAGAAGAAGCCAAAGAGGATGGGTGCACTGAGCCACAGCATCTCCCAAGATACCCAATGCCAGCCCTCTGCAGGGGCACTGAAGTTAGAGATTACCGGCGCGATAGCAGGACCAAATACAGCTGAAAAAGATGCTTTGTTAGGTTTCTCAATTTTTCCTGGGTATGCAAGATGTAAGTAAAACTTACTGGCTCCGCCCCAAATGACCAATAAGTAAGGCACATGAAGAAGTGGATACTGAATTCAGGTTAGTTAAAAGTTCATACTGTAGGTCGAGATATGAGGAAACAGTCTTACAACATCAGCAAATGAAGCACCTCCAGTCGCAAGACATGGCGCACCTGTGTATCAATTACGTTAATATCGTCTACGCTAAAACAACATCAGAAACTTACCGAAAAACCCTGTCAAGAAGCGCAGAACGACGAATCCAGCGAAATTATCCACAAGGGATGCTGGGACCCAGAGTATGGTATATATGAAGAGCGTTATAATGTATGGAGGGTTTCTGCCTATTGCGGCGATTCTAACAGATGTTCAGTATCACAGGCTTTGGGTTACTGCGAAACTTGGAGAAGACTCTTACTCGCTTAATGGAGAAAATATCATGGCACCAAAGCCATCTGCGTTCATCTACGTGTTAGCAGCTGAAGTAACGATGCAAGCGCAATTTCATATACTGACATCCAAAAACGTATAAAGCGAGAGCCAAAGAAGAAACCTCGACGCTGATACCGTATCTTTCTACCACCTCGGGCACAGCACCGATATAGATGGAAGATCCAAAGTAGACAGCAAAAGAATAGATGCTTCTGAACTTAGCATGGGCTTGAAAGGTGACTTATTTGGACTTTATTTACCATATTTGGAAAGATACAAAACCTTTTCGAAGCGCACTCCAGTTTTGGGGGTTTTCAGGATCATCTAAGACTTTGTTAGATGTGCCCAAGAGACCACTTGTTCTGATGACTAGGGAATATTACCGGTAGTGTACCAATCAACTAATATTGTCCCATCGCTCGTAGTTGTTGGTTTAATAGGACGACTTTCTATTCTCTGCACTTCACTATGGCTCTGAGTAGTGACGACCCTCTCGATGGGATTGTCTGAAAGGCCATTTTCCACGTCATCGGTTGCTTCGGCGAGGGGGGGCTTGGTCGTAAATTCTTGAGAATTTGTCCTTTCCAAGCCAGTAGTAGTAGTTTCTTCCAACGTAGTATTCGAAGAGGCGGCCGTAGTGGGAAGTTCTATGTCGACTTCCTTTTGCAAAGCTTGCGAGCCGTAATAGGGGTTTTGGAATCCACCTCGTTCTTCGGCATATTGCAAGTATTTGTTCTTGCTGAGAAAGCGGACTACCTGCCCAAAGGGCGAGTCACGTAATACGTCGTTCATGTTTGATCTCTTTGGATCACTGAGGATTTGAAAGAAGCAGTTTCTCACAGCATGAAGAGTATGCTTTGGCGTTATATGTCTTCTCGTTCCATGTCTCTAGCGTGCAGCTAAGTCTAAGCAGCTAGCATGCGCTTCTTCATATTTCGGCTTATAAATTTCAGTCTACGAGATGATTGCTAAGTCGCTGCTAGCATTGCGAGGATCCAATTTCTAAGCTTTAATTGCCATCTTGACAGATTGGAAGGGTCAAATAGGAATAGCAGATTCATTGTCAGCGGCAACTATTTTGGCGCGAGACTTAGCGCACATCTCAAGACTTCCTATTTCGGACAATCCTCTACGCAAGTTTTAAAGAAGCTTTGCCCCAAGTAAAAGTCGTAAGACATGTCGCCAGGATCTCAGCTCGTATCCTCTGCCCGGCTATCGCGTTGCAGTATTTTGCTTACATCATTGTAGTCCGTTCGAAGCTTGGGATTACTGATCGCTTGGCATTTGGAGCGGGTATAAAGAAGGTGGTTGGAATAGCTTCATTATTGCGCTATCGCCATATTTGCGCATAAAAAGGCAACTGCATAGGCACTTTGATGGTTTTTGACGGGTCAATAGGCAACATGCTCACGCCCTCCTCGTTAGCTTACGTCAAGCAGGCTTCATTTAAATCTCTTCGAGGGGATTTTTATTATAACTGCATCTCGAGGCCAAAACACTGCTTCATGAAACGCTGTGAAAAAGCTCCAGCGCCGAGTTTGGCAAAGCGCCTTTACCGCCGTGAGAGAGATTCAAAATGCTGTGAAGGGTCGGCTCAAGAAATATGAAAATTGCTGTGAAAGCGTTCTCAGCTTACCACAAGCAAGTAGTCGGCTGCCTACTGCTATGCTAAAAATGCTGTGAAAAAGCGTTAGCGCTAGCTTTAGCAAGCGCCCTTATCACCTTGAGACATACTATATTCAAAATGCTGTGAAGGGTCGGCTCAAGGAATATGAAAATTGCTGTGAAATCGTCTCCAGCTCACCCCATGTAATCGGCTGCCTACTGCTATACTAAAAATGCTGAACTGTGAAAAAACTCCAGCGCCGGCGTTGGCAAGCGCCCTCACCACCTTGAGACATACTATATTCAAAATGCTGTGAAAGGGTCGGTCCAAGAAACTTGAGAATTGCTGTGAAAGTCGCATCAGCGACAGTCCATTGTAAAGCACCCGTACAGTATAGCGAAAGCTATGGTACCATGCCCAGGCCTACGTATATCACGTCTATGACTTTAGGTAAATTTTTTGACCACCATCTTCATTTGAGCCGAGTTTGTATCTTGCATTTCGCAGAGAAAGAGATACTGTATGGCCGCCTTCATCTTTGTCACTTTGGCGCGTATCTGACGTTTAATCCAGAGAACTTTACTCGTGAGAATCTGTTGAGCGATTTGGAATTGCACTATACATGTAAAATCGAGATTTAAAAATTGCAAAACAACAAAGACGCTTATATATATGCCCTGCTATATATTTCAAGATTGACCTATGGAAACCAATGCTGACGCCATTTTGTAAAAAAAAGAAACATTCTTCACAGATTAAACTATAGCTTGGCAAAAAGCCCCTTGGTCGCACCCTTACCCAGCTGTACCAGCGTGCTCTTTATCCGCATGTAAGCCATGATACCCTCGAAGCCATTCTCAACACCAACGCCACTCAATTTCCACCCGCCCACGGGCATTTCAGCCGGAGACTCTCCCCAGGTGTTGATCCAAGTGATGCCGGCTTCCAGCTGTCGGATAACGTTCTGCGCCAGACTCAGATCCGTAGCAACAACTCCGGCAGCCAGGCCGGTTTCGGTGTCGTTTGCGCGCCGAATCAGCTCCGGGAGCCACTCTTCCTGTGACTTGCCCTGTGTCTTGTATGGCAAGATTGACATGACGGGGCCAAAGATTTCTTCGCGCACGATGCGCATATCGTCTGTGCAGTTGGTGAAGATGACGGGCGGGACCCAGTATCCGTCGGGCGTAGGCTTATTCTTCTGCGCATCAACGGCGCCGTCGTACAGGACCTTTGCCTTGTCGACTTCTTTGCCATGTCGAATGTACATGTTGCACTTGTCGCGCTGGGCGGCGCTGACTACTGGGCCATAATTCGTCGTTTCGTCTTGTGGCAAGCCCATGCGGATGCCCTCGCGGCAACGTTTGATAAGACCTTCCTCGACGCGTGATAGTAAGGTATCGGGGATGAAGACTCGCGAGCCGTTTGTGCAGACCTGGCCAGAGGAGAAGAAATTGGCAGCCATGGCAATGTCGGCTGCCTCGTCGACGTCAGCGTCTGGCAGAACCACAACAGCACTCTTGCCTCCGAGCTCCATTGTAACGCTCTTCAAGCCCTTGGCGGCCTCGCTGGCTACTTTGCTGCCGGTGCTAACCTGGCCTGTGAAGCTGACCTTTGCGATGCCCGGATGGGCGACAAGGGGCGCCCCGACACTGGGACCATCGCCGTAGACGACGTTGAATACTCCAGGCGGCATCCCGGCCTCGATGTAGATCTCAGCCAACGTATTGGCGTGCAGAGGCGTCACCTCGCTGGGCTTGTAGACCATGCAGTTTCCTGCAGCCAGACACGGCGAGGATTTCCACAGGGCAATCTGGATGGGATAGTTCCAGGCGCCAATGCCGGCGCAAACGCCCAGCGGCTCGTGGCTCGTCAGCACGTAGGCGTCTGGCCGCAGCGTGGTGTGCTGGCCGGGCTGGCTGTTGCCAATGAAGTGCGCGTAGTACTCCAGGACATCAGCGCCGGTGACCACATCGACCGTTGACGTCTCGGACCAGGCCTTGCCCGTGTCCAGCATCTCCGTGCGGGCCAGCGCCTCGTTGCGTTCTCGCAAAATAGCGGCGGCGCGGAGCAGGATGGCGGCTCGCTTCGGGGCAGGCGTCTGCGACCATGTTGGGAACGCCTTTTGGGCAGAGGAGACGGCGTCGTTGAGCTGGGCGGCGGTGGTGGTGTAGATTGTTGCCAATGGCTTGGCCGTGGTTGGATCGAGAGACTGGAAGGTGTGCGATCCCGAGGATTGCGGCTGAGGCTTTCCCGAGTGAAAGGTGTGAATCTCTTTTGAGAAGGTCATGATGGTCTTTTGGTGTTGGCGTGGTGATTCTGCCTATTCTTTGAGATTAGATCAGATCAGATCAGATCAGATCATTCCAGACCAGATCAATATCGGAATTGGTTTGTTGGTGTTGAAACTGAAAATCGGACGCCGGACAGTGACGTACGTCGATCTTGTCTTTGGCGGCGTACTAAGACGGTGAAATTCCGCGACTAATACTAGGTATACTACAGGCACATGCAATCGCTACCTACCTGAGTCTTTAGCGGTAAGTGTATATGCGCCAAGCAACACCAGCAACTCCACAGTGCTGTAGCAAACATCCAACACCCGCTATTACGAGGTACCTCCATCGTGTAAACCGTGGCAAACCGGACTCGTCTGCCATTTTCGTTTGGAAAGAGAATACCTGCGTCTCACCTGCCAGGAACCACAGCGCCGTTTGCACCAACAGCAGGTGGAGTCTTCAGCGCCGGTGTGTCTGGGGCTAAGCAGCAGCCAAGACGGTCTCTCTTACACGCTACTGTAGGCCGTGAGAGCGTTTGCCTGCATTCGGCAACCAGGCAGGAGACTGGCAAACAGCCCTGGCCAGGGGAAGAGAAATCCAAGGAATCATAAGGCGATAAACCACTGCCTACGTCACCGATGGAGAAGTGAGAGATATAAGATGCAGTCCGGTCCGGCGTTGTGGAGCTCTCCCCGTGTTCTTGGACAACGGCTCGGCTTGGCGGTGGAGGCTGCGCACGAGTTGGCTGAGGAAGATGCAACTGAGAATCCGATATGTGATGCCTCCTATTTCTTGACTTTCCGTCTGTCGAGTATCAACGTTTGGAATGCGATTCTGGAATATGCCGGTGCTGCTAAGGCTGATGCCAGATGACCTTTGTGTAGGTACGGAGTATAGAAACCTACATCGAAATCAGATCCGCCCCGATTAGCGACGATGAAATCGGGCATTATTTGCATGTGCCACTCCGAGTAATGCGCTAAAGCACAGCGACTCCGAGGCCTATCAAGTCACCACAGGCCAGCTGAAAACGATACACAGAGCCGTCAGCAGCGTTGTGAAAAATCCCATGCCGCGAGAAAACTCTACAGGTACAGCCACCGCTAGAATAATTGTTCCGATTGCTGCAAGCAGCGCTCAGTTCCGCGATTCGTGGCGTGTCGTGCTGCAGAGCTTGGAGCAGGTACTGTACGGCAGGTTCTCCACGGCGGAGTACATGCCCCACTCTCTTCAGCCATGGTGGCCCTCTGGCCCAATCAACTTACAGTTTTCTGCCCGGATCAACCTAGCCCCGTCCTAGCTGCCCGCCATCGGCTCCACTCGGCGTCGGCCTCTTCCTAAACGCCTCCATCAAGTCAAGATCATCGCCAGACCAACGCTCGAAATGGCTTCTAAGCAGCAGAACCGCCTGCTGGATCCCCGCAATCACGGCCAAGAGCCCAGCCAGAAGCCTCGCAAATGTCATTCCAGGCACACTGTGGGCTACTAATCCTCCAACCAACGAACAGCCAACAGTGGAATTGCTGACAGGGGCATTAGTCTGAATCCCACCATGTGCTTTTGACGTCATGCGGCCGTGGTGTAGCTGTGTAGGGATCCATTCTCTGTTTGACAGGAACCCTGAAGATCGATGCTGCTGGTAAACATCGGTGAGAATTTTTACCATTTTTTAAATGAGGGACATGGCTTCCCCCCCCTTTTGGCCCGAGACTACAAATCATCTGCTGATTCAAACTCCACCGCAAACAACGAGGCGAGAGCCGTGCTTCGTTGATGGCGTCGTTAGCGTCAATGCAATGGCTCAGCCGTCCACGCCGCAATCATGGCCTCGGCGGAATCTACTTGTACAAGAAATGCTTTGGGGCTGACTCGTCGTTTCATCTGCTTCATATATCTTGGGGTCCCTCGCCTTAGTGTGGTGCTTTAGACTTCAACTTTCTTCCGAGGCTACTGATTCTGCTGATCCTAGACTTTTGCTACCGAAACTTTGTCTGGGCAAGCGAATAGACGAGAAACTATCTTTTCGACTTTTGTGAATACGCTCTTCAACTAGTCTTCACCCTGGCGTTTTTAACATTCAAGGGGAAAAGCGTAGTTTCCAAGCCTCATTTGTAGCCAGAGCAAGCTATTTAAGCCAGGCCACCCGGCAAGACGCATATTTCTCTTCTTCTTGCTCTGTTCATACTCCCTTCATACTCCCTCTAACTTCCTCGAGACACCAACCATGACGACCCGATCGCTTCCGGACAACAGCAGCTCTGCTTTCGACTACATCATCGTGGGCGGAGGCACCGCTGGCTGCGTGATTGCGTCTCGACTCTCCTCCTATCTGCCTGAGCATCGCATCCTCCTCGTCGAGGCTGGGCCCTCTGATTTCAACCTCAACCATGTTCTCAACCTGCGAGAGTGGCTGAGTCTGCTTGGCGGCGAGCTGGACTACGACTACGGCACGACAGAGCAGCCAATGGGCAACAGCCACATCCGTCACTCTCGGGCCAAGGTCCTTGGAGGCTGCTCGTCACACAACACTCTCATCTCTTTCCGCCCTTTCCGCCATGACATGGACCGTTGGGTTGCTCAGGGCTGCAAGGGCTGGACCTTTGAGAATGTCACTCGACACGTGGACAATCTGCGCAACACCTTCCAGCCAGTGCATGCTCGTCACCGCAATCAGCTGTGCAAGGACTGGGTTCAAGCCTGTTCCTCTGCTCTCGACATTCCCGTTATCCATGACTTCAATACTGAGATTCGCGAGACGGGCCAGCTAACCCAGGGCGCCGGCTTCTTCAACGTTTCCTACAACCCCGATAACGGTCGCCGAAGCAGTGCATCCGTTGCTTACATCCACCCCATCCTTCGAGGAGAGGAGAGACGGCCAAACTTGACCATCTTGACCGAGGCTCACGTCTCCAAAGTCTTGGTCGAAAACGATGTTGCGAGCGGTATTGCTCTTCATCTGGCAGGTGGTCAAAAGGTAGTGCTCAAGCCCCGAAAGGAAATCATCCTTTGCGCTGGCGCTGTAGACACACCCCGTCTGATGCTTCACTCTGGTCTTGGCCCGCGCTCACAGCTCGAGGACCTGGGAATTCCCGTTGTCAAGGATATCCCCGGAGTTGGCGAAAACCTGCTGGATCACCCAGAGACCATCATCATGTGGGAGCTTAACAAGCCGGTTCCCCCCAACCAGACCACCATGGATTCTGATGCCGGTGTCTTCATCCGCCGAGAGCCAACCAACGCCGCAGGCAACGACGGAAATGCTGCCGACATCATGATGCACTGCTACCAGATCCCATTCACCCTCAACACCGAGCGTCTGGGTTATCGCAAGATCCAGGACGGCTACGCATTCTGCATGACCCCCAACATCCCCCGACCGAGATCCCGCGGCCGCATCTATTTGACCTCTGCAGACCCCGCTGTCAAGCCTGCTCTGGATTTCCGCTACTTCACCGACCCCGAAGGCTACGACGCTGCCACATTTGTTGCCGGCATCAAGGCTGCCCGTAAAATCGCTCAGCAAAGCCCTTTCAAAGAATGGCTGAAGGAAGAGGTTGCTCCCGGCCCCCAGGTGCAGACGGATGAGCAGATCAGCGAATACGCTCGCCGCGCCGCTCATACTGTCTACCACCCTGCAGGCACCACCAAGATGGGCGATGTAACCAAGGACGAGGCCGCAGTCGTGGACCACGAGCTAAAGGTCCGAGGGATCAAGAAATTGCGCATTGCTGACGCTGGCGTGTTCCCCGAGATGCCCTCCATCAACCCCATGCTTACGGTGCTGGCCATTGGCGAGCGAGCAGCCGAGCTAATTGCCATGGAAGAGGGCTGGAAGCCCAAGACTTCAAGACTATAGACGAATAGATGAGCTGGGATGGCGCTGGGATGGCGCATAGATTTTTATCTTCTACTTGGATCACAGAAAAGGAACAAGGCGTGCTTAGCCTGGATATTGCACCACCTGACAGCGCGGGACGTGTCGTGACTTGTATATTTTGTTTTTTTTTTTCCCTTTGATAGTTTATACGATGACGATATCCATGTAGCTTCAAGAATTACAAAAGTTGTTGTTTTTCATACGGCTCTAGCCAGATACTATCTGTGAGAATGTGACTTGCGATTTTGCAGGCAAGTGATGCGACTTGCCGCGCCGTATCCTTGGAGCAGTTACATGTGATATGCTTTTGTGGCTAAAGCAAATATGTACCTCAAGCTCTCACTCAAGTATAAAAAACGCCGAGATGCATAGGGCTAGCAGACAGCGCAACACAAAGTTTTCCCTCTTGCTAACAAACTATACGGCGTTCAATGGATTCGACTAAAATATATGCTCTACTAAATTTGCTTCCTCTAGTATACATATCATCCATTTACATGGCCAGCAAACCACCGTTCCTACCTAATACTTCTAATTTCCCAAAACGAAGCCCACGCTGTCATCTCTACATCGTCCCCATCACCTATCTGCGCCAAGTGAGAGATAATACTCGCGACTAGCTCTGTGGCTCCCTTGTCTGATAGCCGTTGTTGAGATCCAAATACGCCAATGTCTAAACTCTTTCCTTGTATAGAGGCTTCGATATCTATTGCGGCCTAGATAAAGTATATTATTAGTAAATGGGTCTTTGATAGTTCAGGATTAGAAACTTACTGGGAATGCATCTCTAACCGAGTTGTTCAATATGCAAGAATGAGAAATCGCCTCTTTATCGTTGCCATCCACCAAAGGTCCTAAAACATCATCTTCTCTTTGTAGTGGTACAAGCTCAACATCATCCGAGTCTCCATTTGGTCTCTCAGACAAAGCACCAGGGAGGCTAAGAAAATTGACAAACGAAGTCACCCTCACGCCCGTCCACGCGGCCACCTCCCACAAACCCACATCGGCACGACCCTCTATATATACAAGGTGGATATCGTCTTGTATAGCACTAGCAACTTCTAGAAGAGAGTCGCTGCGCGCCACTTCAACTCTCAAAGGAACAAGGTTAAGCGTGGGGTATATCGGCGGAAGAGCCTCATCAGATCGATTCGCAAGGTAGATGCCGAATATGACGGTCTTTTTGCCTTCGCCGTCTATATCTACACCATTCTCTAGTGCAAGCGTTATGGCGTATGCGGCGAAGAAGATTGCTTGCAAGCTGATGCCCATTTCTTTGGCCGCTGTAAGGAGGTGTGTGATATCCGATACTGCGGATTGCTGTAGATGCGATACTCGTCGTTTGCCTGCCATAACTGGGGCTGAATCGTCGCCGTCTGTTGAGCAGCCACTCAGATATGCCGTCCAAAAGGCTCTGCGCGATTGTCGAGAGTCCTCCAGCGTTGGTTGAACAGCATATCGGGACCACTCTCCAACATCCTCTTCGTGTTCAAATATTTCCCCTCCAATAAGCCTTGACAGCCGATGCAGTATTTCTTGAATGCTAACTCCATCATAGAGAGCGTGGTGAATTTTCAGCCTGATGGCTATCTGGCTGCCACTTTCTCCTTCTAGCTCGGCGACATGAAGTTGGCACATCGGTTTGGCTGCAGTACCATCAGCAGGTTGATGGCAAGCCTTGAGCACAACCTGCAAGAACGGCTGCTGAGGCGAGTTAGTCGCAATGAAGACCGTCCGTAGGGTTGGTGTTTGAGCGACCAAACGTTGCCAGGCCAAAAGCACTTCCTCCTCACTAACGGCTCCCTTGATAATGTACCTAAACTCCGGATAAAAGACGCTGCCCTCTGCGTTTTGCCAAGCGCTAATCATGTAGACTTGCATAGGCAGCGCCGGTAATACAGCCTCAACATCTTCTTTCGAGACGTGAGCGCCAGCAAAAAGTGTTTCAACGTCAACATCTTCCGCAGGAGTCCACGCCAATTCTTTGGGCTTGGGTCGATCGCCGTTTACTAAGAGAGGAGTAGCAAGTCGACCCATTTGGCTGATGCTCGTGGATCTGATGAGATCTCTGGGGTTAAGATATATGCCCTCTTTGCGCAAGAGAGACGATACCTTGATTGCACTAATAGAGTCCAGGCCCAGGTGGTAAAGGCTGCTCTCGGGTCTGATGGAGTCTTCTGGAATATCTGACACGTAGCTGAGTACTTTCCGAATCGCGAAAGTAGTTTCGTCAAGTTCGTGGCTGTGATCCGTAAATTCATTTCTGTCTTCGCCGTTACCATTCTGAACAATATGCTCTGTTGTAGGGACGTAGATAACTGGCAGCCCACCGATCGAAACACCGTTATCCTGGAAGGAGAGAATCTCGGGTTCATCCGAGCCCGTCAGAAACTCGAGAACATGGTTCAAATCATCGAGCAATTTTCCAACGCCGTCTTCAGAAACGTATCTGGACTGACAAGCTGTCCGCCAGACAAGAACATCATCCACAACCTCGGCCTCAACGCTGACAGGGTAGTCAACTGCCGATGCACCGTCAACAGATCTCAGCAGCGGTTCTTCAGACGAGCTGTATGGAGACTTTTGAAGCATGAAAAGCGTATTGAACAGTTCGCCGCTTGACAGCTGTATCGTACTTTGAATCTTCCTTAGCGGATACGCTTGATGAGCCCGGATATCCGCCATGTTGGCCTCAAGGTATCTCAAAAATGATACAGAGCTTCCATAAAGGATACACCTAAGAGGCACAGTGTTGATCGTAGGAAACATTAAATCTTCAGCCCCTTCAAAATCTCGTCCAGACATTACGACGCCGAAAGTGACATCAAGGGCTTTCACCCGATGAGCCAGAACAAGAGCCCAGCAGGCTTGGCACAATACTTGCAGACTGATGCCCTGTTTCTTGCAGAATGATAGGATATCACCCGCAGACTTTTTAGAAGAATATTCCATCCGATGCAGCTTGTCTTGGCTATCTTTGGGTAGCTCTGGAAGAGTCGAGGGCGCAACACCATCGAGATACGCAGCCCAAAATCGATTGCCTTCTTCTGTAGCTGAGGTGAGTACTCTTTGAAGAAACGGGTTCGCAGATGTTCTCATTTGAAGCTTTCCGTACAATGCCATTTCGAGATCCTGATAAAGAAGACTCAGAGACCACCCGTCATACAGTGCATGTGCGATTGAAATGAGAACAAATGTCCGCTCTTTACAACTCATAAACTTGAGCTGGAAGAGAGCATCAGTGCCGTCATGTCTTTTGGAGGTTTCCTTTGCATTCTCAATGAGATTGCCAACTTCGACCAGGTCTTCCACCTCGACATGCTCAATCTCATTGTTCCAGCGCTTATGTACAATCTGGCAGTATCCCATATCGAGCTGTAAATCATCCACTTCCAGAAATCCAGTTCGAAGAATAGGCGACTGAGTGACAACTTGAACAAACGCTTCTTGAAGCTTCCCCATATCGACTCCGGCTCTTATTTCCAACAGATCATGATTGAAATACCACTCAAAGTCAGAATGTATCATTCCGGCAGCCATAGATTCTTGGAGAGGAGTCGGTGGTAGCACGGCCTCTATGTCATTCATATCCAGCCCAGAATTTCGGGCATAAGCCCATAGTTTCTGTTCAATACTATAGAATCTCTCATTTGCAGCCGAACTGGGTAACTCAGTGGATGACTGGGCTTCGATACAAGGTGCCATTTTCGCAATAGTCTGCTGATGCATGATTGAAGAAGCGGAAAGCGATATACCCTTCTGTTTGAGTTTGGCAGACAGTTGGATGACATCAATGCTATCCAGGCCAAGCTCGAGAATTGTACTTGCCATCGAGATTTCAAGAGCGTCAACACCAGAAAGCGAAGCAATCTCATCTCTGATTCGAAGCGCTTGCTCACTCCACTCAAGCTGCTGCTTATGAGTTTCAGTATTTGAATGGGCAAACCCATTCTGTTTTGCTGATACTGCGACGCCATTTCCTGTAGGCTGAGGAAGTGGCGCATCCGTCGACATGAGGGCCAGATTCTCTTCAACCTCGTCCAACATTTCCCGTAGCATTGAAGCATCTGCTACATGCCCCTGTGTAACTAGAGTCAGCTGAACATCACCATTCAGCAGCTTTTTCGCTTCCAGCGCCAGTGGGTAATCAGGATTGAGAGGTCCATCTTCGATTCTCCATAGCTCAAGTTCATCCGCCACCTGCTGCTCCACCTCAAATACAAAGAGGTTGTTGAATAGTTGGCGCCCGCCAGAACACCATTTCTGTATGCTTTTGAGCGGTACATGTTGAAAGGGCAAAATTGCTGTGCTGAAATCGCTACATTTGCGGATGAGCGACGTCCACGAGTGGCCACTCAGCGTCTTGTTGAAAAATGGCAGTGTGTTGAAGAGCGGTCCTATTGTATTTTCGATACCAGCAAGATCAATTGATCTCCCTGAAACAATGACACCGGTTGTTAACCCCCAAGAGAAATGTTTTTGAAGCACAGACGTCCACAATGCCATTATGACCGGTTGTAAAGTGACTTTGTGCTTCTTTCGGATGCTCTCCAGTGCAGCCCCGTCAATAACTCGTATTTGAGAGGCTGCTTCGTTATGGGCGGAAGAAAGTTGAAGAGCTGAGGAACTATCCCAATCAAGAAGATGAGTTTGCCAGAATTCGCGGCAATTGTCGTGCCGCCACAACGGACCGTGAGACAACGCGTCTATGAACGATGGTGAAGACGAGGTAATAGACTTCCCAGTATAAGAAGCTTGTAGCTGCCGTAACATCAACTCGAAACTGCTTCCATCGTATACTGCGTGGAAGATGTGAATAACAAGTTTCTTGAATCCCGGACCCCTCACTAAGAACACCTCAACTGGAGTGATAACATGTTCACTATTTCGTTGCACCCATTCTTCCCAATGGCTATCCAGGAATGCCTTCTCGTCATCTCTCACAACCTCTTCGATCCAGCGCAAATTTGGAGCTTTCAGCGCAACTTGGATGTAGCCTTCTGCAGTTTTAATAAACGCCGTTCGCAAAATCGCTTGAGATGCGACTAGTTGGGTCCAAGCAGCCTTCAACTGTTCGTCCACAATGTCGCTACTAAGATGAAACACAAAAGAGTTGAAATATGTGCCACGAACTTCATCCGTAATCGATTTTGAGATGATACCCTGCTGGAGAGCAGAGCAAGGCGCAATGTACTCTATATCGTCTCCTGGGATACCAAGAACGCTACAGACAAACGCCCGATATCTGTGATGATATGCCTGAATCAACTGCTGTGATTCTTTCACGCGGCTATCTTTTTGCGAGATAGAAATTTTCTCATACAGAGCCGTGATCAAGTCTGTGATGACCGGATTTTGCAGCAGAGTAGCAGGCGAGCATGCTGCAAATCCGTGATTCTTGAATGCTGCCGATAGCTGTAAAGCGCTGATGGAATCTACTCCAAGATCAAAGATACTTGTATCTCCATCAATGTTGTCCAGATCTATGCCAGTAAAGCCGGATATGACTTTGACTATTTTTTGGCTCTCTTCGCTATTAATAGACTGAACCGATGCCTTCGACGCGGTCAAGTCCATCAGCTGCTCATGCGACAGGCCATTGAACAGTTTCTTCAGCTCCTTAGCCTCGACCTTGTTATTGGGAGAGAGTGGTATAAATGGCAATATCAAGAAATATGTAGGAATCATGTATCCCGGAAGCTTTGCTCGGCATGTCTCTTTGGCCTTCATGCCGAGATTATCATCATCTGTCAGCGGAGCCAGGACTGCCTTGGGCTGTTGCTCGCCAACCAGGAACGACACCAAGACATCTTTGCCGCTGGATGCATGCTTGATGACAATTGTTGCAGCATCCTTAACCTCCGAAACACCAGTGCGAATGACGTGATTAATCTCACCAATCTCCAAACGCTGCCCACGGAGCTTGACTTGATCGTCCGCTCGTCCAAGAAAGTCAAAGCAGCCGTCATGAAGGATGCGCACGAGATCACCCGTCCGATAGATTCTCTCGCCAAATTCTGAAAGCGTAGGAAACCTCTCTTTAGTAAGTTCCTCGCGGTTGAGGTAACCTTTACCAACGAGCCTTCCAGAGACGCAGAGTTCTCCAACAGCACCACGCAGCACGGGAATTTCTGTCCCCTTGCGGAATACGTAAGATCCGACATTAGGAAATTGTTGACCAATATTGCTCGGCCGTCCGTTGATGGGAACTCTCTGGTACATGGTCACACCAATTGTCGCTTCCGTTGGGCCATAGGCATTGTAGATGACAGACTTTGGGCCCCAGGCATCTAGGATTTCTTGCTTGAGCTGCTCGCCGCCAGTGATGAAGACTCCTTTGCACAAACCCGGCACTTCATCTGGATGTGTAAGGCGAGCTAAACTCGGCGTCAGATCAATGTGCGTAATCTCGAGATTATTGATTGACGCAATCAAGTCATCGAGAATGAGGTCTCTCGGTGCTGCAACAACGGTTATGCCGACCGACCAACTCCAGTATTGTTCCAACACCGAGACATCAAAGTGGAGGGCAGCAAACTGCAGCCATCTAGAGTCATCGCTCCAATGCCCTTTGAACAATTCTTGGAAGGCCATCATTGCCTGCACGCTATTGTCATGCGTAATCTCGCATCCTTTTGGCGTTCCTGTTGTGCCTGAAGTATACAAACAATAACACGTCGTATCCGGTGTGATTTGCGGATCCAATTCCCGCTTCTCGGCAGACAAATGCTGTATAGATTCCAAATCAACGTTAATAATCTCTGCGTCTGTATCAAACCCGATTTCACTTCCAGAGGTCTTGAGAAGACAAGGTGCCATGGAGTCTCTCAGAATAAACTCCTTCCGATCGTTGGGAGCACTGGGGTCCAGCGCTACAAAAGCGCAGCCAGCTTTCAATATCCCAAGGATGGAAAAGTAGGCCTCTGGGCATTTTTCAAAGTGAATTGCAACAATGCTTCCAACGGCCGCAATGCCACTCAGCAAGTTGGCCACTCTATTACCCATCTCATCAAATTCAGCGTAAGACCACACCTGCTTCACAGGCCGTGAGCCTTCAAATTTTGCGACAAATTCAAGAGCAGTAGCATGCGGGTGAGACAAAGCTCTCTCTTCCACGAAATGGTGCAAAAATCGCACAGGCGCAGGCAGTTCTAGCGATACAGTGGGAGTTATGGAAAATAGATCAGGCTTCGATTGGTAGATGCCATCTTCATCAGCTTCAGGCTCAGTAGCAATGTGAATCATCATCGCGTCAAACTGTCTGACCAACAAGTCCGCCTGTTCCTCTGGCAAAACGTCGCTGAAAAAGGTGATGCAAAGTCGAATCTCATCACTACTCATGGGTTTGACCTCTAGAGACACCGGATAGTCGACAGTCGCATAGTCGCCAACAAGCTTCCAGCGCCGAGCGTCAGAAGGCTCATTATCCAACTTTTGGTAAACCAGAATCGTATCGAATACAGGTCTTGCAGGATGACCCAGCCACTTCTGGATCTGAGATAGAGGAGCATACTGGTGCCTATGTGCGTCGATATTGTACTCCATCATTGAGCGGGCCAATTGAGCATTCGACGGTAGATTCGAAGCAACAACAGGAATCGTGTTCATACAAGGGAATGGTGCATCCCTCGTCTCATCTAGACTCCGGCCCGATAAAGTTACTCCAAACACGACAGAGTCCTCGCCCAAGTATGCAGCGAGAATTCTCGTCCACGCCGCTTGAATAATTGCCTGGACCGATACATTTTGCTGCTTAGCCAACATCTGCAAGGTTGACAGCGCCATATTAGACTTGATTTCATGTGAAATCATATTTCTTGTATCTTCTCGGAGCGGTGTCATGACGGGAAAAGTGTTCACCACTGTGGTTTCAGCTTTGCTTTGCCAGAAATCCTGCGCATCGCTTTGATGACTGATGCTTTTGGATAGAATCTCTGCCAGCGCAGGCTCTATGGGTTGGATAAAAGTGGCACTTGGTCTTTCTAGGAGCTCAGATAGAAGCTCTAGTATCTGGCCCAGCGAATGCGCATCATAGAGAGCGTGATGTATCAGGATGTTCATGGTCAGTTTGCCCTCAGCCTCCGCCAGCACAACTCTCCAAGGCGGTAAGTGTAAGTTATTCAAGATCAAAGTCGATTGCTCCGCTTTCCATCTGAATAAGTCACCGTCCGATGCCAAATCAGATACAGAATTCGTCAAATCAAGTGTTTCCGACCCAGAGGGATATCTTAGCATTGCATACGAGCTATGCCGGTTCTGAATCGCAACAAATCCGGTACGAAGCATTGGATGTCGATCTCGAAGAGACTTCCAAGCTCTAGTCAAATCATCCTTTGAGATAGTATTTTCGACTTCATAGGACAAAAGATTTAGATAATTCTTCCCTTGAGACTGATCAAAAGAAGCAAGCATGGCGCTCTGGAGAGGAGTACAAGGAAGAATGGCTTCCACGGCAGCAATATCCGATATTGTGTGCCCCAATTGAGCAGACACACCCTTCGAAAATGTGTCAAAGTCATATCCAGACGCCACTTTGTCACCGTTGATGGCTTCAGATATCCTATCCGCCAATCGAACACAATTTTGGCACTCAATGACATCGGAAGCAGACACCGCAAGGCCCTCCTTACGAAGCATAGAAGCTACTTGAACTGCATTGATGCTGTCCAGTCCAAGTTGGAATATACTTGTTTCATGGCGAATCTTTTGAATCGGAGTTGCTGAAAGACTTGAAAGAACTTGGCGAATTTTCGTCTGCAGTTCCGTCCATTCCGCATCGCTCTGGTAATCTTCTACCGGGGTTATACGCGTGTTTCTTCTGACGTTGATCTCATCTAGAATGGATAAATGAAAAGGTTGTACATCGTTTTTACTCGGCATAGCTGACGAAGGGTGATCTAAAATAGTTCGGAAAAACAGTTTGAAGATCTCGGTAAATACCAATGCAAGATCTGCGCTCACTGCGCTCTTCTCATAATGCATGCTGACATCCAGCGCGTTCAGATTTTGGCGAGGAATAACTTCGCAGACGATTGGAATATCCATCTCGCCATAATCTTCTTCTAGAGACCATAGACCAGCGTCCATGTCTTGCGATGGATTTTGAAGAAGCAACAACGTATCAAACAACCCCAAGCCTTCCTTTGTAACGAGCTTCTGAATGGACCTCAGAGGCGAGAATTGAAACGGTTGGAAATCAGAATTTAGACTTTGGAAAGACTTGGCGAGGTCAATGCTGCGGGAAAAGGTAGAAATATCATGCCTGACAGGAATCGTGTTAAAGCAAGGTGCAACTAGCCTGTCCAGACCTTCGATATCCAGACTACGGCCATTCATCACCAGTCCGAAGCAGATGTCTGGAGAATTTGAGCAAACTGCAAGCACATCTGCCCAAGCGGCCTGACACACGGAGAGTAAAGACACTCCAAGGGTTCTAAGCCGATCTTTTGTCTCATTATACGATGCGTGAAGAGTATCTTCACGCGTACCCTGAGAGCTCTGAATCCTTGGCGGTTTTGTGAAGAGATTGAAAGGTGAGTATCCTCTAAAATGAATTTCCCAGAACTTTTCGGTATCTTCAGGCAAGCTAAGCGCCTCTTGAAGAAAGGGCAAGTAGGAAACAGGGGGAGGCAGTGTTTTTCCATGCGCTAAAGACTCCACCTCTCTCCAAAGGTTTTCCATCGCCACGCCATCGTAGAGCGCGTGGTGGCATATGAAAGATAGGTATGCCGATTGCTGTTGCTGGATAATAGCAAATGATAACGGCGGCATCTTAGTATCCAAGGGATCGGGAAGGCCAGTCAAGTGTTCTTGAACAGTCTCGTGGAGAGAAGATTCATCAGCGCTGAAATCCTTCCACTGAACAACCCAATTATCCAAAACCACCTGGGCGATCGGAAATTTGACGTTATCAGTGGTAATGAAGCACGTTCTGAAGATGCTGTGCCGGTTTGTCATCTCATTCCAATACCCTCTCATCTCATCCACAGGGCCATGGAGCCGAAGAAGAGTTCTATTGTAATAGCTGCCCTGCCCTTGAGCCAGCATTGCTTCTTGAAGAGGAGAACACGGTAGCACTTCAGCAATAGAATATGGCTCTTGCTGAAAAGCTTTGTGAACCTCTTCTACGAAAGTATCGGAGAAGAACTTCACTTGCTTCGTTGAATGACCTGTCTCTGGTCTCTCCTCGAGAAAGCGAGCAAGCTGCGCAATAGACGGGTTCTGCAAAATTGCCGAAATAGGAACCCGGCGATCTAGCTGGGAGTTGAAGGCGCGAGATACGCCTATTGCAGATATAGAGTCTAGTCCAATTGTCACAAACGGCGTCCATCGACCAATGTCAACTCTGGACATTCCCAAAGATTGAGCGATAACGTTTGCTATCAAGGTTTCCGTCTTGCTCCATTCGGCATCATCTTCAGCCACCATGGTACTGGAAACCCTCTCAAGGTACTCCTGAGAGAGGTTATTGAAGCAAGACTGCAGTTTTCGTCGATCGACTTTTCCGCTAGACGTGAGTGGTATGCGAGAGATGGGTATAATGTATGAAGGTACCATATAAGACGATAGTTTTGATAGCAGGGCGGAAAATAAAGAGCGATGAGTCTCGGTATCAGGCTTCAAGGCTTCACATGCTTCCTCGCCAGTCTTATGCGAAGTAGTATAGAACGAGACAAGTTGATCCGCTGCTCCTACTTCTCTCTTTAATATCAAAGTCACCGCAGCGTGGACAGATGAGTTCAGAGTAATCACGCTGTTGACTTCGCTAGCCTCAATTCTTTGACCCCTCAGTTTGAGCTGGTCATCGATTCGGCCCAGTATGATGAGTGATTTGTCCGGAAGCATTCTTCCCATGTCGCCAGAACGATAAATAAGGCCATATTCAGGATGCTTGATGAACCTTTCTGTAGTCAGATTCGGCATATTGAGATACCCATCAGCCACTTGTTCTCCACCAAAGCAAAACTCTCCGATCCAGCCAATTGGAACTGTTGAGAGGCTGTCTGGATAAAGCACAAACACTGATGTGTTAGGAAAACACCAGCCCAAGTGTTCAATATATTCACCGCGCTTCATCCTTTTAACACTGCAAATGTTTGTTGTCTCTGATGGTCCGTATCCTTGCCAAAGTAGCTCTCCCCACGTATCGAGAACTGATTGAGTCATGGGCTCTCCTGCTGTAACAAGAAACTCTACATCAGGTACATTCCTCGGGTCGATCAGCGATGCCACTGTCGGCGTCAGGCTCAAATGCGTAATCTGGAACTGCCGAATCGAATGCTCCAAGTCTTCAAACAAATCGTCGTTAGCAGCAGCGCAGAGACACATGCCAGCGTGCCAAGCAAAGAATATCTCGAATACCGAGACATCAAATGCTTGCGAGCAAGCTTGCAGTAGCCGGGAAGGATTCCTTTGCGCGGCAGGATATATAGATGCAAGATACGTGACATTGCTGACAATATTCTTCTGGCTGACAGCTACTCCCTTGGGCACACCTGTGGTTCCTGAGGTATAAATCACATAGGCCAGCCTAGAAGGGTTTGGATCTATGTCCAGATTGTGAGTCGAGAAATTCTGCAATGGGTCTGACTCAAAGTCCAAATAATGAACATCGACTGCGTCATAAAACTTGTTCAGCGACTCTTCATCTACAACGCAGTGCCTTATGCCTCCAGTTTGAAAAATCTCCTTTACTCTCTCGATTGGCGTGGATGGTAAGAGAGGCAGATACGCACACCTGGCCTTGACGATGCCCAAAATTGAAGAATACAGAAGAGGTGATTTCTGCATGATAATTCCAACCACTTGGCCTGGTTCCGCGCCTTCCTCGAGTAAGTAGCGAGCGAATTGATTGGAAAGTTGATTCAAAGTCTCATATGACAGAGTTTCCCCAGATGACGGAAATGACCTGCTGAAACAGACGGCATCTGCGTTGGGAGTCCTTGCAGCTGCAGCCTCGAATAACAAAGCTAGATCTGTCTCTTCTTGTAGCTTTTCAGGGTCTGTATTTGCAACAGACGGCTCAGTACTTGTAGCTTCTTTCAATTCACTGATTAACCCATCAGGATGCTGCATTATGTGCTGAACAACCGCTGTAATTTGCTTGACCAATGTTTCCACGACATCGGATGGAATGGCATCAGTGTGGTGCGTAGCTTGTATTGAAAATCCAGAATCATTTGGTTCAACCTCCAGCAGCAACCTAGTTTCCAGTCGGTCTAGATGTCGGGTTTCTCTGATAATAGCCTCTTTGCGATTCTTTGTGTAGAGTGATTCTTGGTAAACGAACAGCACGTCGTATAAGCTTTCAGCCGCCTGCAGCCTAGAAAGCTTCTTAATCTCTGATAATGACAATATGCAATGCTCCATGATCTTGTGATTGCCCTCGTTGATATCCCTCAAAACGCCAGATATTGTAGTTGAAGGATCTATTTTCACGCGTAGAGGGAGCGATGCTATGCTTGGCCCAACAATTTCTTCGATATTTTTGACAGGAACTGTCCTCCCAGATGTAACTGAGCCCAGTAGAACATCTGACGTGCCTGCAATACTTCCCCACACGATTGCAAGAGCCGCTTGGAAATACACCTGTGCGCCATATCCCGCCTTTACAAAGGCGTCCCTAGCCACGTTGGGGGAGAGATCAATCTGCTCCTTGATAGATAATATCTCATCAAACTCAGCCGGTCCAGAGCCCAATTTTGGACGGCTAGGCTTATTCAGATCAATGAGATATTCGGCCCAAAATGATCTAGCAGCGTCTAGCTGGCTTCTTGGAACATTGTGCATATAATTGAGGAGGCTTGAAAACTGCGGTCGGCGAAACAGAGGTTTTTCGCACAAGAGATTGGATAAGTCTGAAAGTATAATGTCCATTGACCAGCCATCGTAAATAGCATGATGGATATAAATCAAAATACGCAGTCCCTCATCAGACCGAGCCGGCCGAATCTGTATTCGAAGTGGGCGAAGGAGTGCTTCGTCTCGAAATATCTCTGGCCGATGAAATTCTTCGACAATTTGTGTCTGGCCGGGCCGCAAAGACCCAAATAGTAGCGATACAAAACTTCCTTGCCAGCCAACAAATCCTAATCGTAAAACATCTGTTTGCTGCACCAGCAGATGAATGGCTTCTTCTATTGCTGCTGTAGTAATTCCAGGATTCACTTCCAGCTCAATCTCATTCCAATAAGCTTCCGGACGCCGTGCTGTCTCTGACAACATGGCCTCTTGGAGCGGACTGCACAGAAGCACATCTTGCACAAGCTCAAGGCTCTCCTGTACGCCAGTATTGCTCCCGGCGATCGAGCTCAAGCTACCCATCAAATGGATATCAACCAAGTCGGGCTCGCTATCAGAGGAGCGTGATGAAGGGCGTAGTCTGGAACAAAGTTGTGCTATTGTCTGCATGCTCAGCAGTTCTGCCACGACTGCATCATATCCGGCTGACCGAAGCGACGATGCCAATTTGATTGCAGCCAAAGAGTCTACGCCTACCGAAGCCAGAGTCATACTAGGGCTTATTTCGTTGCCCAAAGTGGTTGACAGGATGCCCATAACCGCCTGTTCTGTATCAGATAAGAGGATTGTAGAGTCATTATCTGTCATGGCCGCCGCTCTCTGTTGAGCAAAATCCGCTTTCAGCTTCTTCGTGTCAACTTTACCACTCGGCAGTCGAGGGAATTCATCCATTAGTACCAGTTCTCCCGGTATCATAAATTGTGGGAGCCAACTCCGACAATGCTCCATTATCAACTCTTCCGTTACACCAACATCCACAACGCAGAAGACAATCAAAATGGAGTCAACCACTGCTGCAACGGCCAAATGACAGCCAGGGGTTTTCAGCACAGCAGATTGTACTTCACCCAACTCGAGTCGCTGACCTCGAAGCTTTACCTGGCCTTCGGATAAGCGCCCATAGATTTCTATTGTTCCGTCACTGACAATTCGCGCTTTATCTCCAGTCCTGTAAATTCGGCCGTATGGCGAAGATATAAAAGAGGAAGCGGTCTGTTCTTGTCGATTTAGATATCCATCGGCGAGCTGATGTCCACCAACTGCTAATTCGCCAATCTCTCCTCTGGGCAAGATTTTGACATTTCCGCTCGTGTCTGCAGATTCTGCAGGCTCGACTATAAAGCATGATACTGTGGACAGTGGGATACCAATGTTCTTTATTGACGATGTACAGGTAAATGCTTCTTGTACAGTGCTTATGAATATATTAGAATGGTCTATTTAAAAAATCAAATGAGAAAGAAAACTTACCAGTGGATGGTGGCTTCCGTTGGCCCGTACATGGCCCATAGAAGACTCTTTCTATCCTCGTTTCCGCCGAATTCTCGTATTACAGGCTCATTGAGCATCTCTCCAATTGTCAATAGCAGCCGTAATGCTGGGACATTATCTCTCGTCCGCAAAAGACTGGCCGCAACGGTTGGCGTCAGCTCGCAAGCATCCACATTCATTTCTGAGATGGCTGCCGGGAGATCGTTCAGCATCTCCTTTCGGTCGACGCTGATCAATGTACTCCCCCGAAATAGGGGAAAGAATATCTCAAACACCGAGACATCAAAGGTGGGCGCGGCAAATTGAAGAAAGCGAGAGAATTCAGGCACATGCTGATCATGGGCTAGCAATGCCTGTGTTACTGCAGAATGCGATATGCCAACACCCTTTGGCACGCCGGTCGAACCAGAAGTATACATGACATATGCCAAGTCCTTTGTGCTTGGGACACGCCGACTCACAGAGTCCGCATCTAAATAAGGCCCTTCCTCTTCTTCATCAACTAAGAGCACGTTTACGGTGCTCTGTAAAGATACATTGGAGGCGAGCTCCTTGGCCGCCACGACAACAGTCGCGGCAACATCGCCGAGAATGAAGTTGACCCGATCTGGAGGAGCATCGACATTGATGGGGCAAAATGCGCCTCCAGCTTTGAGAATAGCCAATAGGGCTATGTATAGCTGAGGCGACTGGTGAACCAGGACTGGAACCACAAACTGATCTTTGACCTCTCCAACAGCACGACATATGCGGCTTGCAAGGGCATCCGCCGCATCATGAAGTTGGCGATAAGACAACGATAGGCGCCTATTTCCTCCTAGGTAGTCCAGAGCTATTGAGTCGCTCGACTCCCTGATTAGACGATGGAGGAGATCTGGACCAGCCAATCGTGTTGGGTGTGGGTTAAGCACAGATAAGTCAGCGGGCTCTGCCATTTTGGCCTGTTGCTTGCGTGCGTCTTCCGTATGCATGCAAAGATTGTCGGGAAATCTAAGATACCCTTTTCTGCTAACTAAGTGCTGATTACCGCAACCGTGGCGATAAAATTCGCAAAAGTGTCCAGATGCATCTACCTATGAGAGTATGCTTGTATCTTCATGTGAAATAGAGCTGCGTTCGTTGGTCAACTCCAGATGCACCCCATGCATGATTTCGCCAAGATTGAGCCACGCGCCCTCCAAATGTCTCTGTTTCAATTTGAAAAGAGAGACTTTTTTGATTAATGTCAATTGGCGTGCCGTTGATTCGCCCAATAGGCCCTCGAGGCGGCTCGTGATTGACGCGTCGATGGTAATGCGTTTAATCGTGCATGAGCTGGGGCGGAAGCGAACCTCTCAGAACGACGGAATTAATCAGCAAAGCGTAACAAGACGCAGCAGCTGCCAATCGAAGCTTCGGTTTGCGACACTGCGGCAGCCACTCGCGGTCATGTTGATGCAGGGCAGGTGTATGCTTTTAGTGTGGCTATAGTTGCTCCGAATAGTTTCTTCACGGTGCAGCTCTAGTCCTGTTCCTTCGTATAACAAATCCCGAAGCTCGGGTGCCGCACGCAATGTATGAATGCCCTGCTCGCTTAGCCTGAGGGCCGAACCGTTAGTGACAAGCCGCGAGAGTAATGATGGCGTCACAAGTGTAGGTGGAATTAGAATCGCTCTTCCAACCATGTGAATGTGGAAGGGAGACGGGCAAGACATCGACAGTGCCATGAAATACGATATCCTACAAAGTTAAAGCAGATCCTTAATAAAGCCAAACCAGGGCTGGCTGGGTGAACATGGCGTCTGACCGGAAGAGGGGCGGCCGCCTTGTCTGACATGGACCAGCGTTAAGTGATTAGTTGCGTGCGACTCCGTACTAGATTCGCTGGTGACAAACTTGAGAGACTCCAAGGGCAGATGTGCCGAGACTCCTCCCAAGGGCCGTCAAAGCACTCAAGTGGGGGCTCCCGGCTTTTTCCATTTCACAAGCAGCGCATTTACGATCCCCTCTCTGGCGATTGCGCGTCCTCGGTATCCTTGCGAGTGCAAAGTAGGTACCTGCAAGGGAACGGCGCTGTTCGCTCTTCTCGGCGTGCGTGACTGGCGGTGATTCACTCAGCTCTCGGCGGAGATAATGAGGGGCTGCCAAAGAACGGCTCGTTGCAAATCCTGGTTCGGCTCTTAGTTTTCAAAAGGAAATGAAGATGAAAAAATTTTCCATCTGCGCGGTGCAGGGCCCTGGGACTTGTATGATGCAGCGGATGGATGCGGATCCAACCACAGGACTTGATCTTATCTGATCCGTTTTTATCAGATCATCAGATAATTCCCTCAGTTGATCTCCACCCTGCTTGACTCTGATGGGGGCCTACCTCCGTCCTCGCAGCCGCTTCACCCTCTAGACGGCTGAAAGAGGATAATTCCAATGATTCACGGGTGTCGCAACTTGGTATCGGTCCATAGATCGGCCTTTATGCGGAGGATCAAAAGCCGTGGATTGGCTCATTTGAATTTCGATCGCCTCATGGAAACCTGTGCCGGCCGTGGAAGAAAAATTGCATCAGCCCACGCTATAGTCGCCAAGAAGGAGCGGACTTGATTAAAGCCTCTTTAAGAAGGTCGAGATCTACAGTCGAGAAGCAAGTTGGTTAGAATGGAAGAGAAGGAAGAAGAAAGACCCAGTGGTAGAAGATGAGGATGCTCCAACACTGGAAGCGAAGCTCTTCCCGCTGCGGCCAAAGCATTCAGCGATATTGTCCCCGTCGGCAGAGAATGAGAGAGATACAGTTGGCGGGCAAAAAAAGCTATTGCCGGCATCCAAACTACCCATGTGTAATTAGGCAAAGAAACCATCCCACTGCTGAGATGCACAGGGCTTCGAATGGGCCCATGCAACCCATGATATATGCATGCCTGCTTGCACTAGCTTCCAAGCTACACTGTGTACGGTGCGATGCTCGTCCGGCATTGGACCACGCAGCCGTGGTTCATCTGGTCTTCTCCGCTCGAGGATCCATTAGGCGGTTGGTCTCGGGTGTCTGAGACTCCTTTGGACGGAATCCGAGTTGATATAGGCGAGACTAGAAGCTTGTTTCCTTGGACAGGCACGGCGATGCGGCGAGTATAACTCTCGGCTGCTCCCACGGCCGCCCTCCCACAATTGACAAGCTTTCCAGCAACATCGCTCTTAGCGTCGCCAGACAGCACCAGATAGAGTTGTTTGCTAAGCCGTCTCTGCATACCTAGCAGACGTTACTCAAAGGGAAGAAAAACATTGGGGTTCATCTATTCTCACCTTCTTTTTTATTTTCTTTCCATTCGATTCCCGTCTTCTGCCGTCCTCCAAGATTAGCGTCGCTTCAAGACCTGTGGCCCGTGTGTAAAACGTCACCATTCTTTCACCCGTGGCGAAGCCATAACTTACATACCAATTCACGACGTCACAATGGCCCCTCACAGCGAGGTTACTCTCACTGACCTTGGTACTCCCAATGGCAGTGAACCAAGCACGCCCAATGGCAGCGAGCACGCTCACCAGGGCAACGGTTTTGAGAACTCCTTGATTGGCTCAATTGAGCAGAATAACAGAGGCTCAATACCACAAACCAACGGCCGCCTGTCTGAGAGCAAAATGCAGAAGCAGAAGTCGCCCTATTTGACGCAGTCGGATCCAGATTCTGAGTTTGACCTCATCTGCGTTGGATTCGGCCCTGCTAGTCTGGCGGTTGCTGTCGCTCTTCACGATGCAATCGCTTCAGGACAGCAGCTGCTTGCGAATGGCTCGCCCCCCAAAATCCTCTTCATCGAAAAGCAGACTCGCTTCGCCTGGCATGCGGGTATGCTTCTCCCTGGCGCAAAGATGCAGATTTCCTTTGTCAAGGACCTTGCGACGCTGAGGGATCCGCGGTCTGAGTTTACGTTTCTCAACTATTTGCACCGCAATGGAAGACTGGTTGATTTTACCAACCTGGGCACTTTCTTGCCGGCGCGCGTTGAGTATGAGGACTACCTCCGATGGTGTGCCTCCTTCTTTGAGCACCTCGTTCAATATGGCCAAGAAGTTGTCTCGGTCTCTCCAGAATCCAAGACAGGGGAGTCGACTCGCACATTTGCGGTCCGGTCGAGAAATCCAAAGACGGGTGAGACGCTCTCCTTCCGCGGTCGCAACGTGCTCATTGCGACGGGTGGCCAGCCAAACTTTCCCAAGAGCTTCCCAGCCAAGCACCCACGGATCATCCATTCTTCTCAGTACGCGTACATGGTTCCAGAGATTCTTTCCAACAAGGATGCTCCGTATCGTGTTGCGGTTCTTGGTGCAGGCCAAAGCGCTGCAGAGATCTTCCACAACATCCAGACGTTGTACCCCAACTCAAAGACGGCGCTGGTGATGCGGCCCGAATTTCTGAAACCCAGTGATGATTCTCCCTTGTGAGTCTACCCTTATCCAGACTATTGTAGCGATGGCGAAAATCTAACATGGTGAGCAGCGTCAACTCAGTTTTCAACCCCGAGTATGTCGACACAATCTTTCCCAAGTCGGCAAGGCATCGTAACAACTTCTTGACTGAGGCTCGAGCCACCAACTATGGTGTCGTAAGGCTGAATCTCATTGAAGAGATGTACGAGCGCCAGTACGAGCAAAAACGAGAACTTGGCCCCAACGAGAAGGAGTGGCCTCACAGAATCATGGGTGGCCGGCAGGTTACAAGCATTGAGCCGCGTGAAGATGCCTTGGAGCTCAAGGTTCAGCACATCTCGGACAGCGAGTTTGAAGGATTTGTCGACCTCGTTGATGAAGAGACGCTCGAGGTAGACCTGCTAATCGCCGCTACGGGCTACCAGCGCAATGCACACGTCGGCATGCTCCGCGATACATGGGACATGCTGCCCAAGGCCTCGCCAGTTGGTCAAGAGTACCACAAGGGAATCACTGGATGGAAGGTCGAGACTGACCAAGGAGAGCGCAAATTGGCCGTCTCGAGAGACTATCAAGTGCAGTATAAGCCTGGATCCGTGGCCAAAGACTCTGGCGTATGGCTGCAGGGCTGCTGCGAAGGTACTCACGGGGTAAGTCGACGTTTTTTTGAATAATATCTGATGAGGAGTAGTGCTAATAGCAAGCAGTTGAGCGACACGCTCTTGTCGGTGTTGGCAACGAGGTCGGCTGAAATTGTGAATTCAATCTTTCCCGGCAGTAAATGAGGAGTGAGAGGTGTTGAATGCAAGAGCCAGATACCCAACAAAACAGTCTGATGCAGCCAAGATTTAAGACGACTCTCCTGAGCGCAGTCTATGGCGTAGCAGACGGAGAGTTCCCAAGAGATTCGCTGCAGAAAGCTGCACCGATTAGCGACTGATGCGCGGTGCAAAATACATATCTTCCAATTACTCACATCAAGCAATAATAAATGAATAAAAAATGTTATCTGTTCTACACGTTTTTACTTGCTGTGGTTTCGTCTAAAGCCATGAGTTTTGTAATGTGTGTTGCGTTCAGCGCTGGGGCAAAACTTGCCCCAGCTGTTGGAATTCAGGGTAGGACGTGATGCGTGACTGAGCAAAGTCACGGCGAATAGAGCAGTCAGCGTCGCTGGTTTAGGTATTGAAGCGGCAGATGTTTGGGTTGGACAAGAATGAAATAGCATGGAAAAGTTCATGTCAATACAGTTGGAGGATTTTGCCACCGCCTAGATGTTCAGTTTACGCAGATGGCAGCTGAGAAATGGCAAGTGCTAGAGTCAGTCTTGGCAGCTTCCCTCAATGACACTTCAATTCTAACACACAATTTGGCAGATGTATCGGCTACGCAGAAAATAGCAGGCTGGGTACTCGCAAAATATCTAATACGATCAGATCACAACGCTGTAAATACATGCACGAACGAATCCTACAGCAAGCATGTAGGTAAGCTTAGTAGATAAACGTCTAATGGCTTGACGCTTGATGCATGGCGTATTAGAAAGCTGGTGCCTTTGTTTCACAAACTTTGGATACGCTGAAGAGCTATCCATTCCCGCTCTAATAGAGCCAAGACTTGCTGCCAAATCCAGCACGCGTATAAGTTATTGACCCCTGTCTATCGGATGGATGCCGAGTAAATGTAGTGCAAACAGGAGCACTAATCCTAGACAACCTAGAAATGAGGAGCTGCAAGAATACTTTCGATGCCCCAATGCGAGAAATAGAAAGAGATTTTTAAAGTTCGTTTTATCCTTTTCAGCACAGGGCAACGGACTCCGCGGACACTCTCAACTCTCTCAAGACTGATCCTTGGATGTTTTGAAATTTTCCATCCACAAGGACGATGGCCGAATTGGACGCGCAATTGAGTGGATGCCCAGACGCATGGTGACGCGAGCGCTGATGGGGTCAGAGATGCAAGGAGACGTAATTCGGCCTCGTGCCTTGCGTTAGCAGCTGACAAGAAAATTGTTTCAAACATGTCAGAATATCATTGACTGTTGATTGAAACGAAGAGTGAGGCCATCATCAGTTTTGCAAGCTGCCTATAGCATTGATGCTGCTGTTGTCACTGCCTACATGCATGTATGGGCCATCTCTAATGCGTGGCTGTGTGCAAACTGCTGCATGCAAGATCCCACAGTCTAAACCGCTGTCAAAGGGCTGTGCTGTTCGCTGCTCTCCATTCTAAAGCTGTGCTTGGCAATAGCTGCTAGGATCAAGCAAAGCCCACATGTTCGCTCCCAAAAACGGAAAGCTAGATGCAAAACACTCCCTGTCTTGTTTTTATTTGATTTCTATTTCCTTTTCTGTTTATGCTTGTTCAGTCTACTCTATTCTTATCAACCCGGTCAGCAAGATTGGTCAGAAAGACGACGAGGCCGCGAAGGCATTGCGTAGGTCGAGGGGCAGCATTCGTCACCGTTACCGCCAGAGCGCGCCAGTTTGGGCCTGTCAACAGCGTCAATGGCCCTCGAGCGATCCGCTACGGCTCAACAGCGTTAGCGACGAATCCGCCCGTCAGAAGAGCATCCAGAAATTGAATTGAGTGCATGGACGGGCCCTGGCAGGGTTCGGCGAGTTGGGGCATGTGCACGCTGGAGCTGCCAGAACAACGTGGGGGAGCCGCTGTGGCTGCGCCCTATCGGAAGCTTCCACAGCGCATGGTACAGCGACCTTGTGCGAGCAATGGCTCGTGGCGCTGTACGGGCAAATACGAGTCTGGCTGCATTTGATAGCAATAGTTTGATGTATACGGCAGGGTCAGCAAGGCTCAGACTCGATACGCACGCTTCCGGTATTGAAGTGAAACGAAGCTCGGGATTTCATTTTCCACCTCTCTTCTATCTTTAGAAGTTCCACTGGACAGCGGCATCGTAACGTTCCTTTGCGTCGAGGCCACTGTACAGCCCAAACTGCCACCTCCTTGTGAGGCGCATCCAGCACGGCATCCAGCAGCACCCAGAGCGCTGTTGGCACTAAACTCGGGGCTTACCACCCGCTATATCGTCCTAGTCGCCTCAATCCTGTCTCGTCGCCCACTTTTTAGCCTCTCCCCGCGCTCAAGTCCGCAAAGGGCCCCGGCCGGAGATGAATCGAGCACAGTCCACAGTCCCAGCCTTGCGAGGGCTTTTGCTGTACACGAGGCCGTATGACGATGAGACACGGATCGCCCGATGGAAGCTGAGGCGGGCGGTGGCCGGGCCTGGCGAGAAGCGCTATCAGAGGCTGTCGATGGAGAGATTGTGACGACGCCAGACCAGGTCCTGATGCGACCACACTCTGGCGGGGGTCATGGCTTGTCTCTGTGCTGCTCTGGCTGCTGGCCGTTCACTCATCGGCGTGTAGCGACTCGGGACAACTATCGTGATTGACATACGTACGCACCCACATACGTACGTACTGCTGCTGGTGACGGCCCACAGACAGCCGCATAGAAAAGGTACGGCTTGCTGCGTGTGCTGTTGCTCTCGAGATTGGGAGTCATTGCAGATATCTCGAACAAGTCTGATGTTTCTTTAGCATCCATTGAGGCATCTCGACCTGGAACCAACACCGCATCACCGCTGGAGCCTCGTCAACAACTTGTCAACAACTCGTCAACAACTCGTCAACAACTCGTCGACAACTCGCCCCAATGCAGCTCGACAGCAGCGACGGCAGACGGCCCTCGGCTACCCAGCGGCTACCCGTCAACCCTCGCCGCCACAAGGTAGCCCCCGAGCAGCGAAAGAGAGTTGCCACTGCGTATGTGCTGCTATCCCCAATCCACATTCCGTATTATTCGAAAAGTCCCCTGCTAACCTGCTCTCTTGCCGCAAACCAGATGCAACAGCTGTAATGTGCGCCGGGTCAAGTGCTCAGGCGGAACTCCTTGCGGCCAGTGCGCCGCGTCTAACCGCGAATGCGTCTATCCCGTCCCAGTCGAAAAAGTCAGCGTGCCGCGCGCTGAGATGGACGAGCTGCGGCGCAAAGTCGAATTGTATGAGAGGGCGCTCCAGGAAACCATCCCTGACCCCGCCAGGAGGCAGGAGCTGATCAACCATGTCTCTTCGACTCCAGACGGACCGTCGCCGTCGCCTCTCCCTCTCAGCCCGAGCCAGTCTTTTCCTTCGGAAAGCAGTCACCGTCAGGCCAGCTCCTCGGTCAAGGGCGAGTCGGAAGACGAGCAGACAGCTAGTCGTCTGCTTCAGGACCCCGATGGCACGGCGAGCTTCCTCGGGGAGACCAGCGGTGCTACTTTTCTCGATAACCTGAAAGAGCTGCTGGGAGCTGTACTACCCCTGTCTCAGGTAGAGCCGCAGTTATCTCACGACCAAGACGGAAGTGCCTTTTTGTCGAGCCTGGGAAGATACTACACCGATGACTCTCGCTCAATGGTTGAGCTAGAGCCTCAACCAGTGCCACTGCCCCTCAACGAAGACCTCGCCACTTTGATGTCAAAGCTGAGATACTTGATCCAAGATGGAAACGGCGAATGGCCGAGCGGCGGTATCTATTGGTGGGGAGAATTGGATATGCTTCCCGCCCACATAAGCTCATCTGCCTCAGACACAAATCTGAACGATCATCGCCACTTGGCATTCTACCATGCTGCCCTGGCCCTCATCACAAGAGCCAGCACCCCGTCCCAGGAGGTTCAAGGTGGTGCATCAACATCTCCGCTCAGTGAAGCGTACTTTGCCCATGCCTCGGCCGTCGTGGGCAATCCCTTGGATATAAGTCGCAGTTGCACAATGGGAGATGTTGCCACGCTGTGTCTCATGTCAGCCTATCTGATCGAGGTGAATAGGAAAGATGCCGCCTATATGCATGTTGCGGCGGCCATGCATATTTGCATCATGCTGGGCGTCCATCGGGGAATGGTTGACGAGAGAGGCAAGCGAGTGTTTTGGACGGTATACATCATGGACCGGTGGCTGAGCTGTCTGATGGGCCGGCCGCACATCATCATGGACGATGCCATCCGGCTCCAGCTGCCAGAAGATGCCCCGTAAGTCTGTTTCCCTTTGTTGCCTTTTCCCCCTTGCGCCCCTTTCTCCGTATCTTTTCGCGGCCAATGTTATCCTCCAAATCTTGTGACGTTTGCTGATATGTTGCCATAGATCAATGCCCCCTGCTGATGGGTTGAGGGCTCACGCTGAGCTATCCAGGATTTCTGGTTATGTCGTTTGCAACACGTATCGCGTAGCTCCATGGGAGGCAGCTCGAGGAGGATTGTCCAGGCAGCCAGACAAGGCCATCTGGATGTTGCAGCAATGGCAGTCGACGCTCCCGCCTCGTCTGCAGCTCTCTCCTGACGGGCTGAGCAACGACCCTGCCTGTTGTTTCCTCCACATGAGATACAACATGCTCCTGATCCTGGCTATCCGGCCTCTGTACTTGGGTGCCGTGAAGAGATCGATAGCCAAGCGCCTCATGTTGCAGACAGTCGATTCTTACACGCACTCGGAGCACCTGAAGCTGTGCATTGCGGCTGCACGTCGTAACATCCGCCTCGGACGCCAAGTGAGGGCACTCGACATTGCTCGAAAGTCGCCCCTGTACGCAGAGCAGCATTTTTCCTTCAACGCCACCGTCTGCCTCATCCTGGAGGACTTGATCTCGGACGAGGAAGTGTCAGAAGAGGAAAGGGAAGCGAGAAACAGAGACATTCTGTTTGGCATCCAAGTAGAAGAAGAGGGCCTCACCGGCTTTGGCCAGACATCGGCATCGTCCAACACGCTGCGCCACCTGTGGACGCTGGCTCGCAGACTGACGGGCTCGATAGCGCAGGCTCAGGAGGTGAGCAATGCCCAGCTGGTTGAGCAGCGACTTGCCCCGCCGATGATGACGACGCTTCCGGGCTACTCAGTGCCGCGCATGCAAACCGGGGAAGACCATGCCCTTTACGACGAGTTAGTGGCCTGGGTCGACGACGAGTGGCCCGTCTACAGCACCGGGTTGTACAGTGGCTTTATGCAGTGATGGACGATGGTGATGGACGATGAATGGTGGACAGAGAATTACAGAGGCCTCCAAAGTGGTGGCGATTGCATTTGAATTGGCGACAGCGACGATACCTTTTTGTTATATTCCAACTTTGTTTAGTGAGCATTTACGACCACCGACTAGGCCTAGGCACTTGAGATGGAGAGCATGTGAGACCAGGATAAAGAATTATCCTTTGGACGAATAGAAGAAATTTACAAGATATTTTACCCCTGCGCTTTGCTTATAGTTGTGTGTTTCCCTGTTTCAATTGACAACCCAACGACTCATTGCGAGCCTCGGGCGCTAGAGGCCTTGCGGCTGGCGCTACACTAACACGCAGTGGAGTGCTGCTAATCAATTACGCGTGTTACAGACCGTATTAGAGCATCTTTATCCATCACTATTACCTACTGTATAGATCAATTAATCGAGACTCAAGTATACAGCGATGGCAATGAGAATTTGCTCTGAATTAAGAGACACTGCCCTCTCCATACTTGACGTGACAATTGCATCTCCATCATGGCGTAAAGTCACAAAGTGTAAATCATGCGTCTTGCTTCAGCATTGATGTCACGTCACGCCACACCCCAAAACGTAATGCTCCAAAATCTCCAACCAGCCTCACTCATCCTCATCTACTGAAATCCTCATCATAAAGCATCAAATTAATTCTTCTCTCTCGCATCTCAATAACAATGTCTTTGCTAAAAAAGAGTGCCGTGGCAGTCAGCTTCATCTTCAAGTTCCCAGAGGGAAACTTGACGCGCAGACCCCAGGTTGCGCTGTTCCGTAGAAGCGGAGAGGTGAATACTTATCCGTCAGTATAAACCACCTCACTTACTCTCAATTTTCAAGCATCGCGGTAATTGGAAACAACTGAATATTGGGTTCTACTTATTTAAAACACATCAAAATACTAAACAGTTTCCCAACAGCCACAAACTCGCCCCCATCTCAGGCGGCGTCGAACTCTTCGACGCTTCCCCCCTCGCCACAGCATGGCGCGAACTCGCCGAAGAAACCACCCTCACAGCAACCTCGCTGCGGCTCTTCCGCCAGGGCAAGCCCTATTCATTCACCGATCTAGACGTCGGCCGTGAATGGACCATTAATCCTTTTGCCTTTATCCTGAAACCTGCCCAGCAAGGCGGTGCAGGTGCGGCAGGCATCAAAATCGACTGGGAGCACGAGGCTTTCCAGTGGTTCGACCCTGATGACGTCTCCGGCGACGAAGCCTTCCAAGGCGTGCCCCGACTGAAGGAGAGTCTGCGGCGAGTCTGGTTCGAGATTGATCTGGGCAGAGACGCAGCCGGTGTCCTGGCAGCTGGGCTCAAAGCGCTGCAAGACGACCATGTAAGCGGGGCACGGCAACTGGCAGCAAAAGCACTCACCATCTACCTCGACGTGATTCCCCGTCTGGAAATCAAGGACCAAACGGCATGGTGGAAGAATGTCAGGTTCGCGGCATGGCATCTCTGGAAGAACGGCCGCGAGAGCATGGGCGCCCCTATCCTCAACGTCGTCTTGTCCAGCCTCGACATCATCGAGAAGCATCTTCCACGTCAAGAAACAACCAGCAGTCTCTCAAATACAACAATCGAACAAATTTGCGCTGAGATCAAGGACTTTGGAAAAGCAAGGCAGCAATCAGGAACCAAAATCGTCACCACCTTTGCCGCCTTCCTAGACCAGTTCCCCAAAGACAAGCCCCTCAAAATCGTGACCCTCTCATCCAGCTCAACAATCACCTCGTCCCTCACCCACGTCCTCTCAGACTCCTCCCGTCCCCTCGACATCCACATTCTCGAATCCCGCCCCCTCTTCGAAGGCGTCAAACTCGCCCAACGCATCTCCTCCATTGCCCAAACCAACGCAAACACCAAAGTCAGCATCACCGTCCACACAGACGCCAGCGCCGCACTCGCCTCGCAAAACGCCCACATCCTCCTCCTCGGCGCAGACCTCATCGACAGAGCCGGCAACGTGAGCAACAAGACCGGCTCGCTCCCCGCGGTGCTCGCAGCGAGGCATGTTTCCCCCGGCGTCAAAGTCGTCGTCGTGGCGGAAAAGGAAAAGATCTTGCCGTTTGATCCGCCTGGGCACGATGAAGACAATGATGCGGGGGAGCTTGTTCGTAGCTGGGAGGATGTTGTTGGATCAGTGTCAGAGGGGAAGCTGCCGGGCGTGAATGTGAAGAATGTGTACTTTGAGTGGGTGCCTGCGACGATGGTGGATCTCTATCTCACCGAGGATGGCATTGAGGGCATGGAAGATGTAGAAAGATGGGCAGGAGAGGTGCGGCAAAAGGCGGATCACTTCTTTGACAATCTCTAAATCTATATACCCAGAATGTACTATCAGTTAACCAATTCATTTGCTATACAATCATCATGACTCCCCGTTTTCCTCTTGCTGCTCCTGAGGCTTCATACTCGCCAACTGACTCTGCAGCCCCCTTTTCCCAACCCTCATCGCAACCTCCAGCTCCCTCTCCTCCTCTCTCAACCTCGCCTTGCTCACAGCCACATCTCTCTCCCGCGTCCTCCTCTGCTCCTCAATCACCCTGTTACGCTCCTCCAACGCCTTTTCCCTCCTCTCCTTGGCCTCGCGCGCCTTTCTCTGCTCTTCGTCTTCAGCCGCAGAGGCAACATCTTCAGGAGGCGGCGGCAGTGTCTGCACGTAGGCCTCGACCAAGGCATCTCGGATTTTAGGCTCGAGGGAGATGTAGCGTATATCTGTAACAACCTGCGCGGGCAAGCCATTGGCAAGCGACTTGTTATGCAGGAGGTGTATCGGCTGTGCTTTGAGGAGGGCTGCAAGGTCGGATTTGAGCGTCGCCTGGGGCATCTTGAGACGGTTAATGTGTTCTCGGTACGACTTTTCCCGGTCCTTGTCCGACAGCTTCATGTCCTTCATGGGGTCTTCTTTTCTGTATTTCCTCTTAAACTCGGGCCAATACAGCTTCGGCGATGCCTTTTCCTGCAGAAACGCCATCCACGCAATCTTGGGGTCCTTCTTCTCCTGCTTGGCCCGCTGCTCCTTTAGCTCGGCAATCTTGTCTCGCGTCCACTCATCCCAGCACTCCTTTCGCGCCTTTGTCGTGCTCAAGGCCGTGTAGCGGGCATCTTGGACGATTTTGCCCTCCTCCAGAAGCTTGTCCCATGAGCTGTAGGGGTTGATGTTGAGGTCGATGAGCATATCCTTGAATAAGAACTTTGCGTCTTCTTCTGAAAACTCGACGCCCTCTGCGCCTTCGGGCCAGTCCTCCATGTTGCCGTCGTCGTAGTCTCCAGGCTCGAGGCCATAGTCTTCGCCCATGGCTTGTAGCTGGGCAATGATGTCTTCTTCTGTAAATTCACTGGGGCCTTGGCCTTGCTCGTTGCCCGTTTCGATCCGTTGTCGCTTTGAGGAATGCTCGCCGTCGCCGTCGTCGTCTTCGTCCCCTTGTCGATTTACGACCTGACCTTCGTCATCCACCTCGACCTCGTCGTACATGTATGCATCGCTCTCGTAATCGGCATCCAAATCAGCTGTCTTTTCAGCATCTTTGCTCTCCTCCCCTTTCGAATGATTGTCATCTGCTTCCTTCGTCTCGTCTTCACCGGCTGCCGACTGGAGTATCCGCTTCTTGTCCATTTCCAAAATGGCGGGCATGAGCTTCTCAGGTATGCGCCAGTAGCTCGCATTCTTCACCGGGTTGTACACGAAACGTCGCGAATACTTTGTGTACACCAGAATCCACGGCTCGCACCCAGGGATTGCTTCTTTTCTCCTGGGCTTGTCCGTGGGCTGTGGCCGCGGCCGTCCTTCGAACCCGCCTCGAGCGCCGCCAAAGCCGCCCCTTTGCGCCTGGGGCGGCGGCTGGTTGAACTGCGCCATGTAGGCATTTGCAACTCTTGGGTCTGAGAGATTGGGCACGGCGCCGTAGGGGTTGTAGGAAGGCTGGGGCCCGGCTTGAGCTGGCTGGACGCCTGGTCGCTTGTATGTCGATTCCTTGGTTTCGGCATTGTAGAAGTAGGTGTGGCCAGTCGGGGCCTGGTGTTCGGTCCATCCCGGCGGCAGGGGAGCCAATGGCGCCGCTTTGTGGGTGGACTTGAGCATTTCTCGCGATGCTGCTCTGAGGAGTGGTGGCAATGAGTGCAGGTGATGCAGAGCTGTGGTGTGTAGAAGAAGAGCCGAGCTTGGAGCTGGATATTTTTGGTGGTTAGCCTGGAAAGCTGCCGGGATTCAATTAGACGCGTCCCGGGCGTCGGCTCAGCAGCCGGGACGCCAATTACAGGTGGAGCTGCCCCCAAGGACGGCTGTTTTAGCGACTAGCGCTCACTGTGAGTTGCCAGCTCGACTTACACGGACACTCGGCTTGAGTCTTGTAGATGGTAGCAGACGGATGCATATATATGGCGATGAAATAGATAAAAAGCTTCATCAATAGTAATTCTCGCTATAGGTAATATCAAGAAATTATTTTTGCAAAGCCCTTCAGCTCTTCCGCACCCCCAGCTTCGCAGCCAAAGCCTCTGCGATATCCCGTGCAAACCCCTTGTCATTAACATGCCTCTCATCCTCAACAATCTTGATTCCACTGCCACTTAATCCTGTTTTTATAGCCTCAAAGAGCACCTTGTCCGCCTCGGGATCCTCAAACGCGCCTCCAGGCACTGCAAGCATACTGACACCTCCCTTTGGGATCCACACTTCAATCATATCCGACCTCTTGGTCTTCCTCAGCTTCTCGGCAATGAAGCCTCCGATTTCACGGCATTCTTCCGGTGAAGTCCTCACCAGCGTGACAGTCGGATTGTGCTCATAAATGACTCTGCCCTCGTACTTGTTGGGCAGCGTATCCCGAGGGCCAAAGTTGATCATGTCAAGAGCACCCAGAGATACGATATTGGGCAGACTGGCCTCAACAGCAGCTTCCAGCCGATGTCCTCCCGCCGAAAGAACTCCGCCGCCCAGATGATCGCAAATCTCAGTTGTCGTGAGGTCAATAACTGCGTCGAGCTGGCCTTCGCGAATGAGCCGCTCCATTGCCCGGCCTCCAGTGCCAACGGCATGGAAAACATACGTTTCGACGGGATAATTCGATTCAAGATGAGAGCGGATAGCATCGACGCCAGGCGTTGTGACGCCAAACATGGAGATGCCCACCCGCCACTTCTTTATGGCCTCGGCCGCTGCATCTTCCATCTTTCTGTCTTTTCTAGCAGCGTGAGACAAGGCCATGCTGGCAATTGCCGCGCCAGCATTGCTCAAGATGTCTCGCAGGATGGGATTCAGCCCAGCAACGTCCACAACAGAGTGCATCAGCGTAATGTCCGTCTCGCCAACCACGGGCCGTGTGTCGCCGCTCGCCATTGTCGACACGATGAGCTTGGGAAGCCCAACAGGGAGGACATGACGCATGACAGCCGCTGCGAGAGCCGTGCCGCTGGACCCCCCTGCCGAGATGATGCCATCAACCGAGCCTGCCTCATACAGAGCCTGTATTGCTTTGGAGGCACAGCGGGCCATGAGCTGCACAAACTCGCCCCTGGGCATGTCCGAGACATCAGCTCCATCGCCATAGCTCGACAGGAGGGTAGCCTGAGAGGTCGTAATGGCCTGGTGTTCAACGGGGTTTCGTCCGACGTCTATGAGAAACGGCATGACTTTGGTGCCATCTTGAATCTGGTCCTTGAGAAAAAGAAGTTCCTGGAGCTTGGTGTCGCAAGTGCCTATGATGACGACAAAGGCACCAATCATGATGGGCAATTGAATCAGCGCTCAGAGACGTCCAGTCATCCGCCTATAAATCGATAAATGTCAATACGGCCAACGTGCAGCGAAGCTATCAGTAACAAGAACTGATCATAGGAAGAAAAAGAAATGCCCGATGCGGGGTTATGTAAGAAGATCTACGATTGCATTGTGAGACATTGAGACTCGGAATCCCACGCCGGTGTGCCGACGTCAACGCATCCTTGACAACTACAAAAAAAAAAAAAAAAAGACGAGAAATTAACCAGAAACTCGGTGCCAATGCGACCAGAAAAGCAGCAAGACAGTGTGGCGGGTAGTTTTGAGTTTTGGTGGGGAGCTCGGAAATCTGACATCAACGACGACGCAACTTCTCCACTAGAGATCCATGCCAGTTCTGGATCCGGCCAAAGCTCCAGGATGGACTGTCTAAGCTGATTCGGGATCATGTTTCCCATCAACTGAATTCATTTTCAAAGAGAGATAATTGAGTTGTAAGATTCTCTTTGGAATACAGTTGTATCTCTAAAACTCTACAAATCACTTACACGAAACAGCAATAGCATGGCGCCGCCAACAGACAGAGGCAAGATCCTGGCCAGCCTCCGCGCGCGAATCACCGAGGGCAAGTCCATCGTCGGCGCCGGTGCTGGCATTGGCTTGTCGGCAAAGTTCATCGAGGCTGGAGGCGGCGACCTCATCATCATCTACAACAGCGGCCGCTTCCGCATGGCCGGCCGCGGGTCGCTGTCCGGCTTGATGCCATACGGCGATGCCAACGGCATTGTGGTGGACATGGTAAGCAGGAGCTGAAACTTATACCGCCATCGTATATACGTCTGGAGCTGAACGGATCCCACAGGCAAGTGAAGTCCTCCCCGTGGTCAAGCACACGCCAGTCATCGCCGGCGTCTGCGGCACCGACCCCTTCCGCGACATTGCCGCCTTTCTCAAGCAGCTGCGCGACCTGGGCTTCGCCGGCGTGCAAAACTTCCCCACCGTCGGCCTCATCGACGGGCAGTTCAGGGCCAATCTCGAGGAGACGGGCATGGGATACGACCTGGAAGTCGACATGATCCGCCAAGCGCACTCGCTGGACCTGCTGACCACGCCGTACGTCTTCAACGTCGAGGAGAGCAAGAAGATGGCCCGGGCCGGCGCAGACGTCCTCGTTGCGCACATGGGCCTCACGACGAGCGGATCCATCGGCGCTGCCACCGGCAAGACGCTGGACGAGTCTGTGAGGCTGATTCAGGAGATTCGCGACGCGGCCGTCGCGATCAACCCGGATGTCATTGTTTTATGCCACGGAGGGCCTATTGCGGCGCCGAAAGACGCAGAGTATGTGCTCAGCCGGGTAAAGGGGCTTCACGGCTTTTATGGGGCGAGCTCCATGGAGAGATTGCCGGTTGAGACGGCCATTACTGGGATTACAAAGAGCTTCAAGGGACTGAAGCCGAGGCTGTGAAGTAACATGTATTTTTATTGCATCGAATCGTTGGCGGTGTTTTGATGTGGGAAAGGGGCAAAATGTAATCTTGGAAATGTCGATAAACCCGAGTAGTTGAATACATGTATCAATACTTACAACTCATGAGAAAGCTCAACAACTCGCCCCGACACTCATATTTTCATCTTTGATAATTGATTTCTCTTTCCAATTCCAAGTAATACAATCATTGTTTTCAATACGCATCTGCTCGGTTCATCGGACGCTTCTACACTCCGTGACGTGTCCCCTTGAAATCTCGTTGAGTCCACGTACGCCTACCCTGCACACAGCCCCATTTTTACTAGCATCGCCAACCTCAGTTGAACTCAGCCAACGTCCTTTTTTTCTTTTCGAGTTGCTCAACAAAACCTCAAAAATTTACCGTAGCCACAATAGCCGCTCTTACTCATGGATATGCCACTTGTAAACTAGAATCCACCCATTGCCATTACCGCCATCTCACTGTATTCATCTCTGCCTCGCGCAAATAATGCCTTCGCGAACGTCCAACGCAGGCGACTCGAGCTCCTCAATGGGGCCTCTGGCCAGATTCTGGAAAGTAAGTTGAGCCATACACGTCTCTTACTTGAATATTGCTAACTTCTTGTGCAGAAAACTCATGCGCCAGACTATGTCGGCTTCATAGTCCTCTTAGCCGGATGGATGCTGGTGCGTATCTACTCAACCTCCATCTCATCACGACCAACATCGATATTGACACTGACCCGTCTAGATTGTCAACCTGGTCAACCCTTTCCACCGCATGTTCTTCACCAACGATCTCCGCATCTCATATCCCCACGCCGAGCATGAGCGCGTCACCGTCCGTAAGTCATCTCTCATCTCTCATCTCCATCTTGCTCAACTCACTCATCCAACTCGACTCAACCAGCCCTCAACTTCCTCTACGCCCTCTTCATCCCTCTAGGCGTCCTCATCGCCTACAACATCATCACCCGCGCCTCCACCCACAAGCACGAGGCCACGTACCTCTCCTTCGCCATCTCCATCGTCCTCTCCTCCTTCATCACCGACGTCGTCAAAAACGCCGTTGGCCGCCCCCGACCAGACCTCCTCGCCCGCTGCCAGCCCTCCGCAGACACCGAGCCCAACGTCCTCGTCAACATCGACGTCTGCACCGCCCCCGACGGCCACACCCTCCAGGACGGCTGGCGCTCGTTTCCCTCTGGCCACTCGTCCTTTTCCTTTGCCGGCCTGGGCTTCCTGAGCCTGTTTCTGGCTGGTCAGCTACACGTCTTCAATTACTACACCGGCGGACGGGATCTCAGCCGAGCGCTCGTCTGCCTTGCTCCCCTCCTTGGCGCTGCACTGATAGCCATTTCACGCACCGAGGACTATCGCCATGATGTGTACGACGTGTGCGTTGGATCGGCGCTCGGCATGACGGTTGCGTACTGGAGCTACAGGAGGCATTGGCCTCACCTCACGAGCCCCGTGTGCGAGGAGCCTCATCCGCATCCATCTGCCGAGGCGCAACCGGCATGGCAGCGCGTGAGAGACGAGGAGGATCAGGACAGCGGCCTCATATTTCCGCTGGGAACCCGACGAAGCTGACTGGGGTCGATGGAAAGATTTGACCATCTATTCTGTAATGTATCATAGTGCAGGGATTTACGTATGTTTTGCGTCCACGATTTCTCTTGGAAACAGAGATGACTTGAGAACGAAAGAGTAAAGTGCGCACATCACACTTATACCTGCCATGGGGACATCATCGAATTTCAATTAGGACTATTTCTCACCCCCTTTTGGTATGCGCATGTGTCATTAAGTGCCCATTCTTAGTCTACTCGTATAGTTCAACGCCTCTAAAATGTTTGTTTATTTGTTTGTTATTTCTCCTCTGCATCCTCGCTCTTGGCCAGGTCGTGCTCCTTCAGCAGCGCCGTGATCTCATCGGCACTCCACAGCTTGTGGTAGATCTTGCCGTCCTCAGTCTGTCCCACCGTCGCGAATTCAACTAGACGCAAATGTTAGCAGGCCTGTCCGTGTAGCAGTGCACAGTCAGTAAAAGCTTACTCTTCTCGCTGCTCAGCTTTGTAGAGTCCATGGTCTTGCTAAGAACCTTGACAGCCACGCCGCATGCCTCCTTGAGCGTGCAGTCCTCTTGATAGTCCTGCTTCAACAAACTCTGCGCACTGGCATTGTTGGCTCCCGCGCTCGTGGCCTTCCATCCACCATAGTTTCCCGAGGGGTTGCTGAGATACAGCTGAAACTGTCTCCGGGGGTCCCAGCCGGCGTAGATGAAGGAAACGCCAAACGGCCGCAGACCACCGTGCTGTGTGTAGCCCTGCTTCAGATCGCACAGTCGGCGCACCAGCTGTTCGCAAGGAATGTCTTCGTTGTACGTGAGGAGGTATCGCTGGGCGGCTTGGCGGGCGTAGTTGATGAGGATGTTGGCATCGGCGGTCATGCCTGCTACTGCGCAGATCATGTTGCTGGGAGCACGCATGTTAGCATCTTGTATAGGCCCTTTATCTCGAGATTACGGCAACGCACTCGTTTAGGACGTAGAGCTTCTCGGCGGATGTGTCCTGCTCCAGCAGCTTCGAGGTGACCTTTCGCTCGGCGGCCAGGACGATGCCATCCTTGGCGAGGATGCCGATGGCGGTACCGGCGTGGGAGATGGCTTCTAGCGCATATTCGACCTGGTAGAGACGGCCCTCGGGCGAGAAGATGGTTGTCTAGCATCAAATGCGAAGTGGTTAGCAAGTTGATATTGACATTGCATACTGCACATTGCACATGGCAGCTCGCAGACGTACTCGGGAATCGTAGCGGCGGGACATTGTGGCGGGGCAATCTCTTTTGCTGCCGCAGAAGCCAAGATGGAAGTCGGAGAGAAATTAATTGCACAAGCACACAATGGCAGTGCAGAGATGATGAGCAGGGGCTTCGTTGGCGATGGAGGCAGGCTTTCGAGGATTGGCTTCAGGTATGGAGGGGAACAGCAAAAGGCCGGCGTCACTTTCCACTGGAGCTCCAGGCACGACCGCCGCGTAGCTTCTGAGGTACAGCCTGGAGCACTGATCCGATACCCTGGAGCTGCTCGTTTTGGGCTGGCTGAGTCAGCTGCCGTTGGATGAGATTATGTAAGTCCTCTAGAGAGATTGGTGCCTGAGGCATTAAGAGACAAGGCTGAAGAGAGATGTCGCAACTCAACAGATTCCATCCATCCTGTCGAGCGGCGATTAATTAGCCGATGCTGCACCGGCAGAAGAGAACGACTCGACTTCTCTCTTTTGCCCCTCATGACTAAGCTCCGTCATCCCATCATCATCCAGCCAGCCAGTCTTGGGCCGTCACCAGCTTAGCTTATGCTGCCAGCCTTGGGGCGGGCAGTTTCAAGAGCTCTTCTCTGTCTCTTCCACTTGTGCTCTTATCTTCTCTCTTTCAACTCTCAACTCTCCACAATACTTTGAGCACCAACGAGCTGCTGCTGCGAGACGCCGGGATAGCTTCACCTGTTGCCGTCATCGGAGACCGCCTTTGTCTGCGACTGAGCTCCCATCTTCATAGGACTCGATCTTGTATCTGCGACTGCATCTCGTCTCATCTCATCTCATCCCTCTCCAAGCAAGATATAGCCACCTATTGCCATCAACTCTCCAGCTCCAAGTCCCACTGTCTTACCAGCTGTCCGCATCTGCCGCCATCTGCCAAACAGCCAAAGACGCGCCACCCGCCTTTGCTCCCATCTGTATCCACTCCAAGGGGCTACCGGGACGACCCCACGCAAGCTGCCGTCATCACCAACAGCTCGCTATTTTTTCTTTTTCTTCGCAAGCTAAATCGGCACGCGCCGCCTTTGTAGCTCCGCCAAAGCCTTCCATCACGGTGCAGCTCACGCGATCCCCGTCTGTATCTAGGGAGAGCTGGTCGCTGGTTTGAACTTTGCGCTGAAAAATTAATTCGGGCTGAAGAGAGGAATCTGTTGGTTTTTAGCTGTTCTGTGACTACATACTAGTTGCTGCCTTTGCCCGTTTTGTAAATCTTCCCATATGCCCGCCTGAAGCGCAACGCAAGAAAAGTTTTTTCTTCCCTTTTCGCGTCGCTTCCATAGTAGAACCTGCATTAAATTAGTCGACTCGCACACCCCCAATAGCTGCGGCGACGCCTTTGCGCGTGCTCCATTACCATGTCTGGTAAGTTGAAGAAAACCACAACTGACGGTCCTCGTCGATGCGACTCATTGGCCTGGCCTGATCGATCTGATCTGATCTGATCCGATCCGGCACTGCTGATATGCGTCGTCGCATGTATGGCATGTTTGCTAACGAGAAGCAATTGCACAGGAGAAGCCGAACCTCGACGCTCGGTACGAGCAACCAAAGGCCAGCACACCAAGGCCTTTGATGAGCTGGAAGCCCCAGCGCCGAAACGCCGACAGACCAAGAAGAACAAAAAGGCCCAGGTGCAGGAGAAGGAACAGTCGCAGGACCCCGAAGAGGTGATCCGCTGCGTCTGCGGCGCCACCGAGCAGGACGAGGACTCGGGCGAGGCCTGGATCTCGTGCGAGACGTGCTTCGTATGGCAGCACAACGTCTGCGTCGGCGTCAGCTCGTACGAGGACGAGATCCCGGAGAACTACTGGTGCGAGGAGTGCAAGCCGGAGAACCACAAGGAACTGCTCGACGCTATTGCGCGTGGAGAGCGACTGTGGGAGGCCCGGCGCAAGGCACACGAGGAGGAGACCGAGCGCAAGAAGAAGCGTGGCGGACGGAAGAAGGGAAAGCGAGGCAGCGATACGCGAGAAGATGCTGAGAAGGATGCGGCGCAGGCAAAGGCATCGCCCACGCCGGATGCTGCTGCCAGGGAGAAGAAGGATGCCACGGCTGTAGCCAAGCAGGGCAAGCGGAAGGCGAGAGAGGACTCTCAAGACGTGGATGGAAAGGTACGTTGCTGCGTGTCTGTCGCTGATGGCGAGTCTCTACATGTATGAGTTGATGAATGCTAACCGGATATAGACTACCAAGATGCGTCGCGTGTCAGAGGACGAGGCTGTCCCTGTCGCTGCTCATTCCGTCAAGTACACGCCGCCAGAAGACTTGACACAGTCCATCCAAGAGCTGCCCGGCACTCGCGTCGGCCCTGCAAAGGCACTGAAGAAATCACTTGCCCATGTCATTTCGACGCTCGCAAAGAGCGGCGATATCGAGCTGCCAGAGGACGAGAATGCGGAAGCCCTCGGCGACAGGTACGCGCTGCAGATTGAGCGCGCCGTTTTCGACACCCACCCCCTTTCCAAAGGCCAGAAGGAGTACAGCCAGCAGATAAAATCGCTGTCGTTCAACCTCAAGAACAACCCCGAGTTGTTCCAGGGGCTTTGGGACCAGAAATACTCACCAGTGACACTTGCCGTCATGACGTCGGAGCAGCTTGCCTCGTCGGAGCAGCAGAAACAGACTGCCGAGATGAAGGCGAGGGCTGAGAAGCAGTCCATCTTGTACACGTCCGAGACGGGCCCTCGAGTAAGACGGACACACAAGGGCGAAGAGATTGTCGAGGACGAGGGCATGATTGGCAGCGATGCTCCGATGCCCTCGGCCGGGGGCCCTCGCGCAGGAGCAGATGAGAAACAGGGCCAACCCCAGCAACAAAATCAGCACGTTAAGCGCGAGTCGATTGGAGGAGCGGGAGAGCTGGGCGATGAAGGGCTGAGCCAGCGATCGCCCAGCCAGTCCAACTTTGACATTGGAAAGGTGTTTTCAGCCGTCAAGTCTCCCACAGCGGCTCATCGCCGTAGGCCTTCAGCTCCGGTGCTCAACACACAGGGGCCCGGGTTCGATCCCGACGTGGACCGCATGTTGCAAGATGACAATGAATCGCCCCCTTACTCACCTACCGAGGAAGCCTCGGATCCCGACGTCATCTGGCGCGGCTCGCTGGCGATGAGCTCCATTGCCGACTTCCAAGCGACGGCCAAGCACATTGGCGGCGCCAACTTTGCGTCGTTTGGGCCCTGGTCGAAGCTCATCCCGCGCCAAATGACTGTGGCCGGCCGCATCCCGCAGCAGAGCGCCATCGAGTACCTGTGCAGCCTGCGGTATAGCAATCTGACCGATATCATCGTCGTCAACATTACGCCGACGTCGCCAGACTCGAAGCAGGAGTTCAACAACCTCATCAACTATTTTGTGAGCAAGAACCGGTACGGCGTCGTTGGCAATAAGGTCGCCGGCAACGTGCGAGACACGTATCTGGTGCCTGTCCCCGCCGGCGAGGATGGCCACCCCGAGTTTATGCTCAACCTGGTGGACAATTACATTCCCAAGTCGCGGACCGAGCCCCTACTGCTCGCCGTCTTTGTCTACCGCAACGAGCCGGACCAGCTGAAGCAGATGCTCCACGACGAAGCTGCAAACATCAACGCCAATGCGTCGACGGCATCACAACCTCCTCCTACTCCTACGCCCGCTGGGTACAACCAGCGAAGCAACTCGACATCTGGCCCGGCCTTTTCTCCCGCCACTCCTCTCATCGCATCCTCTCCATTTCCTCCCGCCGCCGCCGCTGCACCTCCCAACGGCCACGGCCAATCCGCCACGCCAGTCCCCATCCCTCAGCTACCGCATCTCAACCGCCCTGCGCCATCTCCCCACGCCGCAGCAGGGTCATCATCTTCATCCCAGACAACGCCAGCGCCCCCGGCACATCACCAAGCTCCAGACGACCAGAGGAAGCAAGGCCAGCAAGACGCCGGCGTCGTCACAGCGAGAGAAGTCCTGGGGCCGCTCATCAGCGTGCCTACAGTGCAGTTTATTCTCCCGCAGGCATACCAGATGTCGCGGCGGGAGTGGGAGGTGGTCAAGACGATTATCGAGAGGGATCCCCGCGCGAGAGACGATTTGAAGTACCTGGCGGATCTGCTGGAGAAGGAAGGGGCTGGAAACGGTGGTGGGAATGGAGCAGAGAATGGCCAGGGGGGAGGCGTAGCAGCAACGCCGTTACCGCAGGTTGTTGCCGGAGTTGTTGGGGGCGTGGCTGGAGTTGGGGCTCCCGCTGTGAGAAGGACGTGAGTCAAGGTGAAGGTGAAAGTGTACGAGTTTGTATGACAGACAGGCTTTGCGTATTTTTGGTTTTACGTCTAGATGTAGCTTAGGGAATGCCTGTAATGGATGATACCAATTTTGGTTAATTGTTACGATGTGACTTGTATTTTTTTAATTGACTATTATTTCTATCAATGATTGTCTTTATTTCGTAATTGTAGATTGCTTTGATCAGTCTTGTGCATCTGGTTGATACACCATGCTTGATTCTCATTGTGAGGCTATAGCGTTTGCTCACCATGTCGTAATTCGTCAGCTCTCAGTTGGCTACTCCAGTAAAATCCAGCCATCCTCTTACTGTCTTGTCTGATATCATGCTCTCCCTTGGACATGTGCTCGCTCGAATGCTCATCGAATCGTTTGCCCCCAACTTTCCATATGCTTCACCATCCATCACAGAATCAACGCATCTGCCGTCGCCCACGCAGCAGCTTCCCTTTCCTCATCCATCCTCGCCGCCGCCCCTTGTTCCCCATCGTCCCCTCCAGCCAAACCATGCCCCTTGAACAGCGACAAATCCAAGCTCCCCAGCCCCTCGAGCACTTTCCGCGCCTTATCCACCTGCGTGCGTATCGCCGCCGTCTCCGTCCTCGTGCGGTCCAAGTGGTCCTGCATCATCTCAATCGCCGACTCGCGCGCCTGGTGCGGGCGGTACTCGTTGAGGATGTGGTGCATGTTGATGAAGATTGTGCGCAGGTCCTTGATCTTGGCCTCTGCGTCGGCGGGGCTGCGCGCCATGACGCCCGTCAGCTCGAGGAAGTTGAGCAGCAGCGACTTGGCCAGGCGCTTGAGCTCAAAGGCGCGGTCGTAGTGCTTGGCGTCCTTGTCGGCGGCCGAGGATGTCGCGGGCAGGTTGTCGATGCCTTGCTCCTCGAGGGTAGGCAGCTTGTCGTCGAGCTGGAAACAAAAGTCAGACGATATACACACTAGACACGTTCAAAATACACACCATGTACTGGTCGCCAAACACCCTCCATCGTCCATCTGCCGGCTCCGGGGGCGGCTGCAGCGCAATCAGATCCTCGGGCAGATTCGCGATCCGCACATCTGCATCTGCACCCTCTACGTCCGACCCCTCGTCTGCCGCATGGGCTCGTCGCAGCTCCTCAATCCTGGCGATCCGATCCGGCGTAAAGGCCTTCCAAAAGTCTGGCGGGTTTGGAAACGTCGAGGCCAGCGAGTGAGGCTCCTGCTCGGCCATTGTGCGCTCTTGAGCTGGTGAGAGTCTCTATTTCGCGATTGTCAATGTACCCGTGAAACCCCCTCCCCGCGCTTTGAGTGAAAGCTGGTAGAATCAAAGTGTCACCTCATTGGGGTCGGGGGAGGATACACAAGGCAGAGGCAGAAGCAGAATGAGCCGAGGATGAATAGATTGACGATGAATGGATGAACATCTGATGGCACTAATCGCAGTGTTAGTGGCACAGCTCACTGCCGGAAAATTGTCGGCGCCGACCATTCGCGACTGTGACGTCCTCCCGAGGCTCGCAAGTTACAAAAAAAAGTCCCTAGCTGTCTCTGATAGCTCGAAACCTCCAAACCAAGTCCCGTCGACCTCGCATCGTGCCATTGAATACCGATGCTTCTTCTTCTTTCACTGTTGTATTCATATTCATCCATCTAGCATTGGCTACCCAATCACATTGCATCATCCTCTCGTCATCAATCCCAGCTCCAAAATCAACCTCCAAGAGCTCCTTTCTCGAAATATCCTCCAAGCATCACCATGGCCGACGTCCGCGCCCTCCTCCGCCAGCAACGAGCCGCCCGCCGCATCGCCCACCCCCTCGCCACCTACTCCGACGCCGGCAAGCTCCTCTGCACGCTCTGCCGCGACCAGATCCGCGCCGAGGCCCACTGGGACGCCCACCTCCTGAGCGACAAGCACAAGAAGCTGCTTGCTGCTGCTGCTGCCCCGAATGGCGAAGAAGATGAACAGGACGAGGAGGCTGAAGCTGGCGAAGACGACGCCAGAGCAGCAGACGACGCAATGTCCACCACCTCGCAGAAACGAAAGCTCGACGACACCCTAGGCACAGACGACGAGGATCTAGACACGGACCACGACCAAGACAAGCGCAAGAAACGAAACAAACCCGAAGCCTCTGAAACGCTCTCCCGCAAAAAGCCCACCATGCCCTCGCAAGGCGTCCAAGTCCAGATCCCATCGCGATCCTCCACGCCAATCCACCACCGCGAGCACTCATCCTCGTCTTCCGTCCACTCTCAGCCCACCAATGCTCCAGCAGCAGCAGCAGGCATAACAGCCACAGCAATGACAACATCCCTTCCCTCCCGCCAAGCCAGCAATCTCGCCACTCCAGCGTCCTCCTCCTCCATGATGAGCGTCCAGTACACCAACCCTCAGCCCTCTACCACAGCCGCTACAACAACAGCAACAGCTCAACCACAAGTCGACGAAGACGAATGGGCCGCCTTCGAAGCCGACATGGCCGCCACCGCCGCAGCTACTGAAACCACCTACGACGACGCCGTCATCTCCCGTCCCGCCATGACAGCCGAGGAATCCGCCCTCGCCAAAGAAGCCGCCGCCGCCGCCGCCGAAGCACAACCCCAAAACCCCGAATCCCGCAAATCCAAAGCCGACGCAGACATCGAAGACGAGCGCGAAGAAGCCACCCGCGCACTAGAAGACGAATTCGAAGAAATGCAAGAGCTCGAGGCGCGAGTCCAGCGACTGAAAGAAAAGCGCGAGGCCTTGCTGCGTACTCGGAGAGAAAGCCTCGTAGAACCCGTCATGGACATTCCCGAGCCCCAGGAGGCAACGACAAAACTTACCGCACCTGGCGCGGAAGACGACGAAGCAAAGGAGAATGTCAAGGCTGCCGAGGATGTGGATGATACAGAGGCCGAAGACGATGAAGACGACGAGGACGACTGGGATGGTTTCCGCTTCCGAACAGGGCGGTGAGAAACAGGCGAATGAAATACAAAACTTTACAATGGCGCTGGCGCAATATATGCATAAAGCCATCATCGTCTTTTCCTCTCTTCATCTTCTCCTTTCATGCTCGTCATAGCATATTTAAGAAACCATTATGCATGAGGTCGGCGTATCAGCAATTGGATAGTGCCTGCATCGACTTATCCTCAGCTGGAAGCAGTCAAATCGGTCACTGCTCTATATATGTATATATAGATACCCATAACTACAACTCCGATAGCAATTACACCATACCTTGCTAAAACGAAGCAAAGCATCAGCTTGAATTCAAAGCATATCAATACCAATACCGCAAATCATGATTCAAAAAAAAAAAAAAAAAAAAAAAAAAACGCCCGCCTTGTCCCACGTTCATCTCAATGTTTAGCATTGCTCGCTCTGCCATCGCTCTGCTCGAGTCTCGAGAATCCCTAGAGTCTATTCTGATGAGCTGACAACTCGCCATGGCTCATTCTCTCCCAGAAGCGGCGCAGCCTCCAAACACGCCCAGTACCACGAAGCTCATCGTACCTCCGCGCGTCTTCCTCTCGCTCCTTGACCTCTCCTTTCCACTTGCCGGTAATCCATCGACTCAAGCCGTCCTTGAGACGTTCCTTCTCAATAGCCTTACGCTTAGCTACCAAACCCGGGGCAACATGGACCGAAGACATTCCCGGCACACATTCCTGGGGTAGCACAGATCGTTGGACAAGATCTCTAGCGGAAGGCCGTGAGGCGAGACGTCGCGAGAGGCGAATCGAGACGAGAGACCGTGCCAGCCGCCGTGATATGACGCTGTTGTTGGTCAAGAAGATGGAGCGGGACATGAGCTCAGTGAGCGAAGGACGACACGGGGAGCTGAGCAGCGGAGGAAGCAGAAGACGAGCATCGCGGAGGCGGTAGTAGTGAAGCAAAGGGTCAAGAGAAATTGTACGAAGGCGATGGCACGTCTACAACGGGCTAGTTAGCAATGGCACATAATCAAAAGCTCCAATTCCAAGGACCAAATTCCAAATCAACTTCAGCACCAGGTCAGCACGGCACGGTCTTCGGCACCACACTTACACGGGACGCACGTAACAAGTCATCGACATCGAGAAAACCCGCAATGTGTGCCAGCACTTCGCTTGGCAAAGTCTCCAGACATGGCGGTGACCAGACGCTACCGCGACTAAACGCGGCGACGGCGGATGAGGGCTTCTGGCCGTCGCGAAGCCCGGATAGTGATGAGAACACGTCTCGAGATCCACTGGCAGATGTGGCGGAATGCCAGCTATCCTGAGTTGTCGGGGTCACAGCATGAGAGCTGGCACCATCCATGCAGCCGCCACCAGGGGTCGCCAGCCTCAAGGGGAGCTGGAGCTGGGCCTGGGCCTGGTCCTTGTCCTGGGCCGCGGATTGGGCCTCCTGGGGCGTTGAGCTGGCCATGGCCGTGACCGTTCCGAGTGACGGATGACGGTATCGAGCCGGGATCAACGCTGGCGAGGAGCGATTCACACGCCTCTGCTGTGCTTCTTTTCTCGCCGGGAAGCGTCCGAGCACGGAGCGTTTGACGTGGGCCAGAAAGTAGCGAGAGATTCGGGGCAAATGTAAAGTGGTCTGTATGCAGTCTGCATGTAGGTAGGATAGACAGGCGAAGATCGGGGACACGAGCTGGCAGTGGCAAACCAGCCAAGCACCAATGCACCCGGATGATGAAATAAACCTTCTTTGCTGGCGTGTCTGTCGCTTTGATCGCCCAGCCTGAAACCTATCACGTAAAAGTTCTAGTATTGGTCTCTTGTTTTCTCGCTCCTGGCTCTGCGGAAAACGGTAAACGGGCGATTGCCGATCACGCCTGTATCAGATTAGGCTTGATCAGCTTTTGTGCTGGCGGTGATTTGTACAAAAAAGAAAGGGAGAAAGAGGAAGCATCACGCGATTCGCTGTTTCACTACAGTCTTGATGCCCCTTGCTGCCTCTCTTCGTTTTCTCTTTTCTTTATCCTTGAGAATGACAAGTTAGCCGAGCGTAGATGTCTCAGTCAATGCGAGGAACGCTAGGGAGCCAGGAAGGCATCTACTACAAGCATGATGGTGATCTACCTGGATCACCGCCATGAGACAAAGGCCACCAAAGTCAGGTCTGGCTCGTCTCAGAGCTGCTAAAGTGGCTCTGTAGAGAAGGAAGCGCATGTTTTGAAGCACAATGTATGGACCATGTATGGAGTACGAGTACCGCCGTGTCAGCGTCAAGCTCAGGTCGCCAGTCTGTCCGTACAGAGTGCCGAGTCTCGGTAGTCTGTACCTACATAGTACAGGCCTTGGATGCTACCCCGATGACACTCTGCAGGGGCTCCAGGGCGCGCTTGTGGCTTCAACGGCGGATGGGGGCAGCCAGAAGTTCCGCGGTTAGAGGCGTCACGCCTCTGTGCAGTGAGAGCGTCTGCGGTGTGTATACTCACTCTGGAAAAACGTCCAAGTACCTTTAGCATAGGTCTCGGAATATGGCCATCACTGTTCGACTGCCGAAGCTACCGCTGATAACAGCACTCCCGCAGTGTTTGGTTGCCGCGGATGCCACCGTCGCTGTGAATACTGGTTCTGGCGCTTTTGCAGCTTCTGCCGATGCTTGCTGATGCCTCTATCTCTGCCTCTGCTCTCTAGTGACGCCGCCGCCGTCGGTCCCGCTAGGGCGCAGCAAAGCAGGCGTGACAATCCGCAGGAGTAGCTACTGTACCAAACAAACAATCCCGCGTGCTCGATGCAAGCCGTCATGTAGGCTTCAATGCGGCGTCGCCCTGGACCGCAGACACGCCGCAGCACTGACTGCGTGATGCGTCCGTCGGCTGTCGTCTGTGGCGCTGCCTGCTGAGCCTTGCCAGCTTGCCCGGCCTCCTATTCGTCCGCGACTGCTCTGCGCTGCAGCAGGCTGTATCCCGTACTGTGGGATGCTGATTGCTGTTCTCGCGTGTGCTTGTGCGTGTGCTTGTGCTTGCGTCTGCGTCTGCGTCTGCGCCTAGCTGCGCATCTGCGTGATGACGACAGCGACAACAGAACAGCCCAGGGCCGGCCGCCGGGTCCCGGTATTGAGGCCCAAAGGACCGGGGGTGGGAGAGAGGGCGAGGAGAGAAGAGGACGAGACGGGAATAGGACGAATGATGGATGGGTTGGGGATGAGTTGGAGTTGGAGAAGAGAAGAGAGTGTGGAAAAGGGAGGAGTGCAAGTGGCTTTGGAGCTCAGTTTCGCACTTGCTCGGGTCCGCAAGCCGATCTGCACGCAGCGCAAGGCAGGAACGCTCGCGGCGATGCAACCACAGGTAGTTGCCTGATGGAGGCAGTTGTGTGTGGCAGCGTCCTTCAGTTTTTCCCCGGTCTCAGTGCAGCTGTTAGTGCTTGTTAGTGGCCTGTTAGTGCGTGCTAATGCACGGGAGGGGAACTTCCAGGGCCTACCAGCGTCTCGAGGTGAGGCATCTACCAAAGGGCTATTGGGGTGCAGTGTGTCGTTACGGCCTGGGATATGACATCTCATACCGTCCAACACGGTGCTGTCACTCTTCTCCCAGGGATCATCGCCGTCTGAGAGCTGCAACAGGATTGACAGTGCAGCGCAGTTTGGCGGGGTACACGCACCTCTCCCTGGCTGCGATCAGTGGGGTTGGGCACACCGTTTAGGCCCCGTTAGCGCTCCATCTTTGGCGGCGCTTTAGCGGCTGCCGCGCCGAGAGCCCCCGGGATTCCAGGGCCTCTGCTCCAGCGCAAGTACCGAGTACGTGCTCCGCATGCCAAAACAGCCGATGCCTCGGCGCCGTCAGGCCATTCAAGGCCATCTCATGCATGGAGGCTCAAATGAGTGACTGCTACGCATCTTGTCGTGTAAGCAAGTCTTCCATCTTGGATTTCAATCCTATCCGAATCAATTCGAGAGCTGTGCATCTCCAGAGACAAGACAAGGGTTAATTCGTCAGAATCCGCCGCAGCCCAAATAGGCAATTTTCCTGTTACGTGTAGGCGGTACTAGCACATGCACAGTAGCCTCCAAACGCCCGGCCACTTACACGGCCTCCCATCCCGCCAAGAGCGACAAAATCCTGTTTCGAATTTCATTTAAGCCGCACAAAAAGTCCTGCCTCAGTGGACTCGATTTGAACTTGACTGTTGGTTCGTAATAAAGAGGCTTAGCCCGTCTTTTCTTGGGGCCGGTCTGTCGTAGATACAACAATCACGACAAGACGTGCATCCTTGCCTTGAAATTCTGGAACAGAAAGCGGCCCATCTCTGATGTTGAACCATACAGAGTGTACACGTAGAGCATGCCGTTGGAATCCGCATGGCTGTAGGTATTGTCCCATTGCCAGGGGCAGTTTTGTAAATGAACAACGAGGCTGTGATAACATTGCAGCGTACATACAACACCCCTGCAAGCGCCGCTTTCGCCGCAACAACAAGGATATGCTCTGAAGCCGGAGCTGATGCCTTGTAACAATTTGCCAATGTGATAAACTTTAAGCACTGAGGATTCGATTATCCCGCTTTATCGTAGCCTCTCTCCTTCATCTTGCGTCTGTCAAAAATGAAAACCTTACTCTCAATCAGCAAGCAAGCACACAAAACTTCAGGGTATCACCACACTCCAGTAATCGATCCCTGACCTCACCTTGTAGTACTTCCGCCATCCCCGGCCCCCTGTCTACCATGACGTGGCCAGACGTATCGACAAGTCAAGACATGCTTCGCAAAGGGAACAGCAAAACACCAGAAATCTTCCAAATACGACCTCTTCAGCGGCCCATCCACACCGCAGCCAACCAGCCTGTTCATGCAGCCATTCTCCTCCCCCCCGGTCTCCACGCCCGGCCAACAACAGCCTAGCCTCGGTGGAAACAAAGCGCGAGCCGCTCCCATTTCTAGTGTCCATCACACACCACCAGCGAATCACGTACATGGCACTTATGCGCCCTGCAATGCCATGCTACGCACACGTGCTGCCGCCCATATATATGCACCGTCTATTGCCTTGTGGCCTCGTCGGCCGCTGTTCTTGTCGCGACGACTGAGCTTGTTCGTAAAGAGGCTGTTGGCAGAAACATCTCTAGTTTCAGCCTCAAGCTCAGCTGTTAGCTGCCTCTGGTTAGCGCATGGAAGCGCCTTTTCTCTCTCTCTCTCTCTCTCCTCCTCTTTCGCCATCGAAAGCACGTTGGTTCGGCCCCCCCCGTGTGTAATCCGTTTGTTAGTAGAGACAGCAAATCCTAGTCGGACTAAACGCCCCTCTCCGTCATCCCCTCAACCCTAGTCGTTTCCCATTGGGCTTCAATTCTCCGGGCCACCCCAATTTGTACTGTTCAGGCTCCCAGGCTTCCCTTTTTTAGCAGCCTTTGTCTCGGCAGCCCCCGTTGTCTCCAGGCCAGGCTGATCTCCAGCCTGGCGCTCACTGCAGGGCTACGACACAAAGGACGGGACCAACAGACCAGGCAGAGGCATGACCTTGTAAGTCTGCTGCTTCGCTGGCAAGGCTAGCTGAGAGTGGTAGGCCGCTCCGTCTCCCGTCTTCATCGCGGACTGCCAACTCATATTCCCAGTCCACGCAAGGATCACTGTGGAAGTAAATTGTAGGTCGAGCCCAAACCTCGTATTTGGCAATACCAGCCCAAACTCATCAGAAACGAGGATCCCCTTGCCCGTCTTTTGTGCGTATCGTCCTTTCTGTCCAACAGGAAGCCAAGCCGTGGGTCATCTTCAACCCCGGACAGTTCCTCGGCCGCCTCATCCGCTTGCATAAACAATGCTGAGCTGGCCGATCACGATTTTAGCCGCTACCCGACCAGGCCTGCAGCCGCGACCTCTTTTGTCCGTGGAGTCTTATATCTTGCTTTTGACACCCGTAGACATAATCACGGTGGAAAAAAAGAGAAAGAAAAAAAAAAAAAAAAAAAAAATAAGACCGCCAGGGACTTGATCCACAAGTCGAGCCCACTCCCATAACCGCCAGGTCATATCACACAGGGTATATCCCTTCCGAGGGACGTGGCATGGAGTGTGTCTTGACCCAAACGCCGGCACGGCGGAGCCTCAGATCCGCTGGGCTTAAATCGTCTGACCGGCCTTTTAGCGCGAACGCCATGTGTTAGTCGTTGCACACCCAGTGTCCACGCGGTGCCTGAATGATCAAGCTAGAATCGAAGCTGTTTGCCGTGTCACTTTGCTGGATTGCTGATCAAGCTGGCTCAGGGAGAGAGCATGGTTTTGAATCTCCTTTGGCGTTGATGCTCGTACCAACTCACATGAACCTCTCTCCGTAGATGGACGCTCTTCTTCATATGCCCATCAGCCCATCTGGCATATATCGCATCTCACAAAACTCGCAGAGATACGAGCTTCGCCAATCGACAGAATGCGCCCGCTCTCAGCTAGCCCAATGCAGGCACCACCACGAGGAAGTGGTACTAGCAGTCGGAAGGGTACAGTCGCTGCTTCACCACAGGGCTGGGCGTTCGTCTCGGCCAGGCCTAAATTACACGTCGCTAGCCCACTTGTCTGGGCCACTCTCTCCGAAAGAGAAACGCGAATGAGTCTAATCCCACGGGAGCGGCTAGACTACCATCTGGGTGCTTTGGCTGTTAGTGTGTGTGTGTGTGCGTGTGTGTAGTGGTGGTGGTGGTAGTGGTGGTGGTTCCTCAGTCCTAAACGCTTGCCCCTCTAAAAAACTGCCGTTGTCAGACTCAAAAGTGAGATCCGCTCGTCTCATTGGACCATTGTTCTCGATCTGCTAACAGCCGTTGTTTGCCTTGCTGCCCCTAGTCAGCCAGTCGCGTCTCCTGCGCAGCATTTGTGAGAGATGTGATTCGTAGCATCCCCCAGCCATTTGGTTCGTCTAAATGTACATCATTTTTGACGAGTCGCAGGCCTGGGATTCTCTGTCAAAGGACCCACAAAGGAGCACGCCAGTGGATATGTCGTGATGTAAGTAGAGCACATCAGCTCATCGTGTAAGAAGGCTCTCGTCTACTTCACGGACGCAACCTCTGCTTGGCCTCCAACACGGCCTACCTGAAGACTTTTCCGCCTCTTTTCCTTCGCTTGGCCGCTCTCGTGGCCGGCGGTTACAGCTGGCGTCCAACGCGTCTCATTTGCCCAAGCATTTTCCGGCCTTCTCGGCGTAGGCTACGGGTCCAAGCCACCCACCCTTAGTACCATTCCAAGAACTCGGTCTCTAAACTTGGCCTGCCATATAGCCTCGTTCGATTTTCTTCTGGTCCAAGCTGTCAAACAGGCGTTTGGTAGATGTGTATTGCCTCGATCCTTCTCCAATATGCCCATTGTCTTATTTCACTCGCAAACCAGCTCTTCCCGATAATTCTTCGCAGCACTTTCGAGGCGGAACGGGCCGGCATGATCCAGATCACGGCCCGCGGCGAGGGGCACCAACATTTTTTGGCCGTCCAGGGGGTTCCACTTGCTGGCCTGGTGCCCTGGTAACGCCCTCCCTGCGCTCCGTGTGTGTGTGTGTGTGTGTGTGTGTGTGTGCGTGTGTGTGTGTGTGTGCGTATGTGCGTAGGTGCGTGTGTACAAGCATCTGTGTGTGTATGCGTGCCTTGTACTGTGTGTGTAGGACTACGGAGCAGTCGTTTAGCTCACCACCCTTGTTTGAGGCTGCGTCTTAGACCCATAATGTACCTCAACACCAAACCTTTGGCCGCCAAAGCGGCCGGCAGAGCACGAGCTCTTGCGGCATGCAAGGTTAGACCGTCATTCGAGGATACTTTGGGCGCGTGTCGCGCGCAGAGCCGGCCCCTTTGTTATCTCTCCCGTCTTGATCAATGCTTTTCAGTGCTAGTTGAACTGTATGAATGTATCTTCAACGTCGCCGAGCCCAACAGTACCCAATGCAACAAGGGACGTGGTGTCCTCTCCTTCTGCTCCTCCTCCTTCTCCTCCTCTCTTCGACTGTCCACGTCAAGCTTCCATCGCCGCGGCCTCGAGCTTGAAAAGGGTTATGGAGATGCAAGCTGTTCCTAATGCAGAAGGCCAGCTCATCGTTGTTGCGGGTTCTCCGGTCTTGTCTCCACGTTGTCATGGCTCACCGTCACTCAGATACATGCACTTCCTCCATTGTTTTGCAGTGTCCTCTAGACCGGTGACGAAAACTCGAGCCGCTAATGTCGCTCGCGCTTTTGGCCACTCGCGTGTGTATGTACCTGAAAGACCCATCCCGAGACCTAGTCCTTTTCTTTCCTTGTGAGTTGTTTGCGCTAGACCATCTTTCCCACAGGTACGGAGCACCTGATGCAGCTTTGTGGATGATCGACGATTCAGTCCACGCATCTCACTCTGTCCCTTCATTTTGCACATGTCGGGCGTGTAGCCAGATTTCTTTCTGCTCATGGGGGCGCTGACCCTGCGTCCTTCAACGCCACATACACTTGTAAAAAGTGCCATGATCCTGGTTGAAAGCAGCCATGGTCGCACCGAGTGAACGTGTCGAGGGCGTGGCAAGATTCGTTGGCAGTACATTGCATTTGTCTGCAAAGCATGCTCCTCCGTACACAGTATCGTACTAAGCGACATCAAGGCTCGGCTTCGTCTATGGGGTCGGTGTCGTTGTCAATATAGCTTAGCGGGTGGCCTATTGATCGGCATGATGTCTTGTCAGGAACGCAGTGTTACGCTGTCCGATCCAGTTGGCAACCGGTCCTTCGTCAACTCATCCAAGAAATGATGCAGTGCTTCCCAAACAGCTTGGCCTCGCTCGGGTACTTTTCGTATGTTCCGACGTTGTGCTGCCCCCCTCCCCCCCAATGGTGCCTCCAGAGGCTGTGTCACCCTCCACCACTCGTCGCTAGCCTCCCATAAGGCCACATTAAGGATTCCCGGAAATCGAGCCGTTGACTGGGGTTCGGGTACATTTGCGGTTCTCTTGAGAGCCGGCTGTGTACATCATTAACATGGACAAGTCAGCTTTAGAGCATTACCAAGTTGGTCGCCACCCCCTCCCAAGTCAAGTAGGCATCAACCCTGAATTGAGTGCTGATGCAGTTTACCATGCAGTTTGCAAATGACCAGCCAGCACAGGCTGCTTGTGTCCAGACGTTTGTTGCCACGTTGGCCAGATTGACACAGTTTCTCCTGGTCGCCCCCGCTATCAAGCTTCTCTGCTGTCAGCCGTACGTCAAGCGCGGGAGTACAAATCTCCATCTAGATAGCCTCTGGAGGGTCGAGTTTGACATGGTAGAACCAATCATCCATCTTCCTCGGGCATCCAGGTCATTCATGTGAGTCGTGAGCTATGCATAGACATCATGCAGGCTCATATAACAGAAGCATCATCGTGTACAGCTCTCATAGGACGTGGTTGAAAGAAGAAGAAAACTAATGACAGATTGTGTTCAGTAGTTCCAGGTGTATCCCTTAAAATAGCTCACTGGGTATCCTTGATATGCTCCATACTTGCAGTGGAGTTACGCTTTGAAGCAGCCATATTGCCTGAATAGACGGCCGTGGTTCGAAACCCTGGCAACTGAGGCCCATGTTCGGCCATATACAAGCCAGAGAGAGGGATTGAGGCAGTGGGATGGAGGTGGAGATCCCCAAAGAGCCGCATTCATAAATGCTGTGTGACCACTCGAGCATGTTGTTGTGTTGTCCTTGACCGCACGTGCAACTTATTGCATTGAGAAGTTTATATGACGGCGCATCCGATGCGGACAACATGACCGTATATAGGAGCCATCGACATCAAGGAACGGGCGTGCCAATATAGAAGCTGTGCCAAAAGCACTGCAGGCGAACAAGTTTCGTGCGGCGTCGATTAAATAGTATATCTCTACAGCTTATTTCAGCTTGTAGTGAACATTAAAGCTCCATTGTTTTTACAAGAGCTGCATCTGGTACTTCCGTTCCCACCCTCTCTCTTGTCTTTGACAGGCAGGTATCTGGTCTATCCGGATTCAGAGATGGTAGAGGCGCTGGATAGTATCCGCAGTGGGAGAAAACATTGCTACTATAGCTGCTTTCGTACTTGGAGCTGGAAATATCCACACCAAGCTATCCGTCAGAGCCTGGCTTGAAAACCCGGTGCTAGAGCCATCCAAGATACTGCTGCTGCTAGTATGGCCACCACAGCCACTGTGGGACGAACCACAGCCCTGGCTTTCACCGAAATCGACAACTTAGAACCACATACTAAGCGGTCAGGATCCATCCCCCTGTTCCATGACACTTGTCCATCCTCGGGACGAACCATCAGAGCAGACCCACAGTGGCCGCAGATCGAGTCGCCCACTGCCTATGGTGGAAAGATAGAGAGAGGCCACAAGTCAGGGCCGCCTGGCGGGAAGTTCACTCTGTCCACTACCAGCAGTAGCACGGGTGAGCAGATGTCCGTGCTCCCTTTGCGTGTATCAACGGTCATCCTGTGGTGATTATGTTAACGAAAAGAGGCCTTGAGAGACTGAATAGTAGATGTGCAGCAATGTATCAAGCGCTGTCTCAATCAAGGAGGCCTGTGTTTAGCAAGAAAAGACTGGTACGGAACATCAAACTCACAGACATGAGCGTGGCAAACATGACTTGAACGCACCCCTCTTTGGTTCTCCGAGATGCATCGTGTCGTGCCCCCCAAGTGGATTTTCTCTTGTTTGGATATTGTCTGGATAGGTTGCCGACTGATGTCAAACGTCTTTGGGTGCTGTACGGAACAGTTTACAAAGGAACGTGCTTGGAAAGGCTTGCGTAGGTAGCAGATGGAATAACGCGGGGACTCTCTTATGGTCTTCTCTACAGCAACCTATGATGCTCGACCAACGTGGCAGCCGTTCTGCAGGCTCACGAGCACACCACCGGCAGGAGGAACCCCCTCCCAAAGGGGCTAAGTGGAGGAAGGCGAAAGAGTTATGGGGAAGTCGCAAATAACATTATCGACCTAAGGTCGGTTCTGCAGGGAATTGGGTCATTCGAAGGGCCTGTCCGATCAGTAGCTGAAGCCAGCAATCGAGGGTTGTACGAGTAGCGCCGTGCTGGCGGGCAGTATTAGTGGTAGTCCGAGTCGGCAGCAGTAGTAATACCTGGTCGTTAGTACCAGGTAGTGGTAGCAAGTGGTGTTCTGCATCGAGGTAACCTCCACATCGAAAACCCCCCACACGCACACACACACAATTTCTTTCCCACCCCCCTCATCCTTGGAAGCCAGGAACGTGCTACAGGATACGCCATCACACAGCAGCAGGGGTATGCTACTGGGTGAAAATAAAGGGGGTGTGTGGGAATAGGGCAACTGGCATGTTGGTATAGGGCAAAAAGTACGGATACCCAATCCACGTATCAAAGCATCTTTTTTTTATCCCGCAGGAAGCAGGACGATAATGACGAAGTCTGTTGGCCCGTGTAGAGGAAGGTGCTTGTTGGTCGCTGAGAGTCCCACCGAGGATTGGGTTGTAATTGTAAAGCGCTGGATGGTAAAGGGATAGGACGAGGGCCGAATGGACGGGAGTGTTCTGACTTCAGGCAAGTATAAGTTAGCTTGTCTATCCATCCCCGATGCTGTATCAGAAACCGCCAGACTTACCAGCCCAAGCCTTGGATAAGAAGACAGCAGTGACCACGATCACGACCTCGACGTTGAACTCTTGCTCGCCAACCGAATCTACAAGCGAGACCGGACAGGACTAGACGGAATTGCCTTGCATCGAATGATTCCGACGCTAGTCTAGAAATTGCTTGCTCCCGGTCGTTTCGTTTCCTGTAGGTACTACCAGCTTCATCAGTCTTTCACATCAAGAATGCCATTCTTCTTCCTGCCAGCGAGGATAAGGAGGCAAAATGTCTCCATTGTGCTTGGAGGGATTTGGGCCCTGAAGCCTGCTCGTCATTTGGCAATGTTCAGCTGCTGATGTTATCGATTCACAATGTAGCACTCCTCCTTCTCCTCCTTCTTTCCCCGTTGTCCGACTCCTCCCCCACAAGACCGAAGCCGCTCGCCGACGAATTGGCCATGTGTTACTTCGAACAGACTCGTTGGAGTTGCGGTTACTGGCGCTGGGGCCACTTCCGCCAGCAATGCAACAAAGAATATCGAATGGGCGAAACGTGTGGACTGAAGCTGGTCTATGAGACAAAAGTCGAGCATGATGTCTGCAAGTTGTGCCACGACACAGAGAAGAAGCAGCGGCGGTACGACAAAATGTATCGCGACGTGCAGCGGTGGCAGATGGAGGGCAACCGCAACGCCACCATCGAGCGGACGTGTGGTGAAATGGAAGAAGTTGTGGGCCAAATCCAGCGGATGAGAGACGAACATGGCCACAGGCTACAATCGCTAGGTCAGGTACGAGAGAAACCCTCCCCCTTTCCCAGACACAACAAACAACACGAGACACGGAAAAGCTGGAGAACTGGATGATCATAGTGACAAAAGCGGGATCACCATGGCTAACATTTTCTTCTGCTTCAGTGAAGAGGGCAGGGGTAGAAAGTCAGCTTACAGAAGACACGGCCACAAAGTCAAAGGTTAGCCAATGGATATTAGAGGTTGGGCACAAGGCAATCGGCGCAAATTAAAAAACAAAAAAATCGTCTTGATTTCGAAGAAAATTCTTTTTCATTGGAGGCTGCCAAGCCGCGGAACGTCGTTCGCTGTTATTTTGGACCATCGTTTTCATCTTTGGCTTTCAGCATGGTCCTGGGCACATGAAAAAAAAAGTGTTTTTATGAGCGGCCAAAAAGGGCTTGATTTGGTCGGCTTCAGTGTATAATTGGTGTGATGGATCTCTGAAGGACGTTTGATTGGATTTTTTTTCTCCTCTTTGGGCTCTGCTAGCGAATGGGCCGTCTCGCACTCCTTTTGTTTTAATTAGATACCAAAATGTTCCGATGACACGCTCCGTACTTTTGTCCTTTGTCGACCTTCTGCAGCGCGGCTCCCCGGGGCTCAAGATTTGGAACGGCACAAAATTCATTCGGTGGTGGGCTGGATCACTTTTGTGGGTGGGCCATTTGCTATTGCTGCGGCAAAATGACCGGGGGCCGCAAATTTCCTGTGACGAAAGCTCCTTGGCGGGGGTGAGCGTTGAGCATCCAATGTCAGTCGTCAATCTGGTGTGATGGAGGTGGCTAGTCTCAGCATAGCGTCTATAGGTGGACGTCATCTCCAGAGCCAACGATGATGGTTGATGCTAGTATTCCGGTAATTCCCATCCTGTGGTTGTCGTGAGGTCAAGGGCCTGATTCGTACCAGCATGTGCAAAATCCTCGCGTGAGTCGACAGGCGGCGTATTTCGTACTTGTAGGCGAAGGAGTCGCTCGCTTATCGCGTTTGTACCTGGGCTAGAGAACCATGTCGCACGCTTACCAGGGAAATGCTGGCGACAGTCGGCATCATTTGGGGTAGAGCACATGGATACGTGGTACCAGAAATGCCAACAGAGATGGTATTCATAGCTGTAAGGGTGGAGTCGTCCAGACTCCGCGGCGGCAGTCATACAAAGATTCAGCCTGATCAAACTCCTCTGAACGGCGCAGCAAAATACTGGTCATGGAAGCCCAATGGTGGAAAAGCATAGCTCTATCGCTCTCTCATACGTGTGTCTCGTACATGCAGCGAACACACAAGCCCGCATGGGGGCCAGTTGCTGACGACTAGCTTCGAAGTGTTGTCCAGGGGGGGGGGGGGGGGCCACTGCCGTCCGTGGTGAACCGTAACGGATGGAAACCGTCTCTGTACGTGTTGATCCTCCGTTATGATGCTCTCCGTTGCCACCCGTCCTTTTGCTGTCGCTTATGATGATGATTCTCTCTGTCTCATCGCTTCTCTTACAGCCAGTCCTCTGCCACTCTGGTTCGGTTGGCTGGGATTTGCAGCCAGGAGTGGCCAGCCTCGCCTCGCCCCGGACGACTCCCGCATAACTCTACTGCGCTCCTCATGCTGTTGTCGCCGCGATTCCGAGGACTCGGTTCTCCCAGTACAGGCATGATCCCGATCACCTGGATGTGCGGTAAGCTGCCAACCCTGTCCACCCCTCAAAACGGAACCGTGGGAACTAAAACGGCGGTGCGAGCCGAGGCCGACGAAGAACTAGACTAGAGAGAATCCGACGACTAGCGAGACGACCAGCTTAGTTGGATATTGTGACACTAGGCGTCTCCACCGCAGGGAGCCGTGCACGTGTCTATCGCTCAATGGGCACCTTGCGGTGAAGTATATCGTGGGTCAGTATCGTTTTCTACTCGGTAACAATAATCGGCGGTGCTTCTTGTAGGCAAGCAAGAGCGTATTCTTCAGTCATGTCAGTTTACCTTTTGGCTCGGCTTTGCGAGCGCATACGCGGCGTTGCCCTATCACGAAAGCTCGATTGGGGCGATGCTGACAGCCACCATATCGAACTGCGAACCAACACTTTGCTGAATGGAGTATAAAATTTTTTTGTTCTCTCTGTGAAGACCTGCTGTTGGTACAAGCGCTTTCCCACCCTAGTCATGCGCCCCTTTTTTTGTTCAAAGAAAAAGAAAGAAAATGACAAAGAAAATAAAGAGTGTGTGGTTCCGGGAAATTGGTAACTCCCTGTTGAAGAAGCATCCCGCTTAGGACGCCATTCGCTCAAAGAAGGGCTCCAAACTCCCCAGTCGATCCCAGGGTATCGAGAAAATATTGATGTCGAAAGGAAGAAAAAAAATAGAAGAAAACCCGAAAAAGGAAAATTGCTTGTGAATGCTGGATCTATCATTATTCCATCCGCTGTAACGCTTTTGGCGGTTGATTATTACGGCGCTCCGCAAAAGAAAAAAAAAGAAAGTCGCTATTCCTTCATAGCTTCGGCTGCATCTGCGAATGTGCCGACAAGCGCCGCGTCGTCTTCGTCCAGTGTCTTTAGGCTCGCTGGGCGGTCTCCGTGCAGCTCGTTTGCGTCTTCGTCGGCAAGCCAGTCGACTTTGATGCCGGGTGGCGGGCTGTCTTCGTGCGTACTGAGTTTGGATACGAGATGGTGATAGCGCGCTACACGGGCGCCTTGGCCGGTATAGATAAACGTCGACGACGATACCCGACCGGAATCCTGTGGAGCAATCTCGAAGATGTCGACCATGTTGCTGCGATGGCAAGTCAGTATCGATGCTCAAGCGTTGCATAACGGGCCAGAGACTCACTTGGATGTCTTTGCGACAACTCTCTGCAACGCCTCGTTCTCTCGCTGGACCTCTGCAGTGTCGCCTTCGCCGTTCAGCGCAGCATCGCCGAAGCTGCCATACTGCACGCCATTTCCGTCATCGTACAGCAGCCGGTTCTCCTCGCTCTGCAGCAGCACGTAGTTAGCATCGGAAGAATCGCAGGGCAGAAGAGAGACCAGCAGCAGAGCGCACCTCATCGTAGACGTCCTTTTCTCGCCGTCCCAAGCATGATTGGCAGAGCCCCATTGTCTCTGTCTCGGAATTGCGCGACTGCGTGCGGCAGCTCGGCGCGAGTAATTGACGCGTTTATCGGATATTGTTAAGATGGCGGCGTATTGATACCATTTTCTGGGGCAGACGGCAGCCCAGTCCAGACCAAAATGCGTGGTTTTGTCGCTCAAAAACCCCTGCTGCGATGCCTGTCGTTTGCTTTGAGGAAGGTTGAAGCCTGCCTTTGGCTCGCGAGCTGCTGCGGGTAAATTTCGGGCCGCACAGCCCAAACGCACGCTCTAGCGGCGATTCCCATTTTGGCTGCTCCCTTTTATTCCCTGCAGCACAATTTACAGCGCTATGCACGGCTGCTTCCAATTACAAAACTACAGCACATGTAAGCCACTATTAATACCTAGGTACCTAACCTAGGTACTTTTGGAAGTGAATGTATGCTTGAATTGTCCCTAGATTCTGCATGAAACTCTCAACCTCGTGGAATGTGTTGGTTCATATAGCCCTTATGAGCCCAGTGCATTTTCCCGCCCTTCTAGACGCTGTAGACTGCCTAATGATTGCCGCTCTCTAGGGAGCCTCCCTCATAAGAGTATCCCTGGAAGCCATTGGTCCCTTAAAATTGATATATAGATCTATAATCGCCCTCATTGATCCTTTTTTTTTTTTGTTCCCCTCTGCATTGTCTTGGCTGATTTTGAGGCTTTAAATGCCACAGGAAAAGTATCCTTCTCTACATGTATACTAACTGATCTCAAGGGGCTTAGAAGCCTCCTTTATATCGCTATCCCATTCTTCATCATTGATTCTACTCTTTGAGTGAGAATTGAACATGTTGGGTCCATCTTCTAGCCAGATTCAAGAACCCTTGAATCAGGATATAAGAAACCATGTTGGCCACCTCTCCAATCAGTTTTTCATCATCATCATCATCATCATCATCAATACACCATTTCATCATTCACACATATACTTTAGAGAATACCCTCCACTGAGTTCTTCATATTGGAGAAAATCATAGCCACAAATCTTAAACTTGTTCCAAACTCAAATTGACATCTATTCGCAATGTTCAACAAACTTCCATTGGCCATAGTGGCCGTTCTCCCACTCGCCAATGCCCGCTTCAACAAACCAAGAGCAGAAAACACTGACATTCAGTGCTGCCCCTGTCTGCCAAGTGCACTCAGTCCCAGCGATGCTACAGTCACTGTTACTGTTACGAGCACCAAAGAAACAGTAACAGTTGACCACACAGTCATCCAGCCTGCGACTACCATCTTCGTCACTCAGACCTACACCCCTGAATCGCCTCCAGTTGTCACCCAGGAGCTCACTGTTCATCCCGAGCCACCGGCTCAGACTGAGACAGTGATTACCGGCGGCACTGGCAGTCCGGACACTTTGACTTCACTCAAATCGGCCACTACCAAAACCGTTACGAAGACGATACAACCTGGAGGAGTTCAAACTGAAGGGGGCCAACCCGAATCGCCCAAGACTGTGACAGTGACTATCAACCCGGACCAAAGCAGCCCTGATGCAAAGGTCACGGCGTTTGAAGAGTCCAAACCAGCTAGCTCCCCATCTATTGCGTCCAATTCTGCTGTGACTGTTACCATCAGTCAAGCTAAGCAGTTCCCTTCAGCTGAATCACCGAGCACAGATGGCAGCTCAGCAAATGGTCCTGCTACCGTCACCTTTGTCGCAGCCAGCGAGTCAGCGGCCACTGCTCTTACAACCAACCCAAGCGTCAGTACTATGACCTTGTTACAGAAACCGGACACTGTCGAGACAATCACCTTTACGAATCCGGCAGGCCCAAGCACTACCACTGTCACACTGGCAAGCAACCCATCAAGCTCAAGTGTTATCCCTTTCGTTGCGAACCCAGCAGGCCCAAGCACTACTACAATCACTTTGGTCAACAACCTGTCAAACTCGAGCATTGAGACTGTTACTTTCACCGAGAATCCGGCAAACCCAAGCAGCACTACAGCTACTCTGGCTGGCAGCCCTTCAGGATCACCAAGTGCCCAAACAGCAACTTTCGCGGCAACCTCAGCAAGCTCCGGCGCTGCCGCAGCAACTCCAGCAAGCAGTCCTTCAAACTCTCCTAGTACTCAGATACTACCCTTTGTGGAGAATCTTCCAAAGCCAAGCTCTACCCCAGAAACTCCCGCAAAGAGCTCACCAACTTCAGCCGCGTCAATCTCCACCATCGACAACTTGGCAGCTCCAAACGCAACGGTGACTTTTGTGCCAAGTCCGCTCACCAACCCCTCGCCTCTCCAGCCAGCCATCACAGTCCCACCACAAGTCGGCACAATCTCCCAGAACATTAACCAGTTCACCACTCTCACACAGACAGTCACTAGCGGAAACACTGTCAACATCGAAATCACAATCATCAACATCTTTACCGGGGAGACAATCTGCAGAAAGAAGGGCAGCGGCAAGCCGTGCGATTCGAAACCGAAGATCCATGCTTCGGGAGAAATTGGCTACTTGACGACTGGCATCTTTACGGAGACGGCGACTGCTTTCAACACTGTTGTTGTGACAGTTGAGTCAGGCATTTGGACTAATGGGACATCTGCAACTGAAGCTGCTCTACCGCTTGGAACAGGAACTGGTGTTGCTGTGGTCGGAACCGGTAGCCCCGTTGTTGGGACTGGAGTTCCTGCAGTGGGAACTGGCAGCCCTATGATCCGCAGGGGTAGACTGCCAATGCATCGAAAGCGCCTATAAAGAGTCGAAGAGAGAGACGCTGATGCTATAATGGTTGGAGAAAAGTGAAATGTAAGTTTAATAAGGGGGATGCTTTTATATACATGTAATGTGTGTGTGTCTATGTAATCAGAGGTATATTGGGTTGTTAAAGGGACTAGTTTGCTTTGGATTATCATTCTTCTTTACTTTACTGCGTTGTTTACTTGGCAAGATAGCTATGCAAATGTCAATTTACAATTTTACTTGAGGACATGTCGACATCTAAGCTCCCGTGCATTATTGTCCCTCGTACGCTCAATCTTTGATAATAAGATGTCATATAAGATCACTGAGTATAAGTTTCAACTTATGAATGAGGATCAATCTTGGATATTTTGTTTCATACAGACTTCAAGTACATCAACTCATACCAACTCACACCCAATTCTCCCGAATCACCTCGGCAATCACCCCATGATCCTCATGCTGCTTCAACCCACTCACAACAACCACCCCAACAACCCCATCCACGCCATCCACCCGGATCGGAATCGCCCCCCCATGAATCGCATACTGCCCCGCCTCACTCGGCCCCAGCCCAAACTTGGCCGCAAACACGGCCTCGTTGCCCGCGTGCTTCTGGCCCAGGAACCACGAGCTCACGCCGAATCGCAGCACGGCCGTCCTCTTGCGCTGCACCCAACTCTCGTTGTCGGGCGTGACGCCGGGTCCCGTGGCGACCTGGTACAGCGTCTGCGTGCCGGCGCCGTTGCTGATAGAGATGAGCGTTGAGCGGCCTGCTTTGGCGTAGGGGAGGAGGCGCGCGTAGAGCAGGTTGCCGAGCTCAGTGGCGTCGGAGGTGGTGAAGGAGGAGAGGGTGAAGCCTTGGCCGCCGACGTCTGCGTCGGTGAGAGCTTGAAGCTATTTATATGATCAGATGAATGATCAGTGTTTTGAGTTGCTAAAAAGATAAACTCACCTCTTCGGGGGAGCTTCCGCCAGGAGGAGACTGGATGGCAACCGGAGCACTGGAGCTGCGAGCCGCCTCCAGGGCCTTTTCAAGGCCGAATCCAGCCGCAAAGTTGCGTCGCCAAACTTTCTGAACCATTGTGTCTTTGATTGATGTGTAAATGAAGAAGAATAAAAAGTAAAAAGGCGAAATACAGTTCAAAAGATATAAGTGATTAGAGCAAGGGGGGTCGTCACTAAATTTTAAACTTAATTGATTGACAGCAATTGCTTGCGCTAGACATCGGCCCGATCACGAAATCGGGCACGGAAATTGTTGCCTCTCTCCGGGATTTATCTGGATTTGCTGGTGGATCTGAGGCGGAAACGGTGCCTGCTAAATGGGGTGGCGTATAAGAATTGGCGGGGGGCCCTCGAGTCGTGTAAGAGGAATAGCTGTGAGGATGGAGTTTTGTGGAGAGGAACGTGGTGATTGCTCGTGGGTCACAGTGATGCTCCGGATTGAGTATGACGTTGATGCAATTGTGGGAATAGTAGCGGAACTACCTACCTATTTATATCGTGTGCGTCAATGCGTCTATTTCCATGGCTTTCTGTCAACCGGTCCTCTTTCTGTTTATACGAAAACACTGGAAACCAAGCTTATTCTGGTGCCGTACCGTAATGACGGCAAAGCAAATACATCAAAGGTCCCAACTCTATCTCGACATGAATCATCAAAGATCCTGCCACAGTACCTCTATCCATCATCCTTTCCTGGCTTGTAATCAGATGGAAATACGTAAACATCGCGAAAGAAGAAGAACAAAGCAAAAACAAGAGAAAAGAGTAAAGAAAAGGGATGAGAAGAGGCATGGGCCTAGATGGCACACTTTATGCCCCTACGTCTCTCCCGTCGCATAGCGCATATCAACCTCCATCGTCACATTCGAATCTCGTCGCTCGGCTGGATCCGACCGCAGACCACTACTCTCAACAATGCTCGCCACATCCGAAGTCATCTCCGACTCGAGACTTTCGATGCTCTGCAGAGCCTGAATAAACTTGCCTTGTTCCATCTTGAGCATCTCGCGCTTGGCCGCCGTCGCGGCATCTTCATCCATGAGCTTCGCGTAGACGTTCACAGAATTCGGCCCGCGCACGCCAAGCTGCTCATCCAGGTAATTGCGCAGCTGCCGGCGAATGGCGGGGATCATGCGGCAAACGATGCGCTGCGTCACGGCATCGGAGTATCGCAGGGCGGCGAGCTTGTAGTACCCTCTAACGTACGCAACAACCTCGACCTCCCGCTCAAATTCGTCCGGCTTCAGCTTGTTTTGGTCCTGCTCTCGCTTCTTCAAGTCTTGGACTTGCTTTTCTTCTGTAAGCCCTTCCCACGGAACGAGATCTTTCTGTGCGTAACCTGCTCCTATCATTCTCATATGGTGTCGGAACCGAACTAGCACAGCTCTCTCGCTCTTCAGACACTGGTTAAATGCTTCCGTGTTGTATGTCATGACCCGTTCGGTCTCATCAGCATAAAGCTCTTGGAGTGCTTTTCGTGTTTCTTTCCAATGTGAATCCAAACAGCTCTTGAGATGTCGCTTGGCCTCTGGGTATATGAAGCGCTTCTTGAGATTCTCGAGGGACTTGTTCAAGGCCGTTTCGAGCTCAACGTGGAGCAAGCGGATCACTTCTTGTAAGTAGACGTTTGTAGGTTGGTTCCATGGCTTGATAGCCTCCATGGCTAGGTCATTGTATACATCTGGCGGGATGATGCTCGGCATGCCTGCCTTCATCTTGGCCTGTATTTCTTCTTTGACTTGCCTAAGTGTGCGGAACCCCCGGCCAATGTCGCTAAATTGCGTAAAAGGATATATAAGACCCATGTTGTAATATCCAGGCGGGGGAGTTCCGACGTTGACATTGCCTGTGTCCTCGGGCTTGACCATATCTGGTGCTCCGTTGGCCATATGGTCAGTCCGGGACCGCTTCGAGGGCGTTGCCTGTTGTGCTGGATGCCGCCGCTTCGAAGGAGTGGAGAAACTTGCCGTGGCAGGACCAGGCGCTGGGGCATCGGGCTCATCATCGTCAGACAGTACTACTGGATCAATATCGCTGCGGTCTTTGAGGGTGAATTTAGGCTTAATCTCCAAAAGACAGTCTCGGAAACTATTGGGCAAGCTATTGATGCGTGCAGCAAAGTCGTCAATCCTGATGCGGGCACTATCAGCAAAGCTGTTGAGGCAAGTCTGAATCTCTAGTTCCACGTTACTGGGGAGCTCTGGGAGATTGGCCAGCTGCCGGTTCGTTTTATCGAGAAGGTATTTGACCTTGGATTTGATGGTGGGCAAGCTGCGAGGAAATGATTAGTGTCCGAACTCATAAAGACAATTTGGGTTACTCACCTTTTTGCGAATTCCTCGCCCAGCCGCTCTGACAGGAATGCTTTAAGCCGTTCAACGCCGCAGCGGTGGACAAACTGATGAAAGGGGGCGGGCCATTTATCGACGGACTGATCCTCAAACATGCGCTCTTCCCATTTTTTCAACTCTTCCAGTTCTTTGCCCTGAGGACGAGATGTAATAAAGTATCCCAATCCTGTAGCGTGAGCATACCCCTTCATGATCTCGAGCCACTGGGCGTGATTTCCACCGTCAGGAAGCAGATCTGCCTTTGTGAGCACACCGATAGTCCTGTCCTTGGCCTTCAATTTACGAGTGAGGCCAAAGGTTGCAGAATTCTCGGCATCGCTGTTCATTGGCATGGCGCAGATGATGATGGCAGAGGGGTGCTGGATGTAGGCGCTGGAGAGGTTCCGGACCACGTTGACCAGATACTCGTCGTTGGCATCGGCGGGATTCTGGAAAATACCAGGCATATCGTAGAATGACAGATCCGGCAGGTCTGGGCCTTTGATCTCCAATGCAACGACATTGGGTGAGAATTTGGCCAAAGTCTCTTCTGCCGCCTTTTCAATTGGCGTGTTCATGGCGGTAGCGCCCCGTCCAGGGACGAACAGATTGTGGTTTTTGTCATCGTTTAATATGGCAATTTGGGCCCAGCGCAAGACGTCTTCAATCTCGCTCTTGTCGTGCATCGTCTTGAACTCCAGAACCTGGGTACTCGGCCGCTTTCGCCAAGGGAAAAAGGGGTCATTAGAAGTGACGTCTGTCTCATGTATGGCGCCATCCGGAGGCTCATAGGAATATTCTTTCCGCAGCCACACGCGACAGGACCAGTCAGCGTTGCGAGAAACGCGAATGTGCAGAGGGCATCGAGTGCAAGTTCCCTCACTGCGCGGCAAGTCCAGGTTGGCAAGACCCGACATCAAGCTGGATTTGCCCGCAGACTGATCGCCGACGAGCACAAGCTCCGGCAGCTGAACATCGTGAGACACGCCGAGTTGCTGCAGCTCTCCAAGGGTATCGTTGCAGTCCTTGAGCTTCTTGCCAATATCTTGGAACGAGGTCTGGAAGAAGCTTTCCTCCAAATTTCTAGGGCTGGCCGCAGTCGCGGTGCTTGCAGCCGGAGCAGCAGCTCTCACTTCTCGAAACACGGGATCTGTAGGATCTGATTCTGCCGTGCGTTCACTAGGCGCCGCTTAAGACACAAAGTCAGTATCTCGATGGCTTGACAGCATTCATTTGCTACGAGACTTACGGGCATTAGATCTGTTGCCGCGAGGATCGATAAAAGACCTATAAAACTCTGGCCCATCCAGCGATTCGCCAGCCTCGGTGCTGGCATCTGTAACTGTATCTTGGCGAGAAGCGGCGTCTGGCTCACGCTTGACAAGATTCTGCCGATTTCCTGGGCCGCGAGTACGGCGAGGTGTCGAGTGCGGCATGATTGTTCCCTCAGAGGAGTCCTAATCCGCTTGAGGTGGGGGTTGGTTATTGTCGGACATGGAGATGATGCCAGATCCCGTCAAGTAATGCGGTCGTTGATGCGGCGATGTGTGAGATATTCTGCCTGTTCTTATCGAAGAGTGGATGATGAATATGTAACAGAGTGAATTGGTCAATGAGAGCTGGACAGCAGGGTAAGAAAAGGAGAGAAAAGAGCTCTTCACAGTGAATACAGAAAATTAAATAAATAGTAAAGCAAACAAGAAAGAACTGAACACAATTAATGATGGAAAAGTGAGAATCGGGCAAAGTGACGCGTGAGTGAATCGACTCGGGCTCAGAACGCTGAGAGAGAAGCAAAGTTGTTGATAGCACAAGATATTCACCCAGACAACTGTTCGGGCCCCATCACGCTAATGCTTGATAGAGGAGCCGGTGCCTGATTCGCCCGCCGGCAGCTACGCAGCGTGTGAGTGGGAAACAGTGGCATAAAACAAGGCATTGGCACTTGTTGAAGGCAGATTGCAGAAGTGGAAATACTCACGGTGATATTGACCAATCTGTAGGCTCAACAGCGGCTGGTGCGTTAACAGAAATGAACGGCGATGCCCTGAAGCCTGACTCTGGCGTTGTTAGCTGGCGCTGGAATTAGAGCTCGAGTGTTAGCCCAAAAAGGGGGCTGGGATCGGGCTCAGTCTCAGAGCTCTAGACACCACGTGACCGCCTATATGCAGGGCAATCCGAATGAAGCTTTTATCTCTCTGCTGAGAAGATATTCATCTATACTCTGAATCAATGTAATGCCAGCAAATTGTTCTACTGTACACAGACGCCTGCTATATTCGTCTATTAAGCATCTTTCACCTGGTTCGTACCAGCCCCAGTTCAATTACTGAGAAGCGCCTAGTCGCCCCAGGCAGTGGATCCAGCGAAAAGAGCTCTGCTGCTAATCTTGTCCATGGCGGGCATTATCACTCGCCACCGTAGAGTGCTATTGAGGCTTGTGAGAAGTACTGGGTACCTCGTAGGCGCAGCCTTGTCGGTAGCCATGCAGTTGGTGCAAGGTGATCTTTTGCCAGTTGCTCGTCACTCTGGCCTCCAATGCAAAGAAATATGGCCAGTTTTGCACTCAGCCAGTGCTGCACAATACGATGGAAGTTTCATTCGCCCAAGACGGCACCAATCATTGGATTTTTACTGGCGGTTGAATGCGACCCTGCCTAAGCCGTGGACAAGGCTGTGCAAGTACTCTTGTACCTGCACCACCGCCTTGGAGAAAAAAAAACTGTCGAGAGAAATTTAGTCTTCGCCATTGTGCTCTTAGCTCAACGCAACCCCGTCCAAAGTCACAGCCTCTCTGTCCTTCTCACCAGGGCTGCAAACTCAATTTCCTCGCGGGTACTAAATTTCATCATGGACGGTACCGATGGACGAAACGACGCCTTGGCTGATGGCCGGCGCATCTACTTAGGCGCGGCTACCCGAACTCTCTCACTATATGGCGACCATGCAAACTGACTGGTTCAACAGGCAACCTCCACTATGTGCTCAAGTCGGAGGACATTGAGGAGTTCCTCATTGCCAACGGCTTTGACGACATTGAGAACATCCACATGTCCATTGACGCCGTCAGCAGCCGCAACCCGGGCTACTGCTTCGTGGACTTTGCCCAGCGCCCAACGGCTGAGCGCGCTCTCACCTCGCTGCAGGCATCGCTGCGTGGCCGTGAGATCAAGGTCGGCCCTTGCGAGCCTAGAAAGAAGCGCAATGAGAACGGCCGCTCGGGCTTCCAGCAGCGAACTAACGAATGGCGAGGTGCGCAAGGCGATGACGGCCAACAGTACCAGAGCGAGCAGAGGCCCCGCGGTGGCTTGAACCGCTCCGAGGAGGTGGTTGATGAGTCCCAGGGAAAGCGACTGTATGTTGGCGGACTGGCCAAGATGGGCGACCAGGACCAGAACAACCAGGAGATGATGGGAATCTTCACCGGTTTCAACCCGTATGCATGCTCTCATTCTCTCGCTTGAGAAACTCACTATGTGAACTCACAACTAACCATGGCAAACCAAACCAGCTCGTACATTGGCAAGCGCATTGCCCCCCATGACACCAGCAGAAGCCCTACTGGAACCTACTACTACTGCTTCGTGGACTTTGAGACCCAAGACGAGGCCCAGGCCGCCATGCAGGCTCTCGACGGCGCCGAGTACGATGGAGGCGTGCTGAAGGTTTCACTGGCCAAGAGGAACGACAGACAATCCACCCGCACCAACGCGACACCGGACCGCAATGGCCAGGGACGCGGCTGGTCACGACCTTCCAACCCCCGACCCGAGGGCGGACTGCCACCTTCGGCCAGGGCCATGGGATCCAACAACTGGAGGAGCCGAGATGCCCAGTAGGTTGGGATCGCATCCGCTGCTACCGCGGCTTACCGCTGCTTACCACTGCCACCGCTAAAATTGGAGTGAGGAAAAGGGAGAGACTTCAGACGAAGTCGTAGGAGTGCTGGGACAAGAAAATCTATTTGGGAGCATCATGTATTAATTCGTTTATTCTTATGTATTTGTTCCATTTGCAAACAAAAACGGCTGAATGCGGGGTACCACGAGGGGCACAAATGGCATGAGTTGCGTTGTTGTGTTGCACCAAGACTCCTTTCTTGTGATTTCTCGCGAATCATGTCCAAATTCAAGCCATACAAATACAGCACCAGCAACACCAAAAAATATGCTTTTTCGGCTCATAAAAAATCCCATCACCCCTTGGTCCCTGTTTTTTTCTTAGCTTCAGGAACAGCCACCACGTGCGTCAATCTCCCTCCGCGGGGTCCTTTTTTGCTTCGTGTCCCGCACTCGCTTAATCGCATATTTTCTCTCCCCCTTGTCGTACCTCCACGCCCAGCCAATTTCAACAAACGTCGTGCAGCAGCAGCTCCACCGCCTTGCCTTTTTGCCCAATTCGCCGGCGAGCGTCTCTTTCTCTGACTTGAGCGAGCAATTTGTTGATTCGGATCTGTTTCTCGTTTTCTTTGTTTTTCTTTCTGTCCAGCTGAAACAGCTCCTTATACGGCGCTCCTCCACCGAAAGATACCCCTCCTTCTCTCCACAAGATGTCTCTCCACGTTCCTCTGCCCCATCGGTCTGCCACTCCAGTGGGCGCCGCCACCAAGGCCGTGATTCTGGTAATGATGACCTTCTCTTCTATATGCAATAGTTATTCCCTGTCATCTCTTCATTGGAAACTGGGATTTCAGGCCCAATGGTTGCGACAAGTTCCTCGGGCGTCAAAGCTCAACCTTGGCTAACAGCGCACACCAACTGCCCATCATATACCACTGATTCTATGATCTTGATATTGAGCCTCCAACTAACTCTATGACTTTTCTATAGGTCGGCGGTCCCTCTCGTGGCACGCGATTCCGCCCTCTCTCGCTTGACCTCCCCAAGCCCCTCTTCGAAGTCGCCGGCCACCCCATCATCTGGCACTGCCTCTCGTCCGTTGCCCGCGTCAAGCAAATCCAAGAAGTCTACATCATCGGCTACTACGACGAGTCCGTCTTCCGCGACTTCATCAAGGACTCGGCCAAGGAGTTCCCCGGCATCAACCTGCGGTATCTGCGTGAGTACGAGGCGCTGGGCACCGCCGGCGGTCTGTACCACTTCCGAGATGCCATCCTCAAGGGCCGCCCCGAGCGCCTCTTCGTCCTCAACGCCGACGTCTGCTGCTCGTTCCCGCTGGAGGAGATGCTCAAGCTCTTTATCGAGAGGGACGCCGAGGCTGTCATTCTCGGCACACGCGTCAGTAACGACGCCGCCTCCAACTTTGGCTGCATCGTCTCCGACTCCCACACCCGCCGCGTGCTTCACTACGTCGAGAAGCCCGAGTCGCACATCAGCAACCTGATCAACTGCGGCGTCTACCTCTTCTCCACCGATGCCATCTTCCCATCCATTCGATCGGCCATTAAGCGTCGCACCGATCGCCCGGCCCGCCTTGTCTCGTACCCCTCCTCCGACAACCTGGATAACTTCACCATGCCCCGTGCTATTGCCGACGACGACGACGACGAGGACAAAAAGGAGGTCATCCGCCTCGAGCAAGATATTCTGGGCGACATGGCCGACAGCAAGCAGTTCTTCGTCTACGAGACCAAAGATTTCTGGCGCCAGATCAAGACCGCCGGCTCTGCTGTGCCCGCCAACGCGCTCTATCTCCAAAAGGCCTCGCAGATTGGCAGCGACGAACTCGCCCCCGCAAGCGCAAACATTGTTCCCCCCGTCTTCATCCACCCTACCGCCGACGTCCATCCCACTGCCAAGCTCGGCCCCAACGTCAGCATCGGACCCCGCGTCGTTGTGGGCGCCGGTGCCCGTATCAAGGAGAGTATCGTGCTGGAGGACTCTGAGATCAAGCACGACGCCTGTGTTCTGTACTCCATCATTGGATGGGGCAGCCGTGTTGGCGCTTGGGCTCGTGTCGAGGGCTCACCTCTTGCTGCTGGTAGCCACTCTACCAGCATCATCAAGAACGGTGTCAAGGTGCAGAGCATTTCTATCCTTGGAAAGGATTGTGGCGTTGGTGATGAGGTTCATGTGCAGAACTGCGTCTGCCTGCCATACAAGGAGCTGAAGAGGGTATGTTATTTCAACCCTTTCTCCATGGTTTTTATGCTAACAAGTCTAGGATGTCGCCAACGAAGTAATTATGTAAAGCCGTATTGTTGCAGAGAGTGAATAAGTAGTAGGAGCAGGTTATAGAGTGACTTGACTACAGCAGTTTTTATCCAAGGAAAAAAGTGGCTTGAAATGATTCTAAATGATGTGAAAGTTATAAGTAGACGACGTTTTATATGTTTGTAACAGTGTCACGTATTCTCTATCTATGTGCTGAGAGAAACACATGTGGGACTAAGCTATAGAATATTAATTTTGAAGGAAGCAGTTGCTTTGAGCTTTGAAATGAGCTGACTGTATCATCAATTTGGCAAACAGTGAAGATACAGGGTGAGACAGCAGCCCACAGGTTCTCTCAACACACGTTTTTTAAACAAAACTGTAATGGAGAATTAAAGTCTAATCTTTTATCCAACATCTTAGCTGAAGCTAGAGTTGCAACTTACAACTTACAACCACATGCATTTTAATCTTTCTACTACTTCGACTACCTCTACTATTTGAAGTGTGGCAATCTTTCCGATCTGTATATAATCACACTGACTGCCCATTGAGTCATGACCAAGACTCTGGATAACGAAATTGGAGCGTTGAATAACAGTTTCCTTTTTTCCCTTTACGTGAATCGAAAAGGATGATCATTAGGGGGCAGTTGTCTCTACCCATAAACTAATTACATACAGAGATCGTCCAATATACATCATCAAAGCTACTTCTTCTTATAACAACTAATCTCCCTCAACTATCGCTCTCTTCCACCTTCTTCTCCACCTTTTCTCTAAACAACCGCATAATGCCACGCACATTCCTCGCAACAGCAACATCAATCGCCGTCCTCAGCTCAGCATCCTCTCTCCGCGGATCAACACCAAGTTCCATCAACTTCTCAAACGCACTTATAACATCATCTCGTTGATCCCAATCGGAGCTGTCAGTTGGGATCTCTCGACTTGCTGTTATATGGAGCAACGTCTGCCCTCGTGCGTCCACGGCCGTCAAATCGGCTCCTAGATCGATAAAGTTACTCAGGGCTATCGCGTGGTTGACGTCGTTGGCAATGGCAAATTTTGGATGAGAGACTTTTCCAGTTGGGTCGCGTGTGCCTTCCCATCCAGCAGCTGCGAAACTCATGACGGGAGTCTCGCTGCTTTTGTTGCGGGTATTGATATCAACACTGGTGGAAATCTCGCGGAAGAGTTTTGTGGCTTCGGCAGCTCTTTCGGCGTGACCTACTAGACGAGGTGCAAGCTGGTGTAATATCGAGTTGCCCGTTACGGAATCCGGTTCGCTCACGTTGGCGCCTGCGGATATTAGATGCTTGATAGCAAAGAGAGATTCCTGGCGGCGATCTGAATACATCGCCAGTGCCAGGTGAAGAGGCTTGCAGCCTTGGTTGTCGGCCATGTTGACAGCAGCTGGGCCGTGTTCGACCAGTGAGATGAAAGCCTTCTGTTGCTCCTCATCATATTTCCCAGGAAGCGTGCAGAGCCAATGAAGTGGTGTACGTCCCTCGTCATCAACACCAAGGGCGTCAGCCCCTTTTCCTAATAAACCAAGGACAGAACTAGGCACAATACTCGGGCATGGTGGCTCTCTGCCATATGTTTCTGGTCCTACACGCACAGTCGGAACACAAGCCGATACTAAAAGTGAGCGCCCATGCTGGCTCTCTTTGCGGTTGATGTCCGTTTGTGAAAGTCGAGGGAGAAGGTTGTCTAGTTGGCCCTGGTCGTCGATGATACTATGCAGCAGACATCTTCCGTCTGGGTACGTTGCGAATGGATCTGCGCCGGCCGAGAGCAGCAATCCCGCAATTGCTTCCTTTCGCGAATGGAGTTCCGCCTCTGAGTAGGTACTGGCTGTTGTTGATGGACGGCATGCCTCGTGTAGTGCATAGCGTACGTCTTCTCCTTCTTTTCTGGGAATTGGCAACTCGTTTGGATCCAGTCCGGCTTCTAGAAGCACGCTGATTTGTAAAGCATCGTTCCATTTCACCACCATGCGGGCGATGAGTCCCGGCACACGCCTCGTATCTGCCCCGTTCTCAACCAACATCCTTGTCAACTCACCCCTATCCGACAACTCCAACGCTGAGAGGCCACTGGTGTATCCACGCGATCCCTCCGTCTCACACACAGTTGCATTCACATTCGCTCCATGTCTCAAGAGAACCTTTAGCGTCTCCTCCCGCCAGTGACCATCAGGCCAGCTTTGGTCCAGGGCCGCCAGCAACGGCGTCATACCGTCTTTGTTGAGTGCTTCTATGTTGGCTCCTTTTGAGACAAGATATTCGAGCGCCTCAATCTGCCAAAAGCGACTGCCGCCCGCGAGAATGTGCAATGCGGTGCCTCCCCGAATCTTGTAGCAGTATCCTCGACGGTTGTAGACAGCATTGACATCAACGCCAATTTTCTCGACGAGCAGCCGTATAATGTGCAAGGACGGCAGGTCACGCTCGCAGGCTGTGCCAAGAAGGGTGCCGCAGTTTTCTTCATCTGTCTGGACCCAGTCTTGAGCTTCAAAAAGATGCACCTTGTCGGCAAAGTACTCGAGGAGGTCTGCATATCCCCCCTCAACGAGGAGGTGAAGGAGCGTGTTATCCTCATATCTGTCCAGTGCAAGCACATTGCCACCCAGCAATGCATACTCCTTGATACTGTCGTAATCCCCGTCTTCCAGAGCATACTTCAGCGGGTCGAGTTGGTCAAGTCTATTCCCCTCATCACCCACTTTAGCCTGTATATCCAATATGGCCTGCCCGTCTGCCAAGTAGTATAGCTTTTCTTCGCTGAGAGGACGGTGCTTCTCATAGAGGACTGACCATCGGCCCCGCAACAAGGTGCCGTGCTGCGGACTTGGTAATGCAGATGAGACATTGCGAGCTGTTTCGGCCGCTTTGTGTTTATCTGTGGCCAAGATGAACTCTGGAGACTTTAAATGGCTGTCCCGGGCCTTGACGCCGCGTGTAAGGAGCGCGCGCACCATATCCCAGCACCTTTCCTCCACGGCCATGTCCATAGGGGTTACGGTCTTGGTCTTCCCGTCGTGATCTTCAACAACTGCTTCGACGTTTAGATCAACCCCAGCTTGCTGCAGCATGGTGATGATGTCCGTTGCTTGGATTCGACGCCGGCGCCATAAATCTTCCAAGTCATCAAACTCGGCTAGGGAATGGAGCGGCATGAGGCCATCTACATCTGGCAGCCAGGGGTTTGCGCCATTGCGGAGCAGCTCCCAGACACTCTCTGGCCGTCCAGAACGACAAGCGTAATGTAACGGTGCCATGCCTTCTCCCAGAAGATTCACGTACTTCTCAAGCACGCCTCGACTTTGGTACTCTGACAGGAGGAGGCTGACGATGGAAGCAGCACCTTCTCTGCAGGCGACATGTAGCGGGGAGAGATCAACCGCCGCGAGAACGGTAGGATCAGCTCCGGCGCGAAGAAGAGACTTTACAGCAATTTCTCCAAGGGATACGGCGTGGTGTAAGGGGGTGAAGCCATTGGCGTCCTGCTGGTTGAGGTCCAACTCCTTGAACAAGGGGCTTTCAAGGACACGCTCCAAAATTCTCAGACTCTTCACCACATGCAGCGCCGTTTCTCCTTTTTTATTCTTGGTGAGTGGCGAGACACCAGCCTCGACCAGAACTTGTATGATGTCAAGGAATTTGCTCTCATCTCCAGCTGAGCGAAGAACCGAGTGGATGAGCGTGTCCCCTCCAGGGCCGAGGACATCTGGCTTTGTGCCAATCGATATCATGTAGCGAAACCAATCTGCGCCCTTTTTGTAATCTTTCGTTGCTTCATGCAGTAGGCTTTTGCCATCTCCGGTGGATAGTTGAGCCCCCAGGCGGATAAACATCTGCATGACGTTGTTCTCTTTGAATCTACCACCAATGACTCCCAGAATTGTTTTGCCAGTCTTCGAACCACGTATGCTTAAATCCATGCCCGCTTCGACGAGCATCCGAAGAAGCTCCTCGTCACTGTCCGTACGATTTCCACCGTCTGTGCGATCGCATTGCCTATACTTCCACACGGGCGGATGGCCTTTTCCATTGCGTTGATTTAGATCCACGCCGGCGTCCAAAAGCTGCTGAATAAAAGGGAAAACCTTGGCATCAGAAAAGAATTCGATGCTATGCATAATGTGATGGAATACATTGTCTCCGTTCTTGTCGGTAGCGTGCACGTCAGCCCCGAGATCCAGGAATTTTTGGAATGTCAAGGCGTCTGCTTTCAATTTGAAAAGAGAGAATGAAGCGAATGAATGGCCCATTTTGTCAATAATCGCGAGCAAAGGCGTTCTTCCCACATCATTCACGGCGTTTATATCCGCCTCAAATTCAACCAGCAAATCAAGCAGCTGAGACTTCTCCGGATTGGCGAGATGCATGGGTGTCTCTCCTCTATCTGTCCGGGCGTTGGGATCGGCTCCCTGCAAAAGGAGCGCGCGGGTCAGAATCTCTTCAGACTTGTCCAATGAGCCCCAATATCCAAAGGCTGTGTCAGTCTTGAGCACAGCAAGATGGAGAGGTGTCAAATCCTGGCCACTGACAGAACGCTTCCACCTTATTGTGGCATTGACGTCTGCTCCAGCCGCTACAAGAACTCGGACACATTCCTCCGCCTTGTTCACGTCCTCCTTCATGAGGACGCATCTTTCGTCGGGAGAGCAAAACGCATGAAGAGGCGTTGGTCCTTGTTCGTTGTCAACTTGCAGGGATATTTGACCGTAGGTATATAAACTCTCGCGGGCGCTTCTTCCATTCGGATCAGCCCCGTGCTTAAGTAACAGCTTTATCAAGTCCAGGTTGTGGCGCTCAGCTGCCCTAAACAGCCTTGTTTTCCCATCCTGGAAACAGCCGATATCGACTTTGCCCGTGTTTAAGATGGCCTCAATATTTTCCACGTTATCGACCTGATGGAAGCATTTGTTGACTTCAGTTAGCGGAATGAAGGGCATGAATGCCTGGATAACCCCGGGGTTATCGCCCCTGAACGCAAACGACAAGGCGGTCTGTCTCCGACTCTCGGCTTCCTCTTCTGAATACCTTTTCAAGTACTGATCAAAAGAGTCGTATTCTTCGAGAACTGGAAATGTCTTAATCAACGGGTCGACACCCGCAGCCAGTAAAAGTCGAACAATTGCCGGATGCCCTTTCAACGCCGCCCAGTGTAGAGGCGTTCGACCTTTACTACCGCCCGACTGTGCATTTGCACCTTTGGCAAGCAGAAACTGGGCGATTTCATCATGGCCATTTTCGGCGGCGTAAGACAACGGAGTGCGGCCATCTGAGTCACGAGCGTCAAGTGCTGACTCTGTGGTCGCAAGTATCTCGACTACCTTCAGTGGCATGGCAAGAGGGGGTTTCACAGCAGTAGCAAGGTGGAAAACGTTGAAAGAGGCAGATAGTCGCCCTTCCCAATTCATCAGTATCAGCGTCTCGAATGCTGGCTTCTCAGGGCACAAATAGCGAGTCAAGGCCTCTCGGACAGCATTGGGCGGCTGTGCCGATGCCTTCTTAAGGTGAAAAGCGAGATTTTCAGCGGCGTAAGAGACTAAGGGGCGTGTTATTCGCAAGTTGGTAACGAGGTCATCCCTTCTTTTTCTCTCTGTTCTTCGCCAATTGTGCTCGTCGTAGTTTACCTCTCTGTGGTCATCAAGTGTGACGTCGAAATGCGGACAGCCATCGAGAAACTCCAATAAGAGCACGCTGAGCATCTCATGCGAAGTTGTGTCATCGAGAACGGGGAAAGCGTCGGCGTTTGCCTTTCTCGTGGCATCGTGCAGAAACTCGGTAAATGAGTGGTGGATGACGCTCACGCTCTCATCTTCCAGGAGTTCCAATAACCTGCCGCAACTTTGCCGCACCAAGTCCTTTCCTTGTCCGAGGCTGATGTGTAGCATGTTGGAGAGCAGCGATCCAAGTTCAATTAACCGCAAGGGTCGACTCGCATGCGTTACACACATGAGGACCTTGGCTTGTTGCTCTGCTGTGACTCCGCTGCGGTGAGCATGCTCTTTCAACATGCCTTCGTATACATCTTGAAGCGTTCGTGGCAGGCGATCTAGACTGTCGGGCAGAGTCTCTTCGGTGATGTGCTTGTCCCGCAAGCCTTCAGCCAAGTTATCTGCAATGAGTCTGGCGTGAAGAAAGAGCCCCTTGGCTCGCTCACAGATGGTCTGCTTCACCAGCTCATTCTTGTCGTTGCTTAATGGAGGGTCCAGCGTGGCCATTCTGGCGTCGACATAACGCGCCACGTCTGGGTAAAGGAGGGCAGGGTCAAGCTTCAGCTTCGCTATTCTCGAGTTGCTCAACGCCTGTTCAATCTTTGGCAGTGGCCTGCTCGTCATCATAACCCTGACTTTACCGGGTGCAACGGTGCCCAGCTCAACGAGGCGATGAGTCATGCCCTCAAAATCTCCGTCGTCCATCTCATCTAAAGCGTCCACCACGCAGTACACATTCTTTGTGAGGCCCATGGTGAGCGCCTCAATGAGAACAGGCCATATCAGGCTGCTTTCACTGCCACTGATGGCATGATCCTGCGATATAGTTGTCAAGGTGGTCACCAGGGCAGGGCAATGGGGAAGCAGCTGCGCGGCAAAGTCACGTATGAGATAGTTGGCGCTGTGGTTCTTGTCGACAATCTGGCGAAAGAAGAAGAAGAGGACAATGCTGCCAGACTCTTGCAACTGGCGCACTGTGGAAGCCGAAAAGACTGATTTTCCAGTACCAGCCAATCCCCGGACGTGGAGACATGAGCTACCATTGTGATCATGGCCAGAGCTGGAGTTGGTATTGGAATCAGAATTGGCCCAGGCGCAGAATACGGGCGACTTGTGAATCCAATCACCAGTTCCAGGCACATATGAGTGCAAATGCTTCATGAATTCGCTCCCTGGAGAGAGAAAGTCGGTTGGCTGGAGCCATTTCAGCAGGGTAGAAAGCCGCTCTTTGTATGAGTCGTTTTGCTGTGATGGAGGCGCGGGCACTGTATCTCGCTCTACAATCTCGAAAGTCTGATCCAAGTCGGAATCAACAGCACCGTCCATAGTGACGCCTCCTCTGAAAAGGGCGATACAACAGCGTAGAATTGATGATTTGAAGCGCAAAACAGGCGGCAATAGTGCCCTTTTTTATCTTTATTTTATGCTCGAGTGTTGGCTGGATTGACAGACAAGCGCGCTTCGGCCCTTACCCAATCGGGCTTCAGCTCTACAAAAGTGCCTGTTTGTTGAGTCATACCGCGAAGCGAAGTTAAGATGAGAGCAAGATAGCATTTCTCGAGTCACAGTGACTTAGAGACACCGGCGTGTGTCAAGGCCACAAAAGGAGACCCCAGAAGACTATTGAGAAAGTACCTACCTATATAACTTGACAGTTCGCCATGTGGAAACGTGCTTGAATAGCGCCTACGTTACAGACAAGAACATCAAGGACTGAAAATGCGCCATGGATAGCATTCGCTCACTGATATAAACTATATCAAAGAGTTACTGGCTTCACGTGAGCCCAATACATTGCAGCCAGTCAAATTTTCAGTCTTTTCTTTCCTCCATATTTCGCCCTTCAGAAGTGACCGCAGTGGCAGAATCAGCCTCGCTCATTTCTACAAGATTCACAACTGTGGCTTTACGAAGAAGTCAAAAATATAATTGTTACCTTAAAGGAAAGATATAGTAGCCATTTCTTTAGTTACAGCAAGTGCAGTAAGGAATATAAGAGGAGAGACCTCTTGGAAAAGCATTAATTCAGTAGCAAAACTCAAATATACAACAAAACAGTTAATAGCAAATGTAGCCAGCAAAACAAAAGAAAATCATTAAAATAGTACAGGTTGTGTATGGCCTTCTATGCGACTATAGATTACAGACAGAGTGTCTTTATTAAAAGGTCAATTTTTGATATACTACTTCCATTATCTAATACTCCAATTACAGTTAATCTTACTAGTTTTCTGCCTCTTCCTTTTTTTAAAAAAAAAGAAAGTAGAAAAATAAAAAAATAAGAATATGTATATTTAGATTTAGATTTGGATTACCTGCCTCGTGAAGCCAGGGCTTGAGTGTAAAGCAACGAAAGCTGAGTGCTGAGTAACAATTCCCTGCAATAATACCCCTGTATAAGAATTAGATATTCTCCTGTCCCTGAAACATCTTCTCTGTATTAACTCCTAAACTTGAGACTCTTCTCTTCCTTTTCGAGCTTTTAATCTCACCATCTTTGCAAGCAACAGCGTTAGGTTGTCTTGAGAAATCGATAATAAGCATGATGCCGGAATTTAATCCAATAGCTAGTATAGACGCCGAAGAATCCCATTGCTCTGCACTGTATGGACGCAACTCCATGGGTATCCATATCAGCCGCTCTTCATTTTGGGTGACCCAAGCATGTTCGCCGTCGGCAAGCGTTTGCCCCCAATTCCAATGTCTGGGGACCTTGAATCCATTATTCTTCTCTTGGTAAGAAATTGAACGATGTAGATTGCCGACATGTAGCTCTATAGGGTGATCTGTGTCTATTCGCCAGTGCTCCAATGTGAACTTAGGACCCTCGCCGGGTCTAAAGTACCCAGCTGATCTCCAACTAACGAATACTGCATTAAATGAGACTGCAACGTGTTCGATCCGCAATGCGTTATTATCCTTCGTAGGGGTGGGATATTGTGCAATACGCTTATATTCTTTTTCGTTGCCTTTTCGCAAAACAGTTATTGCATCATAACAGACACAAGCAAGGATCTCCAGGTCAGCAGATACTGCTATTTGTAAAAACCCATCAAAAAAGTAGCCGTATTCATTCGTGCCGATGAATTCTAATACTTGCAAGACGTTTATGCATTCGCCTGTCACAGTCTGCCAGAAGCGTAAAATTTTCCCTGCATCGCCTGTTACCATAATTGAAGAATCGTGTGAAAAAGCTATAGCAGTAACTGTATCGGTGTGGCCAGTGAATGTTTGACAACGTTGCCCCGTGTCAACCCGCCATAGTGTTACTGCCCCTTCAAAAGAGCTCGAAGCGACAAATGATGAATCAGGCGAGATAGCTACACAGTTTATAGAAGTGCCATATTCATTAAGAGCATCTGCACTGCTGCCGCTGGAGTTTAATTGCCAGACGCTAATAATGTTTCCGATACCATCTGATGCTGCAAAGAAAGCCATATCAAAGGAAAAATCGATGTTTGATAGGCCCTGAGTATTTGAAACGGAGATTGTATCATCAAACTTCGAGCTTGATTGAAACCGCCAGTGACATCGCCCTTTCGTTGTTGGTACTACTAATTCAGTGGAAGAAGAGAATGCAAGCTTCTCTAGAAATAAGGAGTGAAACTTAGTATAGCAGCTTCTCAACTTGCGACCTGTCGCAACACACCAGAGATTGATGCATGAATCTAGGCCATCGAACCAATGAGCTGAGGCAAGAAACTTGGAGTCGGGAGAGAAGGCGACAGCTAAAAAAATTCCCTCTCCTCGCCGAGATAAATTGCATATCTCTTTCGCTGTTTCAATGTTCCAAATTGCTGCGGCAGATCCACCTGCCACAACCACATACTCAAGGTTGGGGGAGAAGGCAATATGAACCGAATGCTTGTTATGCTCTTCTTTGTGACCTTGAAGTGTCTGCAGAAGTTTGCCTGTCTCAGTGCACCAGATCAAGACACTCTTATCACTGTAAGCTGAAGCGAGGACTTTCGAGTCAGGTGCGAATGCAATTGAACAGAATTTTCTTCCATCACCGTGTAATGTGTGCATCTTTTCACCCGTGTCCGTGGTCCAGATATATATTTCTCTTGAATCGCTCGATGCCACTTTTTTTGAATCTGGAGATATTTTCACAAGCCAATGATGGTTTCCGAAGAGCAATATCTGCTGGCAGTTGCCTGTTTCCATTTCCCATATTCTTGCCGTCCCATCTAGTGAGTTGGAGATCAATAGGCGTGACGTGGGTGAAAACGCTAGTGACATAATTTTCTCTCTATGGCCAAGAAGAGTATGCACACGTGCTCCCCAAGTATTCGGTCGGTTCAACACAAGAGGAATGCCTTGGCGAACACCTTGAATGAACTCTTGTCGAATGAGGCTGAATTCGGGCGCAAATGCCAATGCCGAAGAGTAAGTTTGTAAAGGAACAGCTTCTATTATTCCCCTGTTAGATTGGATAAAGCGAATAGCATCTTTCATCAATGCCATCAATCTAGGCGCATCTTGCTCCTTCAATTCAACGTCGACATATATTAGCGTAAGCCAAAGAGATTCAGTCTATTCTTGAAACTTACAGGCAGAATTGAAAGTTTATGAAATGCTCCAATCGTATGATTCATAGCCCGCAAAAGAGAAATAGCTTCCAACCAGTATGGATATACGTTTGTGAAGAACATGTACAGGCTACTGTAATCTCGAATGGCCTCAGCCTTCTCCTCTTCACTTGCGGCTAAAAGGTGGTCGATCCAAAATATACACTGGTATCGAAGGTAGGCTAATGGATCCGGACATGGTGTGGAAATTTCGTCTATTTCTGTTGAAGGAGATTCAAGGCCGTACATGTTGCGATGCAATTTTTGGGACATGACATCCAACGAAGACTGGAACATACAAAAATGTTTACTGGTAATACCGGCTTGAGAACCCTGTTGAAGCACAAAGTCTTTAGCTGACTGGTGAATGAAATAAATAGTGTCATCTTTCACAGTCAGAAAAGAGCCACAGAGTTGTGCGACTGTGCGGACATCTTCTTGATCCTGCGGGCATTCCGCTTCCATCTGCCACAAAGAGTTGAGCTCCCCGAGATGCAAAGGACGGTAAGCCGTAGTAACTATTGAAAGCAGCTTTGTGCAGAGATCTCGCCTTTGACTCGGGTGGTCCCGTATCTGGTTCATCATCTGTTGGTATAAGCTCTGCAAGCCTTCGGGCATCTGGTCCAGTATTCGTAGTACTTCCCATTTCATGGCGTCCTGAAGCTGCTGAATTGCGAGGGCTGCCCACAAGAACGTATTGTCGGCCTTGTGCTGTAAGATGTCACGAACTTTGCTTTCAAGCTCTTTATCCTGTTGCATGATTTCCATGTGAGCAACACAGTGCTCGATGTAGCTATGAACAGCTTGCGACACTGATTCTGCATTCCCTTTAAGTTCGAGGCTCAAAGGGTTGACAGCCTCTTTCGACAAGAGCCGTCGCTCAATATCCTCCAAGTTACGACTGGATAAAAGCCATTTGACCTTGGAGCTTGTTCTGACAACCAATCGCAGGAAAGAGTCCCGGTCCGTTATGCATTCGTCGAGGGCATCAACGACCAGAACAAGGTGTGACCATTTAGAGTCTTGGATGATAGCCTCAAAGATGTCACAAATGGCAACCCAGCCGTTTGGACCATCAAAAATCGGCTTGCCTGGACTTAGATGCCTCTCCCTAACATAAGAGAGCAGTGATCTTTTCCGATGAACGAGATAGAAAGTCAAGCCCCCAAGAATGGCCGCTGCAGTGTTTATGCGGGAGTCTGTTGCTTGGCAGAAGAAGTATGCCATCTCGTTTTCAACCTCTTTATTATCCTCTAGGCTTTCAATTATGCCGCAGAGAAGCATCGTCTTGCCCTTCCCAGGATCCCCTTTGATCCAGAGAATTCCATTCTGCGCATCAAGCCATTTTTGGTAATCTCGGTGATCGAAGATCCAGCGGTATGAATCGCGCAGTAGAGGGCCCTTTGTCTCTAGAATCCTCTTCTTATCAAGTCGGGGATCGGTGATTCTCAAATCTTGGAGGTAGACGTTGTCCGAGTCATTTTGAACTAGGCAGTATGATGAATGGATTAGCTACCGTTGGTGTTCATACAAAGGTAGAAGGAAAAGATTACCTTGAGCGATTGGCCAGTTATTGTAGACATTTCCATTATGTATATTGGAAAAGTCGCCGAAACGGCTATGCGAAACGGCGTGAGATGCCATTTAGATAACTATGCCTAAGAAAATGTGTTGGGTAGGAATCAAGGATTCAGGCAGATACCTAGGTATGTGCTAATTTTGGAATGGGGGAGGCTGAGGAGTGCGAATTGAGCCAATAGAGATGAGCTCCGTCGATAGTAACATGGAATCACTCCCCTGTATTAGCTTGCGGTAGATGCCCATACTCACCACGGTGCGATTGGTTTAGTTGTGGAAAAAGGAAAGATAAAACATGGAAAAAAGCAGCGTTTCATCAAGGTGCGCGAAAAATAATGATGGGTATATTCAGCCATTTACAGAGCCTCTCTTCTAAGCTTTCCATCCATTGCCGTCTATACCAAAGCTCACAAGCTCCTGTTGGATCCAGATTCCCCTCTTTCTATATGCACCTATCCATTTTCCGTTCCCGACACACATACAGTCCAAGGTAAAAAAGAAATTGAAGCTATAGCATTAGCCCAAACATAATAACAGTGTTTTTGTTTCTCCCCCAAGAAGCAGGAAAAGGTTGATGAAAATTCGAATGCGCTGCCAAATGCGTATTCACAGCTCCTTCTGGGGGGCTAGACGACTTCCTGGGCGAGCAAACATCGGACTGCTAGGCCGACTAGATGTCGATGCCACGCCCTTGACATCAAATGGATCGACGGCACCAAGGTGCTTGGAGGGTCCTAAGCGAGGGGTGCCTATAGGCGTAAGAAGACTTTCGATAGCAGGCTTTTCGAATGTGGCTACTCGAATGGCCGGTGGTCGGGCGCGAGAGGGGCTCTCCTCTGTTATACTATACATGTACGTCGCCAGTAGCACCAGAATTGTTCCTAAAAGAAACTGCAATATCCATTAGCAAACCTCTGAGCCTTCATGAAAAGGGCATACTCACTGTAAAAGTGACTTCGAACTCAAAGACCCATACGCTGACGAGAAAGCTCAGTATGATACTGATGCTCGTAGCAAAGTTCTTTACAATATTGTCCGCATCCCTGATCACCAAGCTGGCCAACAAGCCACCCGCCGCCTGCAAAATGACTGTCGCCCATACGATAGTATTGTAGCCCTCGAAGAAACCATGCTCGCGAATGCCAGCTCCATCCTGCCACATAACGCCGCCAAAAAGAGCAGCAATCATGGAGTAAAAGCTCAGCTGCAAGTTTCGTATCCATACGCTAGCTTGCGATGAATTTTCCTTGAGTATCTTCTCAAAGTAGACTCCAGTAAGACCGGAGACTGCCGCGGCGATGAGAACTGCAGTCACACCGACGGAGTAGTTCATGGGAGGTTCGAGCGAGTGAAGATCGTAGTCGATGCCTTCGTATGTCGCAGAACGACGCGTGAGATGCGCCGGGGCGTCGTCGGGAATGGCGTGGCCAAGCTCGTGGCGAGACCGGGGAAAGAAGTGGTCGGGCATGCCGTGAAGGAGAAGGGAGTCGGCGCTGGGCACATTGGTGGTGGTGGACGAGCCGGGGAGGGAGACGACTGAGACGCCGAGGGTGAGGACGATGAGAGCGAGCCAGCGCTTGAAGCCGAGCGGGCGGCTGAGGAGGTAGACGCTGAAGAGCGCTGTGGTGAGGATCTACTCGTCGTTAGACATGGCAACATCTTCTTCACGCTGCCTTTTCCTTACCTTAAGTTGGTACAAGACCTGGAAGTGCACAGCATCCAGGTTCTCAATAGCCACATACTGCAAGATATTCTGCAGCGTGTAAAACACGCCCGGTATAATCAGCTTCCACCCATCCGTCGAAAACATGGCATTGTATATCTGCTCAAAGAGCACCGTCGCAGGCGTGCTGGGCGCCAGCGTCTTGGACGCCTCGTACAGACATAGCGTCAGGGAAACGGCCAGCTTGATGACTTCGTGGAGGAAGACGGCGGTCGAGGGAAAGTATCGGTGGTCGCCGGCGGGGGGCATGATGCGGCTGTAGTGCATGATGAGGATGAAGGCCGAGTTTTGGACAGTTAACTATAGGTAGGTGGATTCTGTCAGCAACCGGCCGATCAACAAGACAAGACAATACAAGAAGTAAGAGAAACAAGCAATTCTCACGCACCAGAATCAGCGAGATTGGCTTTCCAGAGCTCCCAGCCCGGATGGCCGAGCCTCCGCTGTCGAGCACCGCCATGGCGGGCAGATTTCGAAGAGACAAGAGAAGAAAAGAGTGTCAATTGCTTCGTTCGTGGATCGAGGCGTTGAGTTTGCAGAGGAAATAGAAGCAGCAGCTCAAGCTGTAGCCAAGAGCGACAAAAAGAGAAAAGAATCAAGAGAATCGAAGAGGCTGGTGGTGATTGATCCGGTCAAATGTCCACGCGACACCCCCCTCTTGATTTCGATGACGCCAAGCTGAAGCTGGGAGCTCGAAAGAAAAAAACCAGCCCTAGGCGGAGAGTTGCCGAAAGAAAGCTTGGCTCTGCTAGCGGGTACTAAACCAACTAGAGCCGTCCAAGACCAACAACGCCAATTGCTCGCAGAGGCATTCAACGCCAACAAAGAAATGAAGAAGATGAAAACAATTGCAATAGAACAAGCTTCTTCACTCACAACCACATTCATATTTGTTTCCAGACTCTCTCCTGTCTTCCGTCCCTGTGCCTGGATGCGACGCATAACCCCCCTGAAGCCCCCCTGTAGCTCCAGCAGCCCACAGCGAAGCCCACAGTGACGCACCCATCAACACAGAATCCACTGCACCACAGTGCCAGGACCCCAGATCTGCGGGGCAAGCTTTTTACGGGTCCTTTTTGCATGTGGTCATTTTCGGGCTGTCGCTTTGCTTGCGATCTACTCGCAATCTTGCCTGTTAGCCGCTAATACCCTGATGCCAATTAAGAATGCATGGACAAGAATACAGTAAGGCAAAGTGATCCGTAAACCTGCAGCGATGAAATGACCTGCTTTGCCAGTGTCTCATATGCGCCGGGACTTGTTTAGCTTGTTTCTTTTGGTGGCGTGTGTCAAGCATATGGCGCCAACTGAGACCCTGAAAGAGCGAATTCAAAGAGGGGGCAGCTCTTGAATAAGAAAAAGGAGAGAGTAAGAATGAAGAAAATAACCCAATTCATGTCTACAATTCAACATTTACCGTAGATTGCAACATCTTGTACAGACAATGCCCGTAGAGTATTCGGAGCTTGTCGTTGTTGTCGTCGTCGTTGATAGCCGTACCCATGTGCCTTTGTGTGACATCATCATCAGCTACTCCAAAACTGAGACAAATTTTCAAAGCAAACTCTCGCATTCAACACGGCATCTGAGAATAGGCAGGACCAGCAAAGAAAAGTAAAAGATATCGACTGTATTTCCGGGTATATGTTCCGTAGGTTGCCACGCCCCTGCATACACGACCGGACCAGCCTGTGTCACACAAAGAAAACAAAAAGATTCAAATTCCAAACTCCAAGCCCCTGTTCCCTGCTTATGACCAAATTCCCTTACGCTTTTCCCTTCCATGACCCAATCGTTTCATCGACATTGTATTCATCATCTCGTCCAAAAAAGAGAGCCCAAAAGATTGTTCCTTAACTCATCGAAAAATTCCTCTCGTCAATCACAGTATGACCGGACTGCAAGCCGGGGATAGCATCCTGTCTGCTGAGATCGCGAGCCATCAGGTCCCAAAGCGCAAAGCGCTCGGCCATGTTCTCGTCAGGGTTCCTCTCTTGCTCCCGGAAGCTATCCCGCCGCTGCGGTCCAACCATCCGGTTCTTTCCTCTGAGGTTGAATCCCAAGTTGAGTTCATAACCCCTCGCTTTCGGCCTTTGCGTGTATTCGGGGAGGCTTGGTCGGTGTCCCTGTCGCGCGTCTCTCCTGCGGTAATTCCACACGCTCTTTTGGGGAACAAACATGCTGGCACTCATGGTAGGCACAGCCATGTCTCGCAGGGGTCGGCGGTAAAAGTCGCCTATGGCATCCAAATGGTTGAACAAATCTTGGTGGCTCTTGCTTCGAAAGAACGATAAAGAACCAATGTCAAACGTTGGCGAGATTCCTTCCAGCCCTGTCTTGTACATGTTGCTCAGCTGCGATGCAAATGCCTCAGGTGCTGACTTCGTGTCTTCACCATCACTAAAGTTCTTGCCCTGCCGCCAGTCAGCATTAACAAAGCCAAGGCGACCGAGACTGCCCTGGATCATCGAGCTGATCAAGTCAATCCATGTTATGGCGGCGTCACCACGAGTCTCAAGACTGTCATTTTGATTCGTCGGCCTAATGGGTGCGTCGTGGACGTCGTGGCCGCCCAAGAACCAGGACACATCCGCATCTGCGTGCAACAGATCAGGGTGTTGGTCGATGAAAGATCTCACGGGCTGCGCATGACTTCGCATCTCGTCCTTGTCCAGTGAAGCCTCGTTAAAGCCGTAAGCAATCTCGTGGTCTCTCATAAAGCGAAAGACATCAAACGTGATGTCGTGGGTAAACTGCGCCTGCTCTCCATAATAAGCACAGATAACACGGCACTTCAGAAAGGGGGGACAGCCCAGGTCAAAGGCCACTTACGCCAGGTTCTATTCTCCAAAACCAATCATAGTCTCTGAGTCGCTTCTCGCTGGCAAATGGGCCCGAATTCCAACGTGATGTTTGGCCCAGGAATGACGTCGACTGGCCAACTTTGGAGAGATCTTCGCCATCGGTTGCATCTCTCGGCATCACATCGAAAGCAGACGATGGCTTGGCATATTTTGACGAAGCCAAGTTATGCTCAGAGATGACTTCGTAAATGCAGATGGCACCGGTCGCGTTGGATGTTTGGCGTCTGAATTCTTCGCTCAGCGGTTGAGTGCTGAAGAAGACCCAGTGGTAGTGGTATCGGTGGTTGAATGTCTCTTCGAGCTGCGACATGGAGGACAGAACAGCGGGCAAGTCGTGCTCGTGAGCAAGTGAGACGAAAGCTGCTTTGGGTCGTTGATCAGTAGCAGTAGAGATGGCGAGGCCATGCACGAACGATGACAGTTGGATCAGCAGAAACATCCAAGCCATGATGAATGGCACAGTCCAACGAAGCGAAGTCGTTAACGTGCCGCGTTTCTTTGCCATGATGAGCCTCGAAACGACGAGAATGAAAGAGAGGCAACAAACTCGATAGTTGCGACGAAAGAAGGGAGATGGAAGAGGCGAGTTGTTCGACCGTGGTGTGTCACGGCGATGTGATAGAACGTGAGCAGGGAAGAATGAATAGGGTGATGCGAGAGAGAGGAGAAGAAGATTCAAGAAGAAAAGGTAATAATGATTCAAGATTTCACAAGAAGTGGAAAAAGGAGTGTGGTGAAGTGAAAGTGAGCGACAGGCTAGTCTGGTGGTGATCCAAGGAGCGGAAGTCAGAAAGTCGAGAACAACGAGTGAATAAAGGTGAAGAGAAGAAGAAGAGAAGAGAAGAGAAGAGAAAAGGGACGAGGTTCAAGTAGCAGGCGGCAGAATATAAAACCGGTGAAGCGCTGGAGTTGGCAGCTGGACGAGGAAGGCAGTACGGCTGCCAGCTGGCGGTCGTGGCATGTGATCGAACAGAATGGGCTGTATATTTCCCTACGAAACAGTGCAAGCGATCTTGCGATAACGTCATGATTGAATGCAATTACAAAGAATAAGAGTTTGTACTCATAGAGTGCTACTCAAGATGCAACAATCAAGATCGCCCATAACCCGCACCTCAACGCATCAACATTAGTTACACCTACAAAGCAATCCAACGGCAAAGCTCGCCCAGCCTCAGCATTCATAAAGGATATAAATGGTACAAACATGTAAACAAACAAACAGCGCTGCCAAATAATAAAAAAGCCAATGATTTGTCCTCTCCTTTCCTCCAAAATAAAATAAAATAAAAATAGAATCGCCTAAATATAGCTTATATCCATTCCCTTGTCCTCCAGCGCCAGACTGTTCCAGTATTTTCAACACCACATAGGTTGAGAGACATGTAAACCCATCCGTCCTGCCTCCCCTCAGAACCTTTTTCTACCTTTACTCTTAGGTACAAGTTCTTCACGCACAAGTGTCAAATCCAATTAAAACAAACACAACGATGCTTGATATACATGCGTGCCAATCACGCTCATTGCTGTTATTCCCTCCTCTGCCTTGTGTTTCGTGTAGATGGTTGGTTCTATGCCTCCACGTCCATGGAGTCGGCGTCTGCAGAGACGTTGTCCAGGTTCAAGTCTATCAGTCTTGCGTATTGGGCCGTGACACGCTGCAACTCGCGGAATTTGCCTAATCATTATTGTTAGCTTGTGATCAAAAGAGAGAATGGATTGGAAATGCATACCGAGGATAAGAACTACTCCCTTCAAGAGTTCTTTCCGGTCCCACCCGCATAGCTGCTCATCCGAGCTGTACCAACCACGGCTCTCCATCTTCTCAGACTCCTTCTCTTCGAGCACGCCACCCAGCAAGCTGTTGAGAAGCTCCTCTACTTTACCCCTAGCCCCCTCAGCACCCAGGCGCTTGGCGTACATGAACAGGTACAGCCTGAACTCGTCGCTTGCTCCCAGTTGCAGGGCACCAGCAATCCGATTCTCCAGGTGGGCGATGCTGACGCTGCTCTCCAGCCCCTCGGACCCAGACTTTTGCATGACCGTCTTGATGATACGCTGTAAAGCATAGGCTCTCCCCTTGAGAAGGAACTCGTTGGTCGTGTGTCGTTCAAGGAAGGGGATGATTCCGGAAGATACGGTGGCGGCATGGCTGCCCTTGTCCTTGTCTTCCTTTGAGTTGGGCCCAACAGCTGTGGACTGAAGGGCCGAGATGGATGAGTCGTTTGAGTTCCAGTACTGTGAGCCGACAGCCCACCATGCTTCGCTTAGTCGCTGCCAAGTGTACATGTCCCGAGCATAAAAGTAGCCATCGCCGTTAGTCAGGGTCACGATGATATGGCCGGTGGAATTGAGGTGAGCAGACGTTACGCCGGGACCAGGCGTGGCTGAATGCTGGTTTAACGATGTCGTGGCAATGTCAAGGATAGGGCCGACAGACACGGGCGGGTGAGGGGATGACTGAGTCTTGAGGTCCCAAACATGGACCAGGCCCACCGCTGTAATGGCCATCAGCCAGTAATCTCTGCATTCGAGAATGACAGGCTGGGACTCCAAGATGATGGGATTTAGAAGACGTCTGCCGGCGGGCGTCCAGACGTGCAGTGAGCCATCCTCACAAGCTACGGCCCAGAAATGCTTGCTTGCAGTCACTAGGATGACGGCTCGAGGCATGAATTCTTGCCATACCAAGACTCCCCTCTTCGTTACAAGGACGTGGGCTGGATCACGCGGGTTGGGGTCGTTTTTGGCCTCTAGGATGATGTTCTCGGGAAGCTTTGATGCGTCGTCTAGTGATGCCGCATCCGGTTGCAGAATGCCTCGCTCGAGCGGCCGCAGGATGTGAGATCGTATCTTGGGAACTGCAAGGCGGACTTGGGCGTAAGAAATAGAAGGGTTTAGCACAGCCGGGCGCAAAAATTCTGGGGTCGGAACAACACCATGCTCGACGGGCACCAGTGCCGCATACTCTACACCATCAGCTCCATTAGTCACAACGGGTGTAGGACCGCCCGCTGCCCGCTTGGCCGCAGGCTCTTCGTCGTCGTCAATGTCAGCGTTATTAACGCGGCGTTTATTTCCAAGCAACATGGCCACAATGCCTCCCTTTGGCAATCCGTCAAAAGGCTTGCTAAGATCGAGTATCGTCTGCGGAGCGTCGTTTTGTGTATTCTTTGTCGTCGTTGAACCAACAAGCTGGCTTTGAGGAAGGGAAGACTGTCCTGTCCCAGATGACGAAACCAGGAGCGGCGCCACTCGTTTTCTTCCATCTTTCCCGACAGTCACTCGGGACTTCAATTCACGGACCCGTTCAGCCGTCTTGTCTGCTGGCTCTTCTGGCTTTTCACTCTTCTCCTTGTCCTTTTCCTTTTCTTTATCCCTGTCAGAGTCTGCGTTTCCATTGGTAGCCAGCTTCTCGGTCACCGATGTAGAAGATTCAGCTTTACTACCCTGGGTGGCTGGGGTAGATTCTTTTGCTGATTCGGGCTGGAAGTCGCCCATAAGAGCGCCCATTCTTGATTGCACCGCTCTAGATTCGCCGGCTTTACTGTGTTCTTCCAGCATTAGTCCATCTACATCTTCAGCAATGCCCATGCCCTTTCGAGAGCCACCGTATTTCTGTAGTGCCTTGGCGTTCTCCTCCTGTTGGGCCACCCATCCCAGCTCGCCCTCGTCAAACTTGGCCACAACCACGCTGCCGTCCAAGCTGGATGCAAACAGGGTCTGACCATCCGGCGTCCAGGCCAAGTCAGAGATGGATTTGGCCGCTAGGTCCTGGAGAATGACTACAGGCCGGGAAGTGTTGGTGTTCCAGATACTGAGAGTCTTATCCTGGCCTGCAGATGCTATAACAGTAACCAGCTGTCCCCCATGACCATTTGCCGCCCCATTCTGCCCAGGCTTGACCGTGTGGAACAGTCGCGGCGAGAACATGCACACCTCAGTCGGTGCCTCGTGCCCAATCAGGTTGATCTCGCTGTCCCATCTCGTCCGCTCGATAATGGCGACGGAGCTAACAGGGCCATTCACTGCATTGGCGGCTGCTATGTGGTTGCCGTCAGGGGACCAGGAGCACCGGCGGAAATATGTGGTCAAGGGAGAGCTCTTGAAGGGGGAGCTGATGGTCGCATCGAGGACAAAATTGTTAATCATGTCGTGCTGCGTCGCATTCGGCGCGGGAGGAGTGAAGCGGAAGATTTTGATGGTTCGGTCGTCGCTGGCCGTGGCGAAGAACTTGTTGGCCGGGTCAAACGTGATGCCCTTGACGTGGCTCTGGTGCGCGGGAATCGACTTGAGCTTCTCAAACGTGTGGCCCGACCACACAACGACCTTGGAGTCGAGCCCGACGGACACCAGCAGCGACGAGTCGTAGGACCAGGCCAGGTCCTGGACGTCGTTCTCGTGGCCGATCAGGCGCTTGTACGTCTTCCAATTCTCGACGGGCGGCGGGTCGTTGGTGCCGAACGTGGGCGCGGGCGGCCCCTTGTCCAGGTGGTAGACGCAGATGATCTTATCATCGGCGCCGCTGGCCAGATACCGGCCATTGGGCGAGAAGCGCACCGAGTGGATGGTGCCGAGATGGTGGCTCATGTGGCAGAGCTGGCGAGGCTTCTTGTAGCTCTCGTCGTCGGCGTGATAGACGGCCTCGGTCGACCAGATGCGCACATGGCCGTCGCCGCCCGCCGTGGCTATTCGCTTGCCATCGGGCGAGACGTGGCAGCTGTAGACCTCGAAATCCTTCTGCTCGCCGCTATGGCTAAGCCACGAGGGCTTGATGATGCGCATGTCGAGAGCGCGCGGTCATCCAGGTGATGATGGCGGCGGATCTTTTCGGCCCCGTCTCGTAGATTCGATCTGGTGGTTTGGGGCGATTCTAGGGGTGCTGCAATTGGAGGCTGGAGGGCTCAGTATTGTGAATTGGAGGTGGTTTAGCCCAGCTCTGCTGGAGCCGAGGACGCGAAGGCGCGTTTTCGCAGCTAGGCTGTTTGGCACCAAATCAACCAAGTTCCAATGGAAGCGGTGCTAAGAATGATTGGCAGCCGGAACAAGTTTATTGCGGGGCTCTACTTGTTGCTTGAAATTCCCCAGCTGGCGATGCCTTGGACAGCAATGACATCATGCAGCGGACATGAATGCAGGGTCTTTTGTATGAGTCGTAAAGGCATCAAATGCGTACATTAACATGATTATGGACTATATAACAAATGGTAAAATAAACAAACACCGAGACCAAGGCTGTTTTTCCCTCCAGACGCCGCAATTCAGATAAAGTACAAGTATACATGGGTAGGTCATATTTGGCATCATTGACGTGAATCATTCGTTACAACTCTTCAAGTCGCATTCATCAAACCCTCACCGTAGAGGGTTTGTTCATCATTCTGTCGACACCCTCTGGCTCGGGAATGGTTTCTGCAGTCTGGCTTGCATCAAGCTGAAAAGGCCGTGGGCTTTCGGACTCGCTGCGCGCATCAACGGATTCCATTGTTTCAGTCGTTCCGGTGGTGCTCGTAGACCCAACTCTGGCAGAGCCTTGACACTCCACCGGGTCCAGCTCCAGATCTAAATTGTATCTCAAGATAGACGCTGCCACTCCCTTGGCAACGTATTTGTTGATGAGCTCGGCAAGCTCGTCGTCCAGCGTCTCAATGTCGCGCACCAGCGATCCCAGCGCGTGCCATCCAACCACGTTCTTGGCTGCGTTGTTCCAGGTGCTGGCTGCTGCACATACGCAGTTCATTTCAAATTCGAGGACTTTGCGATATAGCTTCACCAGGCGTTCCTTCACTCCGTTTTGCTCTCTGTTGAAGTCGGCGTCACTCTTCCATCCGCTGGCGAGCATCAGCTCTGATAGGTGCATGTACCACGGGATACGTCCAATAACATGCAGGGCGCCGCGCTTCATGCCATCAATTTGCATTGTCGGGCCAAGTAGAAGCTGCCAAATAAAATTAGTTTCAGCAATACACATATACAGACACAAAAGCAGAATCTTACCGGTGTCAGAATAGTAATGCCTGACCAGGCCACGGCGGTGGAGGGATAGTCGGCCCAGACAGATTTGATTATCCTCTTGGACATCTTGACCAAGACTCGAGCATAGTTGTCTATCGGACAATTGGCGCCTCGACACTTTCGCAGTCCCGATTCGGTGATTCTGATCAACTGCTTCAGTCTGTCGTCGTCTGAGCGCGGCAGTGTCTGGTTGATTCCGCCAATGGACTGATGCGGTAGTTCCTGGCACAAGATGGATTCGTAGACCGTCACCAGACCAGCAGACCTCAAGTTGTCGCGTATGGCGTTGTAGGCGGCGGTCCAGAGTTCGAGCGAGATTTGCGTATGTCGTCCATATCCCTTTGGCATGGCGAAGCTGGCAGATGGTGACGGCCCTCTGTAAGTGCCCAGCCATTCAGGCGTGGCAACGCCGCTGCCGGCATCAGAATCGTCGGGATTTGGCGAGTGCGGATGGGAGCTGTGATGGAGAAGCCGGCCGACCAGCTTCCTGAGGCGGCCGGTATCAGCGTCGGTAGACTTTGTCATTTGACTGACTCGACAATGTGTGCGAATAGTGTTTTCAGTGCTGGTTCAGACAATGTAGGCGCATGTACAAGTATGGATTTCACTGTTGCAACCTCGCGAGGCCAAACCATGGCCAAGATCTTTAGTTGGGCATGCCTCCGTGGAAAACGCCGGGTGGGCGATGGCGCATAGATATCCCAATTTTCAACAGCAAAATGGCTGCAACAAGCTTCGGGCTACCGGCAGGTCGGCTCGCAGTGACGTCTGGTGGTGTGCCAGCCCACATCAGCTCCGGCTCAGGGCCGGTTCACAGCCGGTTCGGGCTTCGGCCATCGGGATAAGCACCGCGGCTGAAGCCCTCAGAGGCCTCGAATGATGGCATCATGCTTTCCGGTTCCGACGAGCGTGGCTTGCAGCTCCAGGCGCCCAATTGATTTCACCCCAGATTCCGGGAAACATGGTGGGCTGCTTGTGCTCTGGATAGATCTCCGCGGCTGGGTCTGCCATGTGTCCCGGGATGGGCGTGGATACACTGTCCTGCGTACCCGTAAATATCCGTGTTATTCGCGTCGACGAGTCCCTCAGCTACAGACTAAAAACGAAGAGAAAAGCTGGAAATGCGGGGTGCAACTGTAGGCCATGACGAGTGTAAGAAGCCAGAGGAACGGCCATTACGTTGCCGTCCGGGCCAAGCAGGGAAGATGAGCACCTAGCAATGGTTAATGTATGGAGATATGGAGACATGGAGATGCTATGGAGTAATTTGTAGTCATCCAGAGCCACGGCTGTGGTGTAGCGAGACACAGGGTCTGAAACAAGGCCAATCAAAACATGCACATTGCAACTTTTGCATGTTTCGCACGAGGCATCGAATCATTGGCCGTCGTCTGGCTTTTACTGGCCTCGGCATCGTCAGCATCACCAGTGCCGTATAGGGATGCGGATGGCCTTTGAGGAAACACGGCGTCTTGTCTTTCCACCTTCTCCTTTGGACGCAAACAAGGACAATCTCCATTCCGCCACCGCTGAATCGTCCACCTGGCGGGCCAGTCCTCCACGGCAATCTTGCCTCGATTCGGCCGCCTTGTTTGGAAAATATGAGCCTAAACCCATCGCGAACCGCTGGGCCACCCACGTTTCGGCACCACGCAGGCGATCGCCCATAGTTTGTGCGCGCAACACAGAAACAGGCACAACCGGCCGCAGATGATCAGCGTTGCTCAGGCCCTGAGGATTTTTCCCACTCGCCCTTTAATTTCTTCAAACGGCCTGTGCGACCGGTACTTGATGGCACTAGCCCTCGCTGGTGTCCTGAGCGCGCCTCGATTAATCAATATGGAGGCGGATGGCACGGGAGAGGGTGTCGAGGAGACAAAGAGACTGGAATTGATTGGGCAACAGGTTGATGAGGCCAGCATGAGCCCATCATCACATGTGCACTCACGCAGTTGGATGAATGTCGCCGCCGGGTGAATGTCTACATAAAGACGCTATGTATCCTTGCCTGCGGTCTGAAGCTGTGTGCTGTCTTCTCCTCACCTCGGATGATATGTCAACTTCAAGGGCCCATGTACGATTCCGCAGAGAGCTGAGCTGAGCACAATAACTGCAGGTTCATGCCGCCCCATTCGTTTCGTTTCCGTTACTAAACTGAGCTATTGTCCCCTTCTATTGTCCGGCCGGCTGCCAAGTGTCAAAGAGGCAGGGACTCGAATACTGCCGCTGGAGACAGCTTCTCACCGCACACGTACAAAAAGAAACCTGGAAATCTCTGCTTCCTTGCTTTCTTCTTCTTCCCTCCCCCTTTCCTCCAGTCACGCGTGCAAGCTGCCTTTGTTCTTTCTCGTGCACTCAACCAGCTGCCACTTATAACCCTCAACAAAGGACTCAACATTCGTTCGGCGCTATCTCAGTCATTCCAGCAACTACAACAGCATCACTTCACAAGCAAAGATCCAAACAGCATTTCCCGCCATGAAATCCTTCACCATCATCGCGAGCCTGGCTGTTGCTGCCGGCGTGAGTGCCGCGCCTGCAAGATTCCAAAACAGCACGGGCATCACCTGGACCCCAGCGCCCTCGGATCAAACCACCTGCGATCCCTCCAGCTTCGCCCAGGCCCCCGTGAGCGATGCCGCCGACTGGCGCTTCTGCGCGGCCCTCTCGAGCGCTTGGTCCAGCACCAACGGCACCTTCAGCATCCACGACGTCTCGGGCAGCAACTACATGCCCGTACTCAAGGAAGAAGGCTGCACCTTGGGAGTCAAGGCCTCGGAGCAGGGCCAGGGCCCCTACACCATGGGAGACCAGGACATCAAGGCGATTCTGAGGATTGCGCTGCAGAACTACTCGGATGGGACCGATCTCTCTGTCGAGGGCAACGTCAAGTGCAATGTTGCCACTGGCGGCCGGGCTGGTCTGAAATGGCAAATCTACGGCCAGTAGACATGCTGCGTGCTTGTCTCTGGATGGAGGTGAAGGAGATGTTTCTTTCTGCCATTTTCTCGGCCATGGCAGCGCACTCTTTTAATCTGCCATTTTACGGTACGACTGCTGTGGGGAGATATTCATGCGGCATTGACGAGTGCTAACTTGGATTTCACAGGACTGGGATTAGCTGTTTCGACGACAACGAGCAGGGCGTTAAGGGAAGACGGACGGCGTTGATACATGGACGGGCTCGTCACAGGAGCCAAATGCTATGGTTTACCAGCACAGACAGACAGACGATAATGATATTACACAGTTTTTAAATTCGGAGCGTGCTTTTCTCCCTTCTTGACCGTGACTCTCGCTGGAGCTACTCCTAATGGTAGGACAAAATTAAGGTTCTGTTCTCAACACTTTTACTAGGCCACGATTAGACAAACAAACGTGATATCTCTTGAGCAAGGAGTGGAGCGATGAAACATGCATGCAGGTACATGTGAAGTTCGAATAGAGCGACTCCACAGAATCCTTCGAGATAGGACTTCATCTGCACGGCATCTGTGAGTGCGCCAAGGTGGCAGCTCGGGTGCCATCACCTAACATACCTCGAAGCTAATGTTGCTTCTGCGTTGTAAAATAGGGCTAAATGGCGATTTATAGTTGAAATGCGGAGGTTCTGATATTTGAAAATGTATTGGTGTTTGTGCATCGTAAATGCCATTTCACATATGCCTCGATTCACTTGAGGACTTCAGCTTCAACACTATCCACCATGCACCATCCTGTCCATGCACCTTTTGCTTTCAAGTGCTGCGTCAATCTTGCTCCATCATGCACAGTTTTTCCACAAATTCAATATATTGGACTCTTTTTAATTGCGCCTATTTCGATGCAGATGCTCAGGTTTTCGCTTTGATGTTAATATGGCGGCTGATTCAGGGTAGACAGGGAGCATGAACATTGAAGATGACAAAGATCCAGTGCTCGCCCATTTAGTGGCCATTGGCTAGGCACTGGAGTCCACTAGGAGCTGCAGTAACAGCTGGCAAAGCGGCCTGTGCGCTGCCAGCTTTTCTTCCAGTTCACTTCACTAGAAGCTCAGAAGCCTTGCCGCCCAAACGGGACTAGGCTCAATCGGGTCCTCTATTATGCTCTGCTGCAGCAACTCGATGCGCGCGAGCCTCGTCGCCTTCCAAACTTCTTTTTCATCCTCTCCTTCTTCGATTTCGATCGCCTCATTGATCGCTGGAGCTGAGGGTCGTCAATGATATTCAAGTTTGACTACTGCCGGTACCTTGATTAAGTTCCTTTGCCCGATTTCCTTTTTTCTGTCGCAGTCATTTCCTTGATTTTCTCTTCTTTCCTCGTTTCCTCGTTCCTTTGTTTGATTCGACGCCGCGTTCAACGACACCGAAAAACTCGACAACAGAAAAACCAAACTTCACGCCGCCTCTTTTTTCCTTCAAGTAATGACGAGGCACGCAACGTCATTGTCCACCTAATATCCCGGGCACAATGGCGGCTGCCGAAGTCGACGTCGCCTACATCGCGGGCCACCTCGGGCTCGACCAGCCTGTGGTGGCGTCCTTGACCACCCAGCCCACCGTTGAGCTGGTCACTACTCTGCTGCAGGCCGTGGCTCAAAAGGCCCACGAGTTCGAGACCCTATACGCAGAGAAGCTTCAAACAGACATCGAATTGGAGAACGCCGTTCGGAGCTCCGAGACGAAATCTCAATCCTTCAAGGGGACCGCTGAAAAGGCCCTCAAGGATGTGGAGGAAGCTAGACAATCCCTCAAAGAAGAGGGTACGTGTTTTTTCTCCTCATGGTAATCCTGATGGCGTGTTTCTGTTCTTGCCTAACGTTGTGCGCGCTTTAGAAACCAAACGACAGTCTTTGGAGAACGATCTTCAGAGCTTGAGAGCCAAGTACTCCGACCACGATGCCGACGTCAAGGCCCTCAAAGACAAGATTGAGACCCTCCAATCTTCGAACCGAACAAATCTCGGCATCATCGAATCTCATAACAAACGCGACCAGACCTTGACCGACGAACTCACCAAGCAGCACCAGCGAAATGTCGAGCTCGCCCGCGAACTAACGACCCTTCAACAGTCGGAGCAAAACGCAAAGGGGCAGCTCAACAGTGCCAAGTATCGACAGGAGGCGCTTCAGCAGCAGCTTGACTTGGCTCGCCAAAATGCCGAGTGGCTCGAGACAGAATTAAAAACCAAGAGCGATGAAGCCCTCAAGTACCGCAAGGAAAAGGGCTCCAAGATTGCCGAACTTCAGAGGCAAAATGAAGACGCCAAGGCTCAAATCGATGCTCTTCACCGCGCCGAACAGCAACTACGCGAACGACTCAATGCTATGCAAG